CACCAATTTCCTCTCCACATTCGTGACGCTGCACTGACCTGGCTGTCCCGCCCATCGTCCGTCCGTTGCTTCATCCGCCCCCGCCGTTTTCTCGTTACCCACACAGCAATCTGTTCACTCTGTCGGATCCGTCTCATCCCGACAATTCACGGCCAAAGCAGCTCCTCCCCCAAAGCTAGGGGAAACTATATATTCGCATGCACCGGGAAGGGGAAACGAGCCCAGAATAGGACAATAAACAGGACACAAGGGAAGACTCCACACTCCACGTGGAGCGAATTCGTCCAAGGTGTCAACCGCCATTGTCCACCTCCCCCACTAACGACCTATCGTCGCCATTGCCATTGTGTACGGGCCTGAGTGAAAGCCCTCAATACACTCCTGCTTAGGTGTTCCATGCGGAGTCTAGGAAACCTGCTCAAGAAGCGGACGAAGGACTCTCGCGGCTCGAGGGACCTGGATCTGCCCGCTTCGCCAGTAACGGAATCCTCATCTTCCCGCAACAATAGCACCAACACCAGCACTCCTCACTCTATCACAGCGACGACGACCTCTCCATATCCCCCTCCTCCCCCAAACCCCTTGCTCCAACACCCGGCGTTATCCAGCTGTGATTCTTCTGGGGGATACCCCACCGCTTCCTCCCCAAACGCTAGGAGTTTCAGCACTCAGCCTGCCGCTTCAACCACCGCTCCTACGGGCGACAGTTGCCATTACTCCCTCCCTTCACACCAACAACAGACGGGCCTCGCAGACGCAGCCGCAGCCGCAGCCGCCTTCGTCTCCGCCTCATTGTTTCCTCCAGTTCTTCCAACCTATCGTGGCAGCTTTACGCACAACAACAGTTCTTCCCATCTCTACCCATGAGCTCAATCCCCTCTGTCCCTAATGCCTCCCAATTTCGCCCAGCGATCCCCACCCAATGAAGCAGCAACAGCAACAACAGCAACCCACCATTTCCCGCCAAAGCACTACCCAAAATGTCGCCAGCATCAAAAAATATCATACACCCGCCCAATCAAGATGAAGTAGAGGCGTCGCAACATAAAGTCAACCATAGCCAACATGCATCGCAGCCACAACAACAGCAGCAACAGCAACCACCACCACAACAGCAGCAGCAAAAACAACAACAACATCATCATCAGCACAATCATCATCATCATCATCATTGCCATCAACATCAACATTGTCATCAACAACAGCCATCGCAACAACAGCAACAGCAACAGCAACAGCAACAACAGCATCAACGAGCTGCCCAGGTATCTACGCGACCGACCAAGGGGAAGTACTCATTAGATGATTTTACACTACAGCGGACGCTAGGGACGGGCAGTTTTGGGCGTGTTCATCTGGTTCAATCGCGACACAACCAACGATTCTATGCGATAAAGGTGCTCAAGAAAGAGCAAGTTGTGAGAATGAAGCAAGTCGAGCATACAAATGATGAGCGAAGGATGTTGCAGCGGGTTAAGCATCCCTTTCTTATCACACTGTGGGGCACCTTTCAGGATGCCAATAATCTATATATGGTTATGGACTTCGTGGAGGGCGGAGAGTTGTTTAGTTTACTGAGGAAGTCACAGGTATGGAGAGCTCTCCTATACCATTATTATACATTGGGAGTTTTTTTTCCTTTCTTTTGGATGCTAACTGTGCCATTGTGTTCCTTTAGCGATTTCCCAACCCCGTTGCGAAATTCTATGCTGCTGAGGTTACCCTTGCGTTGGAATATCTGCATGATCATCACATTATATATCGAGATTTGAAGCCGGAGAACCTTCTCCTCGATCGGCACGGCCACTTGAAAATCACAGATTTTGGATTCGCCAAGGAAGTCAAAGATATTACATGGACCTTGTGCGGGACACCTGATTATCTTGCGCCGGAGGTGGTATCATCAAAAGGATACAATATGTCTGTTGACTGGTAAGTTATATATGCCTCCGTTTCTTTTTCCAGCTTGCCGAAACTAATTAGTCTAACCTACCTTGCTGAAAAAAAAGGTGGTCCCTTGGCATCCTCATATTCGAAATGCTCTGCGGTTTCACTCCGTTCTGGGACGGTGGCTCCCCAATGAACATCTACGAAAACATCACCAAATGCCGCGTCAAATACCCGCCTTACATGCACCCGGACGCTCAGGACCTTCTCTCCCAACTGATCACGCCAGATCTTACGGTACGACTGGGGAACTTGCATGGCGGCTCGCAAGACGTGAAGAACCATCCGTGGTTTGCGGAAGTGACGTGGGATCGATTAGCGAGGAAGGATATTGATGCGCCCTATATACCACCTGTGAAGGGAGGGCAGGGCGATGCAAGCCAGTTTGATATGTATCCCGAGGAAACAGAGGCGTATGGGGCTGAAGGGGATGATCCGTATGTTTCTTCTCTCCTTTCTCTCATTTCCCTACTTGATACTATACCTGCCTACCTACCTACATGCCTGCCTCCGTGTTTTGACTTCTCGCCATTCAGGCGAAGAAGAACGAAAGAAAGAATACGTCCCCATTGCTAACGGAATTCCTCACTCGAATAGATATGGTCATTTTTTTTGGGACTTTTAATTTTATCTGCAAATTCCTCTTTTGATGATATTTTCTACAAATAGAAAAATATCAAAAAATTAAGAAGGAAACGAAAGAAAAGCAAGAGGGAAAAAGACAGAAAACCCGTCCCAATATCAAAACCCCTTACGCGATCCACCTCCCTTGTCTTATATTTTCAACCGAGAACAAAATAAACGGGTAGGCTATCTTTTTCCATATCCCGCCATCAGCCTTTTCCAACGACATCTTTTTCCGATGTATCTGCAATCCTATTTGCATTTGGGAGGGTCTGCTTTTCCTTCTTTTTTTTTTTTTTTTTTTTCCGTCTTCCTATTTTTTTATTCTTCTGGAAATTGTCGGCCTTGTTTTCGGGGCCTTCTTTTCTGGTGTTGGTCTAGATGTCCTGGCAGATACTTTCAGAATATTTCTTCTTTTTCTTCTTCTTGATATCAGCTTACTTTCTTCTATTTTTTCGTCCCCGCCGCCCTTCGGCCTGCCGTGGGACCTCAAGTTTTGATTAATTGGAGCCTTATTATTTTTGTCTGTGGTTTGGCAGTTTTGGATGTTTTTTCCCCTCTCTTTTACACATCATCGATTTTATTTTATTTCTTTCGCTGAAATATCACCGGCATACGTGGTGAAGACTAGTCGTGGGGTTTTTATTTTTGTTTTTATTTTTTATTACTTTATTTTTATATACCTCAAGCCGGCATGAAGAGATGAGTGAATGTTGAATGTCATGATGCAAAAGAAGCCAGACAGAGCTGTCTCTGTCAGCCGCTTAACACTGCGTTAGCCTCTTGCCTGATCATGGTCATATTGTAATATATAATTATAGGCTTTCTGTTATTCTCTTAGCCCCCGCCATATGTTTCTCCTCTTTCTGTGCTTTGATCTTTGATTTCTTTTCGTTCTTTCTCTTTCTCTTTTCCGTTCTCCGTCGAGTAAAGAAGATTTCTAAGTTATGAAAATTCTTACAGAGTCATGGAACAAAAGTTCTTTTGCACGTTATCTATATAGAAACAGGCGGAAATACCAAAACTGGAGCTCAAACACTCAACGTACCCTTTTCATGGATTGGAATTCACGGATGTACGGCATCTAATTCGGCACCCCAAGCTTTGAGCAGCAAGCCCTTTAAACCACCCCCAAATCAGTAGCGGCTTGCCACGGAGGGTTACCATATAGATTTCCAGAGCTTGTAAGCAATTCCTCCGTACCTTCTGTTTTCTTTTCTTTTCTTTTCTTTTTTTTTTTAAAAAAAAGGTGGAGATATTATGGCACAACTATTCATTTTCATATGCGTTCCTGAATTTTTCTACTGTCATGCAGAGGTATCACAAGTCTACCAGGCAGCGCCCGTTTAGGCTTTATTTTCACATATAGTCCGTCAGTTTTAGGTTAAGAGGGGGTCATAAAACAGATATAGAAAGTGGAGGAAACTACAAATACAAGATTACTTTAAAACAAAAAGCGGAAAGAAAAGAGAAAACATGCAAAATCGATATCCTCCGTGATGAGACTGGGGAAGGAAAAAAAAAAAAGAAAGAAAAAAGAAGAAAAAGAAGGAGAGGCAAGGGGATATAGATATACATCCAAGGAAAAATGGAAGGAATCGCATCGCATCCCAGATCAAGCTCTCACAACACATTCTGTACCAGCCGGCCGTCATGGATCGAATAATCATACTAAACTCATTCCATGCCCTTCATCCGTACGTATCCAGTCCGATCCAATCCCAAATCCAACTCCAACTCCAACATAAGCCTGAACACATGCCAACCACCATCCATCCCACCCTCCCCGCCAACAGGAGCACACACATAAACTCCGCCCCTAAAATATACCGCCGCTCCCGCTCCCGCTCCCGCCGAACGGGGAGCTACCAGCGAAGCCGGCCTTGTGTTCCTGGTTCACGCGTGCGCCGTAGGCGCGGCTCGTGGCGTTCCACAGCTGGATGTACTTCTCCATGCAGGCGGTGAGGCAGGTTTGCTCCTTGGAGGAGAGGCTGGAGCCTGGGGATGGGACGCATTTTTCGAAGCAGTTTTCGTTTACTTTCTGGAATCGGGGATTAGCTTTTGTGTTGGGGTTACTTATTTTTTATTTATTTATTTATTTATTTATTATTTTTTTAAATTATTTTCTTGGAGATGGGGTGAGGGACAGGTAGAGGAGGTCACGTACGCCGATGAGGGAGCGGGCGTTATTCAGGGCCGATTCTTGTTGGACCTGGGATATTATTGCGGATTTTGTGTTGGCGGAGGTTTGCGGAGAGGTTGAGGAGCTGCTGTCGGAGAAGGGGTTTGATAAGGACATTTTGGAGATAGGGTGAGTGTGGGCGAAAGCTTGGAGAGGGTGTCAAAGAATCGGTACGTTGGAATTGGCGAGGTTCCTGCGACAATTGAAATCTGCTTCCTCTCTTGATTTAATAGTTACATATCATGATTCTGCCAGAGTTTGATATTTCGAGGGCTGCTTACCTCATCGTCACATGATTTCGGGCGACTGTCAGTGCTTTGGAAGGAGGAAGTGGACAGATTGAACATTCAGCCGAGGGAGCTGCAACATCGCCAGCCGACAGCTGCTGTAAACGCTTTTCCTACATTTCATACTATTCGCCGGCTTCGGGAATGCGAGCGAACTCATAACGGGATCCCTTGGACGTCTCAATGCGTTCTATCCTACCTCGTCCGTTGTTGTGATTCCCATCCAGATCTGCACACCACCCGCCGCCAGCGCAAGGAATAAAGACTTGCTGATGTCCCGGCGACACGACACTCCTTGACGGCGCTCTCTCTGACGTTCGTTCCACCTTTTTTCCTTTGATACCTCTTGCGAGTCAAATATCCCCTGCCGTCCGCTACGACCGGTTCCTTTCTCTTTTAATTCCCGCATCCTCTGCCTCCACCTCCGCTCGCCCTCCCCTCCCCTCCGCACCGGAACCCGTCTGTGCTCTGTAATCACGGACAATGCTCGTACGACTGCTCACGATCCTTTGGCTATGGGTGCTGGGCTTTGCCCTGAGCGAGGAATATGGCTTGGAAGATCGTAACAATTTTGAAGATCATCCCGATGTCAAACGTGTCCCAGTATGTTGCTTTTACCTACATATGGTCCTATTGTTTTACCAAACTCCAATCACTAATCATTGGCTATTTCCTCCGCACGTCTAGATGATCGCATACAGTATATCCCAGGTGTGTTAGAAACAAAGGCCTCAGCTTCCAATGCAGATATGAGCTCGCAATTGACTTATTGCCTCTCCATAGCCATATCTAGATTCAGCTTCTGAAAACCGATGGTTCGACTTTGGTGGCGATACCGTCATCCGTTCCGATAGGTATGTTTTTGTGTCCTCCGCTTCTGCTCAGCATCTCGACATGCCCCTGAACACTCAATGGATTTCTTTTGCTTACTCTTATCTTTACGGATTAGATATATCCGCCTTACGCCCGACCGACAATCGCGCCAAGGCTGGATGTTCTCGCGTGTCCCGTTAACCGCGACCAATTGGCAGGTCAGTACCCTTTTTCTCATTGGTCAAAAATAATCAGACGGAACTGAATGTGGGTCCCGATATAGGTAGAAATTGAGTTCAAGATTGACGGCCAAGGAACCCTTCATGGAGATGGCATGGCAATATGGCTTACCAAACAACGAGCAACGAAAGGCCCTGTTTTTGGATTCATGGACAAATTCGAAGGATTGGGTATCTTCATCGACACCTACAAGAATAACCGGGGAAACCCTGCGTTCCCCTATGTCATGGCTATGCTGGGTGATGGCCAGGTGTCGTATGACCAGGCGCAGGATGGCAAACCCAATGAGCTTGCTGGATGCTCGGTAAGTTATATTTCTCTCCTCCTGGTACTGATTCTATACATCTTTGATCCCCATGCCCCTACTAAGACTAAAACAAAATAAGGCTCGAGGGATCCGCGGTGCCTCCGTCGCTACAAAGGCTCGAATAACCTACTTCCAAGACAAATTCCTCTCTCTCGACCTGCAATATAAATCAGACCTCTCCTGGACTTCTTGCTTCACCGTTGAAGCTTCTGAAGAACAATCTATAAACATCCCCACAGTCGCCTACCTCGGAGTGTCCGCGGAGACCGGCGAACTCAGCGACAACCATGACATCATATCTATCGACACCTATTCGCTCTACAACAAGGCGCCCACAGACCAAGTTCCCATCTCCAGGGGCTCCGGTAGGAAGACAAATTCCAAGGCCGGAAAGGGAGCCGCTTATAACAGGGGTGGCGATGATGGTAGTGGTGGATGGTTATGGTTTTTATTTAAGATCATTTTGTTCCTAGCTCTTGTTGTTGCGGCGTATATTGGCTTCACGGCTTTTAGAGCCAGTCAAAAACGGAGGTTTTGATTTTTGATCTGTGATTTTCCCCAGCCTTGCTTTGATACATGATTGCGGACGTTGTTTCTCTCCCCCTTCCCTCCACTCACACCTTAAATCTTTATATATCCATCTTTCCTTGTGTTTGCACGAATACTATCAGGTTTTTTTAGTTGCGTTTGCGTTGAGTGCAGCCATTGTTTCTCTATGCATCATATATACATTAATTTTTTTATGTCTCTCAATCTCCCGCTTGCTGCTTTCCCCATCACCTTCTCTCCATTTTCCCTTGTATTATTTTTATCCTTGCTCTCTTATACCGCCTCTCAAAAATACCTCCTATGCTGTTCACACTTGGATGAAGGAAGCAGAACCAATTTTCTCACATTCAGCTACATATGAACTTTTTTTTTGTCCATTGATTGAAAATTGGTAACCAATTCAAGAAGGATATACAAAACAGAATCGAGACAACTGAAGTAAAACGTTTTCATTTCCTTACCTTTTCTTTGTTACTAGGGGCGGGATATGGTTATCAAATCCTACGTGTCTGCCTGGATGCTTCAGCGGGCGTGCCATATACTGCAATTTAAAATCAATCCTCAACTGTTCGTATCCACTGCTCTCATTCTTCGTACGGAATCTCGTTGAAGGAGAATTGGTGAAAATCACAGATAATAATAGCCGTGGAAGTACGCCGGGTACAATGAATGCGAGGGAACCCCACCCACTCTCCAACAACCACACTCTACGACCTCACTAGGAAGAAGGGAAGGCGGGGGATCGAATATGATGTAACGATTTTGGTGTGCCAGGTAGAGGTTGGTCCGTCCGCCACATTTGTGGCTTGATGCAGTCAACATTTTGCTGCAGGATAAAGGGAGGAGTTGAGATACAGGATCAGAGAGGCGATGTAATTGTGTTTGACGTCTACTACGAAGACGGGACACGAGTTGCGATAAAAAGCAGTTTGGGTTTTCATTTTGCGTATATTTTTATATCTCCACCTTTTGATTTAGATTTGCTGATTGTATTGTCGTTGCGGGTAGATGATGATACAGGTTACAGGTCGGCTGACCCCTCGAGTGACTCACCTGACCTACGCTAGTGGAGGTCACCTGACCCAATAGAAATGGTGACTAGTCAAAGGGTCAGTTGAGCTCCGTACAAACCTAAGCAGTTACAACCTTTTATACACCACTGCCCCCCCGCCCCCTCACCACACATTTTATAAATGGTCAATCACTAGTAAGATATTAATAATTCAATTCCACAACATAATCACAATTATCACCATGATTAACACATTGAAGAAGTATGTGAGTTTTAACTAATCTCTAATTAATCTTTGATTGATATACTAAATAATGAATAATGTCAGTACTGTCAATATTTAGAGATTGAAAAGAGAGAGCTGTCATTGTCAGATTTTGATATAACAGTAAATTTAATTAACAGTTTGATTTAATTAATAATTAATTAATATTTAATTAAAAGCAAATCAAATTGTTTGTAAGAGAAATATTCTGTTATTTCTCTGATTATATAAATTTAATAAGTTTTCTTGACTGATTGAAAATTCATTAAAAACTCATATTCTAACAATAATTAATTAATCAGATTAAAATGATTACAAACAATTTCAGAAAGCATATGAAAAAGCATTCTGAGACAAATATTGCAGATCAAAGCAGAAAGAGTGATATTGTATATAATGATAGTAATAAAGCTTTTAATATATATTGATATCTAATTATACAGTGATGCAGCACTGATTGATTATTAGTTATTAATTAATAAATAGTATTTTATAAAATGATTATTGTAAATTATGAAAACATTATAATTGAAATAACTAATTTTGAATAAGTTGCATAGTTGAAAGAATTTGATAATGAATCAATTGTTGAAAAGAAGATGAAGCTGATTACGAAGAAGATTTCTCTATCTATAAAAAAAAATAATAAAACAATGAGTATTCAAGTATTGATGTTTGATTAATAAATAGTTGATAGTCAATTGATCATTAACTGATTATAATCAGCACAATATTATCTTGATTAAAGAAATTATAAAGAAATGAGAGCTTTCAATCCCATGCAAGATCTGCAAAAAAATTGAAAATAATAAATAATTAAAACAATATTTTATTGATTAATAAACAGTTGATATCAGTTGCTAACTAATCATAATTTATTGCAAGAAGTTTGAGAAATGTTTCTATAAAATACTGTTTTTCTCAATATTGAATGTTACTAATGAAGCATCAGTGATGGCTAAATTCTCAGAATAGAGGAAATCTTTAAACTTTTTTAAGAAGATGAAAAAGAAGAATGATGAGAAATTTAAAGAAAAGAAATATAAAAATACATTTAAAAATGATGAAAAGAAAACTATTAATGAATGATTGATAAATGATTGATTAATATTAATCATTGATTAGTTGTTTTAAATTGAATGTATTGATCTGTTGTCATTCTTTTGACATTCTTTCTTAAATTGAATAGTTTGAATAGTTGTTTGATTCTGGGCCGGAATTCTGCTATTGCATGTATTAAATTGACTTTGTATATTAGCTTATTCTTAAGTTGAAAAATCCTGGAGTATTTCAGGTAGATGTCATAGTCACTGACTGCATACATCTATAATGGAAGAATAATAATAATAATAATCAAGCTTTTCAAGCCTTTTCAGTCTCTTTTCATCAAACTCTTTATTTATGAACATCATCTTCTTCAGCTCATTTCTTTAACCTCAGTACAATTCATCATTTTTGAATCATTATTAAACATTTATTCATTTCTTTATCTTTCTTTTCATTTCTGTAGAAATAATCTAGATGATTTAAACAGTCAGATCAGTGTTTGAGCATTGAATATTTCAATGAATGAATTCAATACTGAGCTGAAATATTTAAACATCATTGTCACACCCTTGGTTGTGCCAAGGCCCCGTGACGGCTCCACACGGCCCATCGTTTCCCCTCGGATAATCCCATCTATCCCATGACGTCACGCAGGTGTCCAAACCGGTTTCCAACCACCCTATGACATCATTCGGATGCAATAGAAGAGGATCCGATTGATGAGATATGAGAATCCTGTTTCTATACGGGGTCTGGATTCCTTCTGGCAGATCAATGCAGCGCCACTGCGGAGTTGCTTCGGCTACCCTCGCTCATAGAGTGAGGGGAGGATGGCTGCCCGTTGTCTATATAGAATAGCTAGATGCTGGCTCTCTATTCCAGGAGCCAGCGATTCGTCTTTTATCTTTTGACAATAAGATACCAGAGTTACCACTGTCCTCATACAATATCCTTAGTGTGCCGAGTACCTCTGGTAGTTCAGTATTTGTATAGTATTCTACGAGTTCGCGGTTCAAGCGAGATAATCAAGCCCACCCATAAGGCTTCCCATTATATACCATCCTCCTCTGTGCCGCTGCCGAGTAGCAATCGCCTCGGCGCCGTCACATTACAATCATAAAAGTGATTGATATGAGCAGTTGCAGCTTTATCAATCAGAATGATGTTGAGCTGTTCAGCATCTATATCACTGATATGATTCAATATAGACACTTTTCATTCAAATGAAAATCTTCTGAATTATCTGTTGATTGAAGATACAATGATTTTTCAGACTCAATTGCGTCAGACATCAGACTTTGTTGAGAAGTTTCAAATGATAGATTTTTATAGAAAACTGATTGATCATTATTTTAAAAAATCATCTCTTCTATCTTCAATAGCAATCACAATTCAGCATTGAATAAGTGTGAACTGAAAGCCTCATATTCTTCATCTGATCTGACAGATATCTCTGACCCATATTTGTACAATATAATGAAGTTATTAAAATCAGTAAAATGTCAGAGTAAGTCAGCTTCTGCATTTTTTTTTTTTAATTTATCTGTGGAGCTCTGCTTTCTGACACTGCCTTCAACAGAACATCTGATTTTTGTGAATTTGAAAAGTGATGGAGAAAATCCTTCAAATGATGATGAATTCTGAAGGATTATTAATCTCAATGTGCGCGCCGGTACCACAGACGGAGGGGTTATGGGTACACCTTTCAGCTTGAGAGTCAAATTGAAGTCTGGAACTTCTATCAACCCTGGAAAGTGTGCTGGGGAAGTGTGTGGGCTGATGGGGTGGGGATGTGTGTGACACACAGATGTTCAAGTCAAGATTCCTTTCTCATCAAACACTCTTCAGAAAAAAGAGGGCTGAGGTGACAAAAGCAATCTCAGTGACAACAATGATTTCAATCACTTCAGCAACTGCAGCAGCAGTGATGACAATGAGATGTATTAAGAAACTGATGATGATGACCATGTCATTAGATAGCCACACAAGTGGTGAAAACTCTGAATATGACAGTCCTTCAGGTTTGTCGTCACTTCTGCTGCTTGCACAGAGGATCCCTCTCCAGCTGCTGTGGTAGACAATAAGCCAGGGAAATGGAGTCCGATGATGAAGCACAATGAAAGCCCGGCCGGTGATTCTTCCAGTGTGTCCACTGTTTCACTAGATGATGCAGTGACAAACTGCTCGGGTGACAACATACCAGTCTCCAGCTTTCTTTCAAGCTCCGTGGCCGGGTCCAGAGTGTGCTACACTATAACATTCTGTCACGAGGAGACCAGCCGGCTCCTGTCGGCGACTGCAAATGATCTGTCGAGCCCCAGCCAAGAAGGGCGGCCGTCTGTCGCGACCGGTAGATGTGTGCCATTTACCTCAGAGGATGACGCGCTGCTGAAGGAACTCAAGGAGGACGGCGAGTCATGGGATGAGATCGCCAAGCACTTCCTGGGTAGATCCAAGGCGACTCTGCAGGTGCGGTATAATACTCCATCAAGCTGAAGCATCGCACCCCACCGCCAACTCACAAGTCGAAGTCAAAGTCAAGGCCGAGAAAACATGGATGCTGTTGAGCGAGAATATCTCCCAATGGCTGCTACAAAGAGTCTACCACAGCTATACACGTACCCTCCACTTACGGAAATCTCCCTTTACCATGGGATGAAGTGGCCACTTCCGGTGCGTCCCAAGCCGGTGTCTCTCCACGGAGTAGGAGTGGCTGGTTGAAAAGGTGGTGGATCCTGGGATCCGCGCGCGAGGGGGCAAGTCAATGGGAGATCGCGCAGGGGGCGGTGGTTGGTCAGAATCTTCAATTATTGTGATGTGTCAATATCAATATCAGTTCTGATTTGTTTTGTACTACGGAGTACATCTGTCTTGATTGTTTTCTTTGTTTGTTTCTGTTCTCTTCATTTGATCTTATTTCGCTTCTCAGATTTCATTCCAGCCCAGGAGCTCTATTGATATTGCCTATCACATTTCCCACCCATGGTATGGTATTTTCTTTGTGTGTGTTCCTTTGTTTGTGTCTTTGTTTGTTTGCTCTTCCCTCTTTTTTCTTTGTCTCTCACTTTGGTTTTTCTTCGAACCATTTCAGTTTGTCTATTATGTCTAGCCCCGGAGAAAAGTAACGTGACTCACCACCCAACGAACTCATCCACCCAACGAACTCCTATTTTTTCCATGAATCCCTGCAACTCTTCAACTTCAACCACCCACCATGCCACCCAACGAAGCAATTATAGAGCAAGCGATCGCTCAATTGAATCGACAATTGATTCCTAAATATGCTGAGGTTGCAAAGGAATTCGGAATCAATCGCGTTACCTTGATGCGGCGGTTCAAAGGTCAACAGGTCTCCAGAACAGAGGCAACATCAATCTACTGTCAGAATCTCACGAATACTGAAGAACAACGCCTCCTATTTCATATTAATCAGTTATCCGATCGCGGCTTCCCTGTGACACCTCAAATACTGCGCAATTTTGTATTAGAGATCACCAAAATGCAAGTAGGAATCAACTGGGTGTCTCGCTTTTGTGAGCGGCATAAAGCAAAGATCAAGAGCATCTATCTTCGTGCTCTGGATCAAAAGAGAAAGCAGGCAGATAATAGCTACTATTTTGAACACTTCTTTACTCTTGTAATTGCAGTTTTTTTGCTTCTTTTCGCGTGCAATTCCATGAGCTTTTTGCTGACTTCTATTGAATAGTTGCAGGAGAAGATCAAGCAGTATAATATCCTACCCCAGAACACCTACAATTTCGATGAAAAAGGCTTTCTTCTTGGCCTCCTTCGTACCCTCAAGCGAATCGTTTCTATAGAAGCTCTCAAACGGAAGCATACAATTGGAGCAGTGCAGGATGGCAGTAGAGAATTCATTTTTCTGCTTGCCGGTATTTGTGCAGATGGAACTACAATTCCACCTGCACTCATTTACCGCGGGGAATCAAGAGATATGCAAGATACGTGGCTTGAAGATTTTGATCCTAAAAAGGATCAGGCATACTTCGCTGCTTCAGAAAATGGATGGAGTAATGATGAATATGGGTTAACCTGGCTGAAACAGGTGTTTGATCCTCATACAAAGCAAAAAGCAAGAAATCATTACCGCCTGCTTATATTAGATGGCCATTCATCTCATATAAATATGGCATTCATTGATTATGCGGATCAGAATCGAATTTTGCTTGCTATTCTTCCTCCCCACTCTACACACCGTTTACAGCCGCTAGATGTTGGAATATTTGGCCCACTTGCAAAGGCATATTCAGATCAACTAGATTCCTATACATGTTCTGGCTATGGCTTTATTCAGACTACAAAGCGAGATTTTGGCGATTATTTCGTGCTGCATGGGAAATCTCTACAACTGCGGAAAATATCAAATCTGCCTTCATGGCCACTGGCATACATCCTATAGATCCTGCCCGCGTTCTCAAAAAGATTCAACCACGTCCACTTACACCCCCTGAACTGCTTCAGCAGCGTACACCTACATCTATACGAGCTTTGCGAGGCCTGATAAAGCAGGCAAGTCAACGTCACCGCCGACTTTCAGTTGATATTAAAAAAATTCTCCGCGCTGGGGAGAATATTGCTCTGGACAGAGAGGTTCTCTTAATAGAGAATAAGAATCTTCAGACTGCTCTAAATAATGAGAGAAGGCGACGCAAACGGGGTAAGCGTATGGGGTTGCTTAATCCATCAAATCCCTCACTTGCTCAATTCTTTTCTCCCACAAAGGTGCAGGCCGCGAGGGAGCAAGCAGATGCTAATGAAACTGCGAAAATCGATGATCAGGCACGCAAGGAGGATATGAAGCTTCAACGAGCGATTCTTCGTGAGCAAAAGCAGGCAGAGCTCATGGAGCGGAAGGAACAACGTGAGAAGGAACGTTTAGAAGCTGCTCAACGCCGTGAGGAGGCCAAAGCTGCAGCTGCAGCTAAACGTTGTATAGAGAAGCAACGGCGAGATGAACAGAAACTTCAACTGCAAAAAGAGAAGGAAGAACGCGCTGCCAAACGTCATGAAGCACAGTTGGCAAAGAAGGCACTCGCAGAGGCCTCAAAGAGGCCTACAAGAAGATCAACAGTGGGCTCAAAACACCGTAGAAGCTCTATACAACCTTCTAAAAGCGGTAATAAGTGCCGCACGCAGGCCCCCCCAGTGGAATCAAATGATATTCCTTCTCTGAAACCTTCTACGCCGCGATCCGATTCAACCGTTTCAAAACCACGAGTTTCACGTTCCGGGCGGATTATTAGGCCAAGCAATCGTTCTCTGAATTAATCATATATATTTATATGATGTATTCTACATATAGTTTTAATCTTTAATAAATAATATTAATATCTTCTTGCATTGTTGTGCTACAGTTGAAAATTAACGGCTCTATAGAGCGCTTTTTGGAGTTCGTTGGGTGGATGAGTTCGTTGGGTGGTGAGTCACGTTATAAAAGCCTCCCCGATTCTGGATATCCATATAAACATTCTTAAACTGTAGCAAATCATCAACTGGAAATTCATATCTCAACAGAAACCCCATCACTCATCTCACTTGTAATAGAATGTTTTCAAAAATTCACCACCATGCTGAATGCCAACCATGGCATGCGAAGACTTTCGTCAACCTCCTCGGATGTCAAAGGCGGCGACAATACGTCTCAGCAAGACAAAATCATGGAGATCCATAGCCAGATGCTTGAAATGATTGAAATACTTGGGCAAATGTCCGCAATACTCAAGACAATAGAAACATGGAGTAAAGAACAATATGATGCTGATCTACGGCCCTCTGCGAAAAAAAATCAGGATGTAGCATGCAACATTTGAGTGTCGGTAAGCATTATTTCTGTAGGTGGATACTACGGCTACCCTAGATCACGTGCTCCCCAATCTTATTTAGTTGTTGCTCGGCTAGTTAGTTTTAATACATAACAACGTTCATTCTATGAATTTCCATGTCCAGTAGGCTTTATTGCTGACCGTTCACCAAGGTACATCGAGAATGAGTACAATGGATGGAAGAAAGGGAATCCGATAATTGGACAGGTCTCTGTTTCTTCATACCTTGCTACAGTTGTGTGCTCATGGATATAGATATAGGCCATATGGCTACTTCTCAGCGGGAGTTCACCATCGCGTCAGCATTCTCTCATAATGTGTGTTAAAAAGCTTCTAGAAACCGACAGAGCCTTTAGACTCCCAACTGCCTCTAGATATTTAGTTGTTCAAACTTATTGGCTGCAGGTGTAATGAATAGCAATGTTCACACTTCTCCAAAAGACAGAGAATATTTGCTGCTTGCAGTGTTCCAATATAAGTCCTTCCTTTCTATAGACGCGGTTTACAGTGCTAACTGTTCTGTTTCTATGGAACTTGTCACACTTGCTTTTGCTCTACATAATATCCCTTCCAGCTGTTCTTCTTCGGGGTTTAGCTGTCGGCAGATACATTGATTGCCTATAAAGAATGACCTAGAGACAATTAAAATACAGGCAAAGGGTTCACCCAGCCATCAAGTCATAAACTCATCATATGCCCCAAGTTTGTTGAGCCATCTGCCCTCATCTTATTAACCTCCTCCAAGTCTCAGAGGATCATGTCTACATATTCACCTGTGCTGCTAAGTTTCATAATCTTTGCAATGGCTCAATGGACATGAGAAAAATGATGGATCTGTCCCCTTGCTATATATCCCACTTTGTCAACCGAAGTCTAAGTTTTTCAATCCAATTTTCCACCATTGATGTCAAATGGACTGAGTCTAGAACCCTGATGGTTGTGCATCTGTCGCAATGCCGAATGCCAACCATGGCTTGCGAGGACCTCAACCTCCTCGGACGGCGACAATAGGTCTCAACACGGCGAAATCATGGCGATCCATAGCCAGGTGCTCGAGATAATTGAAATATTTAAGCGAATGTCCGTGATACTCAAGAGGATAGTGGGCTTTATTGCTGACCGTTCAGCAAGGTACGTCGAGAATCAGAATAATTGAATGAAATGAATGGGAATTGACATCCAGTTATTGAGATTGTTGGTTCCTTGCTTTGGCTGTCCGTGAGATAAAAATCCGACGCGGAAGACAAAGTGACTTTTGCTGAAACCCAATTGTTATTGCTGATTGATGGTACGAGTTGCTGTTACTGGATTATCATACATATACCTTCTAGTTCTTTCCAGCTGTGTAGTTCTATTCTTAGGTGTAAGATTAAAATTATATGAAATTGACTGGTGAAATAAGATATATTTGAACAGTTCAATCCACAGGCAAAAGGAAGAACAAGTCGACAAGAAGGGTAACAGCACCTTCAAGCTATTTCTCAAAGACCTGTTTTCAATTCTGCTCAGACACTACACTACTCTAGACATCTGACCCTCTTGTTGTAGAGGTACACCCAGTCAAGCAATTGTTATTACAGGGTCTTTTCGACATGCCCACCTGATGAAGTCGTCTTTTCAAGGGTCCAACCCGCTTTTTCATCGGGCGCCTGTCTATGTCGGACCGGTGAAAGTCTATGATCAGGACCCGGTGCAGCTCGTCATTCCATAACATGTTGGCAGACCGCAGGTCTTTATGAACCACTCCCAGCATGCGGATTTCCTTCTTCGACCTGGAAATCTCACGACTAAGCTCTTCCTTGTCTTTGACATTTTCTATACTTTCCCCTGCCCAACCCATGAGAAGCATATGGCGGATGTCCCCAGCACCATGGAGGAAAAGGAATAATTTCAAATCAATCGTCCCCAGAAATACAGGGACAGCAGAACCCTGTGCTTTCTGAAGAACCCGGTATATTTCTGCTTCACGTGAGACAACTTTCCATAGTCCAGATGTTGTCCCCTTTCCAACAAGAGTGTAGCCATATGCAGCACAAGTGATCTTGAAGGGTGCACCATACGATCCACAAGTCCCAAATGGTGTGCAGTTATGATCAAGGTCACGATCAAGCTGTTCATTCAGTATTTGCACAAGCTTCCTTGCATTGATACAATGTCGATCATCATTCTGGCCTCGCCGGTGGAGAGAAACATTAGGGCATTGATGGTCCAATTCACCTCCTTGTTGCAAACCCAATAAGCACTGCTGCGTACAGTAACGTGCCGTGTGTTGGCTCTGACCGCTCGATGGCCTAGGACCTGCTGGGCGCGCCGATGAACGCTGGCTGGGCGGGGAGGACATCACTTGGCTGAAGCCCCGCTTCCGGCCGTGCGCTGCTTGGTTAGATTCGGAGTCGGAAGAATCCATATGATCACTCAAAGGTGAGGTATCCATTGGTGCACAGGTGGTTTGAGATCGGGTAGAAACTCGATGGCCGGGCTGTAATGGAGATGATGGCAGATGTTCAGAGGGTATATATTCTGAGCTTGCATATTCCGATCCTGGAGGAGTTTGTTGCAGCTCGTCATCGGGGATTTGCGACCGTGTAAAGTCAAAACTTGTCTTCCATATATGGAGCTGGGATCTTGCAGCATTCCGCCACTTCTGGTCACGGATATCCGAGAGAAAGGACATCAGACAGAGACATAATATTCTGGCAATAGCTGTCTTTGACTGATAAAAGACCCCAGGATTTTCTGAAATCACATCCATGTTTGGTTCACAGAGATAGTAATAGAGCGTACTAGGGTCGTTGTATGGAACACGAAGAAGAACAATAGCAAGTCCATTAGTTATGTAGGAGTACTCCAGTCCAGCTTGGATCATGACATGATACTCCTGAACCAAAACTGAGCAAGTCAGCTGTTCCGCATTATATCTCAGCTTTTCATCCTTGTTCAGCTCATCACTCTTGGGGATTGTGTCTGACTGAACAATCTCTTCCCAGAGCTTCATTGATCGAAGACCAGCTCGGAGATTTTCAACTGAGAGCTTGTGTGGCGGCTTATATTCGACTGTCGTAATCAAAGTATTGGTGGAATCGTTGATTCGATGAATACAGAATGAATCTGGTTTGGGATGTTTTGTACTGGATTCATCAAGCAGCTGTACATCTGACTCTTCTGATGTCTGTAGAAGATTTTCATGATTTTCAAACAGGATCCCATCTCCAAGCCGGAATCTCTCTCGGGCATCAGGTATTTTGCATAGCTCAGCTATGATATCATGGACATGATCTTCTACAGCGGTTCGCTCGTAGTGTTCCAGATCCTTTTCACTTCGTAGTTTTCGGCTAGAATACCGCCGGCCAAGTTCATTTAGCACAAGAAGAGATGTGAATAGCCGAGGTGTGTCTTGTCCAGCTGGTTGGAGGTAAGTGGAAACCGAATCGTAAATTTCTTGCAGTTGAACCGGACAACTTGACCAAAAACGAAGGCTCGTTGGGCAGTATTTCCCAGTGGGCGGTGGAATACTCCCCTTCGTGGAGCGGGATGGCGTTCCAACCTGCAAAGGCTGGGAGAATGAATCATGACAACCTTTGATAAGCTCTCCGAGTGTTGTCGGCTGGCTGCGCACTTTTTCCTCTGCCTCTCGCTCTTCTGCCTGCCTTCTCAATTCTTCCGCCTGCCTTCGCAACTCTACTTCCCGTGCCTCTCGCTCTTCTGCCTGCCTTCTCAATTCTTCCGCCTGCCTTCGCAACTCTACTTCCCGTGCCTCTCGCTCTTCTGCCTGCCTTCTCAATTCTTCCGCCTGCCTTCGCAACTCTACTTCCCGTGCCTCTCGCTCTTCTGCCTGCCTTCGTTCCGCTTCCGCTCTATGATAGAGAGCCTCGTAATCTGATGAACTGTTATCGGCCATTAAAGAGGGATAAAGCCTTATTTAAAAAAGCGAAATGGGTACGAGGAATTTAGTGGCATAGAGAGGGGCGATAATCCTCTAGTGGTGGGGAGAAGCGAAATAATGCCAAGTCATCTTGCCCAAAATAACACGGATCAACGTTTGCCCGTCACTCGTCAGACGCGAGCCAAGAAAACTACACCTGACGAACTGCCCCATCATGCAGCCGATTTGTTGGTATGTAGTTTTCAAGTTTCGCACCGTTTTCAGCGAATAACTGAATCCGGCAGCCAAATTAAACAAGGGCGAACCATTTGCGAATGTCATACATTGAAACTCTGCATACAGAAAACATGAATGAAATAACTTAAACTGAAAACCTCCCCCCATGTGTCCTGTGAGCTATTGATTGTCATCAGGAGACAGTGAGTTACAGTACCTACTTTTATTTAATTTTCCCTCTCCGATTTAATTTTCGTGAAATTATAAGCAGCCAGACACAGCCAACGATCCCCTAAAGTGGGCTATCAGCCTCCGACTGTTACTTGAGAGGATGAAACGAGCTTGTTTGTAAAACTCATTCTAATGACTACCCACGGAATCAAAAGCTACATCGAAGTTCCAGGTTTCGACGTTCTAGGATTCGGTGGGAGGCCCTTGAATAACCAGGTGCACCAGCAGCTGGTAGTCGTCGTACCTGAAGTTTCCTTTTGCCTTTCAGAGGTGCTCGAATAATTGTGCTAGATCAGACGCCACGTCCCCATCATTTAGCCGCGACGGAAGGCTGTAGGTGCACCCTCTCTCTGCAAAGTATAGACGAGTTCGGAAATCACATCTTGGTAGAGTGGGTCAAGGCTATCAACAGCGCCATTGTAGGAAATTAGACGCGACTCATATATTCTTTCAGCTTCCTGAAGCGCGCCTCGTAAACGATCAACTAAGTTGGTTAGAGGATGGTTCTTGATAATGATGCGATCTTCTTGTGAAAGTCCCGCCATTTAGACGGCTTAAAAGACCGTTGTGTAGGCGCGAGGTTAATTAGAAGTTGGGGAGAAAAGTTCAGTTGGTAAGTTATGTGATGAAAGCAAACACGGGAACAAAAGTGCAGAATGGTTAGGAATTTATGATGTGTGATACTTGCGAGAGAAGATAGCTTGCTGGGAACAGATGATATATAGGATTATGGTCAAAGGTTGATCCGGCTTGACTTTGATGCAGAACGCGAATGTGGGAACGGATAGAGCCGCGAGGAACCAAGATTAATCCTATTTGATCGCGACGGAATGGCCATAAGCGCGAACAAAATAGGGGAATTGAAATTGTATTTGCGGAACGCCGGCTATTCCCATTTAAGATTAATACAGGCCAACCAATCGGTCGTGTTGCAGATGTGGTAAGAGCGTCGCTTAAAGTGCGAAGGCCCCCATAGTTGGAGGATGAAAGCTAGCAAGCGAATCATGATTGGAAAATCCTCATCATCCCCCCTCCAGGTGCGCGGTTTTCTGGAGGGAACATTACATAGATCTTCTATTTGCGGTTGCATAAATGGGACCCTTTCAAGTTTGGCAGGCATCAAGATATTTAAAAAGTGTTAAGGGCGGTATTCTGTTCTTCTAATGTCCATTGAGCTTATTCTGAGTCCTGTTGACCCTGCTCCGCCTCCTGCCGACCAAAAGCTGGAGCAGCCTCTGAATCTCGTCATCGGCCATATATGGCAGGTACAAATATTCAGTGCAATAGGCGAAGTAATGAAGATGTGCAGAAGATGCTGGCGAACTAAAGATGGGAAGCACACATTTTAATGGACCTTTCAGGATTTTGGTGTGTAGGTACGCTTTTTGACTAGTGACAACACTCATGTGAGATATCAACACCTAGATTAAACACATTTACAGCTTGGACATTGTTTGGAAAGGAAAATGGTTTTCGAGCTATCGTTCCACCAGCTGGCTCATGCACTCGCTTTACCCCATGTAGTCATTTTACCCTCACCCTTCCTTCGCCCTCATTCAACCACGCTCGCCAACGCTCACCAACGCTCACGAGACGCTAAGAGCAAAGGGCTCGCCCAGCTGTTCGCACGTCATCAAACCGAATAGGCGAAAAAATATATATATAAAAAGGGAAAAGAACTTCTTAGCTTGTTGGGCTTCGCTACTCGAATAACTAATCAGCCCTAATCAGCCCATGCTAACTATGACTACCTGAAAGCTGTTGACAAAGATTGTGTGCTCTAAAGATTAATTTTCGTACTCCAAACAGTACAATATCCAAATACATCTCCTACCCTCTTATAGAACCGCTGCCTTGATGGGCAAATCCTCCCTCACCGGGCGTCATGCTCCGCGAAACCCTCATCCTTGTGCTGCGGACACTGACCACGTGTGATAGTTTGGCCAAGGTGCACTTCCTTTGGGTTTCCGCAGGCTTGTTGCAACGGTCTCACGCTAGCCTCTTTGGTTCTCCCCGCAGGTAGTTCGAATTTTGCACTTCCGTTATCCCATTTTAGCGCGAGCTCTGTGGCACGCTAGATCGGAACTGTAGCGTGCTAACTTTTTAACCTGGGATGATGTACGGAGTACAGATTACAGTAGTCTCATGATGATAAGATAGGTATTATATTTTGGGTATTGGGAATACAACTCTATATTTCAATACCATGTGATGTGAGCTTGTCGATGTCCAACCTCAACTAAACTTCGCAACGGGTATTCACAATATCTGCATTTGATGACTAGCCTTATTTCCACTCGAAACTGCCGAGGATAAATAGGTGCGTTCCAATCGCCTATTCATATCTGATATACCGCAACCGCAAGTGGCCATAATTCACGGCGCTACCTCTACTACGTTCCTTCCGATGCAAGCAAAATGACATCACTTAGTCTCTGGCCATCCCAGCGGGTTTGTTACTGGTCTCCCGGGTATCCAGGGCCTTAGGTAGTTAAATTATCCCTTTACCAACTGCGAAGCTCATAGGACACTACGCACTTCTGGCAACATAGATGGATGACGAATATTCTACGGGCCAGCGGAGCAGATTCCGCTTCAAATCTAAACAGAGCACAGGACGCTCTAAATCAAAATCAGAAGGTCGGGGCGGCGATAGCAGCCATGGTGCTAAACCACAAGCGCCATCAGGATCATCTCATCCTCGTCACTATCGACGTCGACATCACCACCGCCGCCACGGGTCTTCCAAACGCCACAAATCCTCGTCCACATATGACGACGCCCAGCCTCCGGAACTGTCCCCAGACGCGGCATTCCGTGAATCTCTCTTCGACGCCTTGGCTGATGATGAGGGCGCGGCGTATTGGGAATCGGTATATGGGCAGCCAATTCACACCTACGCACGTCCAGACGGGCGTGGTGAGCTGGAGCAGATGACGGATGAGGAATATGCGGCATATGTGCGTGCACGTATGTGGGAGAAGACTCACGAGGGGATCTTCGAGGAGAGGAAACGAAGGAAAACGGAGCGGGAAAAGCAAAGGAAGGAAGGCAGACGGAGGGATGAGGGGAGTGAACGTGAGGCGTTTGAAAGGATGATTGAGGAGAGCTTACGGAGGGGCCAGGAGAGGAAGATGAAAAAGCGTCAAGCGAATGTTTGGTTGGATGTCTGGAGAAGGTATTTGGATAGTTGGGAGGATTTGAATGTGCGAGCCCGTGCGGCAGCGACTATGAATTGTGCCACCACTTCTGCTGACAAAATGGACGAAAAACTTCGAAACCTCATTTTCTGGCCTGTTGAATCGGGCAAAAGAAGGGATATTTCCCCTGAGTCTGTGGAAACGTTCATACGGAACGCGCCTGTTTCCAGCCCGACGGACTCACCCGCTCCTCGCCCTGGCCCTGGCCCTGACTCGGGGCGGGGGAGCAGTAATCAGTCCCAAGCATCTGACATTCTTACTGTTTTGAAAATTGAACGGGTCAGATGGCATCCTGATAAAATGCAACATCGATACGGGGCGCTTGGGATGGATGATCAACTCCTAAAGAGCGCCACAGAGGTTTTTCAAATAATCGATCGTATGTGGGTGGAGGAGCGCGAGCGCGGGAATAGGGGAAGATGATGTAATCTGTGGTTTTTCTCCCTCGTGCAGATTTTAATATTGGGTGATGCTCTACTCAGTATGTCCTCTTCTGGCCTAGACCTACCCCGAGGTGTTTTTCGCGTACTTTGATGCGAGTAACTTCGTGGTTGTTTATTGGATTGATCATTCCAATTCGGGCCTCGGACAAATTAGCCTTCTAGATCGCGGGTAAAACAAAAATCCAACCTTCATGTTCGAAGAGACACAAACAGAAGTTACTGCACATAACTATGCAAAACTATTACTGCGTATGTCGAAGAAACAGAACATCACTAAACCCTGCACCGTGAAACTGCAGCTTCCGGGTTCGCCCTCCTAACAAAAATATATACCACCGCTGCGAATTTACAAAAAAATTAAAACCGTGATAGCGGCTATCATTCGTTTGGCGTTCAGATCCCTTTAAGTTGAGTTCCGAACGTTGGGTGCACTTTGAGCTTCCAATTGTTGAAGCTTTATATTCACAGAAATGAGCGCCCCGGACCGTAAAGGTATTGTGGACATACGGGACTCTACAAATTTTGCTTGCTTGAAAGATCCATATGTGGTACAAGACTATCTAGACCTGTTGGATCTTGGATGTATGCCCTGATTAGCTTCTCAAGCATTGGGAATTTACCATCAGCTAGCTCCCTTTGATATGGGCTAAATCTTGCATGTACAGTTTTGACCCCGGGGATTGACACATTTTTCCAAGGATCATCGGTTGAGTAACCTAACATCGCGTCCTGTCAAGTTGCAATTCCTGGTTATGCCAACCCAGAGAGAGATCCAGCATCGGCACATCCACGACTGGCAGGGTCACCTGAACGGGACAATGACTTTCGATCGCCATCTGCTGCCAAGTGTGATAACGATGGCGATGTGCATAAAGATACAACAGATCGACAATCTTTCACTCTTAAAATTGAATATGAATAAGTAGAATCCAACTAAAAGTCATCGTCTGGTGCCCGCTTCATTTACCCATGTAAAAATATTGATGCAAACTATGTCAGAACCATTATTCCAAAATGTCGCTCCGTTTCATCCGATTCATCTTGACTCTGCTGCTCCTATGCAAGAATCCCTATGCGGCGGACTGCCCGCTTCTCGGCCAGGCATTTCCTCCACCTCGAATGCTTTCCCGTTCATCGACCTGGAAGAAAGCAATCGAGGATTTCGAATCCAACCTCAAAGCACTTCTCTCCCAGTCCACTGACTTAGATGCGATGACCACGTCATTTTCAATCAATATCTTCTCAAGTCATGAGAAGAACCTACTCTACGAATACCATCACGATGCCCCGGGTCTCAAAGGCTCAATTGCTAAGGGCCAGAAACTCAATGGAGACACAATGTATCGAATTGCAAGTATCTCAAAGGCTATGACGCTATATACCTTTTTGATCGAAACTGGCTTCAAATATTTCAATGAACCTGTTGCGAAATTTGTCCCTGAAATCGAGAGGGAAATCCAGAGGCAAGGGGTGAATTTAGATGATACCCTGGTTCCTCAATGGAGAGAGATCACGGTCGGTTCTCTAGCAAGTCAGCTATCAGGAATTGGTTGAGGAAAGCTCCCCATCATTTTTTTCGCTAATTGCAAGCTCTCTATTAACACGCCCTTAGATTATTACAACGACATGGCCGGCAGAGTGAACCAAACAGTATCGACGCAGTTCGGTCTTCCAGCTTTAAGAGACTCTGAGATCCCCCGTTGTGGACAGAGGGGTCCTCACTTCGACCCTTGCACTCGAAGAGGCAAGCATTAAACTTTGGCTCCATGTCTTGAATGCATTTGTCTACTAACTTCGGTTTGCGCAGACATGTTCGCGGAATTCATCGTCCGTCATCCGGTTTTTGCTCCTTTTACCACTGCTATCTATTCGAACGTGGCTTTTGATATTATTGGATATGCCCTCGAGCAAATCACAAATGTTCCATTTGAAAAATCGGTCAAGCGCTCGATCATCAATCGACTCAAACTCAAACGTTTCGGTGTCGAAACACCTCCCACCACCTGGGGAATTATCCCATCTGATCCTGTAACATCGTATTGGAACGCGTCAGTTGGCTCCGGCAACCCTGCTGTAGGATTTTATTCAAGTGCGTCTGATCTGGCTCGGGTCGGACAGTCGATTCTGCAATCTCGTCTGATTTCAGAAACGGATACTCGACGGTGGCTGAAGCCCAACTCTCACACCTCCTCTTTGCTCTCTTCCGTTGGCAGCCCCTGGGAAATTTACCGATCATCAAGCCCAAGACTTGTTGATTTTTATACCAAATTTGGAGACCTTGGTAGATACGGCTCCGCAATCGCCCTCATCCCGGACTACGATGTTGGATTCACGGTTCTGGCGGCGGGTGCAAACCCAGGGCGCCAAAGAACACTCCTTGCTGATTTAATTAGCAGTTTACTCATCACCACTCTTGAAAAAGAGGCCCGGACCCAGGCAAGAGAAGCTTTCGCGGGAACCTACACATCCACATACAATGAAAACGACATGACCACTGTGGTGAAAATCAGTGACGAAAAGGACAGCCCTGGTCCAGGACTAGCTATTGACTCGTTCTATCTCAACGGCGTCTCATTTGAAGACATTGTTGGTGCATTCATCGGGGAAAGGCGGGGGACTTTCCCTAAAGTAGGTCTCCGTCTGCAGCCCACCGGCCTGACGGCAAGGTACGCCAACAGGTCGCGCGGATCGGTCCGGTCACGAACCTCCTTCCGTGTCATTGCGGAAATTCGGGAGCCAGGCGCCAATAATAATTTGACCAAGGAGAATATTTTCAGCGGTCCTTGTAAAACGTGGATGTCGATTGATGGCTTGCGGTACGGAGGTAGGTCTATTGATGAGCTTGTCTTCGAACTAGATGAAGCTGGGAAGGCTGTGGCGCTTGAAACGAGAATCACTCAACAAACGCTGCTGAGAACTGACGGTGGGAGCCCGTGATGATACCCTCTGTTTTTTTTTTTTCTAATTCTCATTTTCAGAGCGATGAGAAGGATGGAAAGTCTGAAAGAAGCGATAGAATGCATGAGAGTTACCCCTAGATTAAGATATGGTGCTCATCAATTCTGTTTTAATTGATTTCAAAAATCTGACTGATGATATGAACAATCATTCTTCAATATTAAATCCACCGTACCGTGGTAGTATTTGCTTTTATCATTATTCATTCATCAAACTGTTTCATTATATCTCCTTCCTCTTTATTATTTATCTACCTATTCTTCACTAAGTCAAACTCATATATAATTTTTCATCTCAACAGCCTTTTAATTTCTTATTTTCCATATCAGAAGACATAATTGAGGCCCGCAACCAATAATATTCCACTACATACAAGCTATCAGCTAGTTACTTATCAAAGTTCACTCTGTTCAACAAGTCTCAATTGAACACGCAGCTTTATTTTTGGCTGTCAAAGCAGAGTGAGTTGTTCTTTCTTGCCAAAATTTCTATGGCACCCCACTAAAAATACTTCTAGTAAGTTTTTAACTCGACTTTCTAGAAGTTATCATCTTCAACCTAGGAGGATGAGCTCCAGTTATAAGTAGTGAGAAATTAGAAATTAGCGCTAAGAGTTAGCCAGAAGGTTGTTAAAACTGCTAGGCCACTGGGGCAAAAGAGCTCGATCACCACCAGCGCCGTGGTGGTAGTAGAGAATGCTTCTGTTTTGGAATGCTAGTGTATGCGTTTTAGCAACCCAACGCAACGGATAGTTATATCATGTGATTTGCATCACCTTATCAACTTTGACATTCAACAATCTGGACCACTGTAACTACCCACGAAACAACGCATCTGATAGACATGGCACTAGTATCATATTCAGATTCTGAAGGCTCAGGTTCAGAATCTACACCTGAGTTATCCAAGAAGAAGAAAGCAGCTGCCGCTACACTTTCAACTACCCGCGAGCCAAGTTTCCAAAGCCTCACTGATCGAGGGAATCGGCGCAAGATCCTCGTGAGCCTGCCAGACGCAGACAAACATACTACGTCTGATGATCAGCGATATGACGGCGACGGTAACGGCGATGATAGTGACGGTCCTGCGAGAAAACGTCCCAGAATAGGCACTCAGAGCGGTGGCGGCGGTGCGTTTTCGTCCTTCAACTCTTTACTCCCGGCACCGAAGCGGAAGGGGCCGGTTAGGCCTGGAATGGATAAGAAAGGTGATGGAACGGGAGCGCCTGTACGCAAGGTTTTTGCCTTGAAAACGGGGCCGGAACTGGGGTTTGACCGTCAAGCTGACCACCAGATGAAGTGGGATCTTAGTAATGGGGGTGTTGATTCTGGGGCAAATGGGGCGGTTGTTAGGGATGGAAGGGATGTTGCATTTGGCGATGGGATAACTGAATCTACTAAAGAGAAGGTTGAGAAACTGGCTGTTAAGCCGAAGGGAAATGCGATGATGTTCAAGCCTTTGTCTGTGGCCAGGGGTACGACCATGAAGAAGGCTATGAGGAAAACGGCGATGTCGCTACCTGGGACTACGTCGTCGTCGGGAGCTGGAGGGAAGCCAGTGACTGAAACAGCATTAACACCTGGGCAGGGAAAAGCTGAAGATACCATATCTAATGCGGGCCCGAAGCCAAAAGTTAGTCTCTTTGGGCTTGGGAAGGAAGATGAACAAGCCCCGTCCGTTTCACAGCCCTCCTCCAGCCCGTATGTGCCTTTGGTATACAGCACGACAGGTCCCTCTACCTCTTCAACCATTGAACCCTCCGGACTCACTGATCCCACCGTACCCGCCGAAACCACTGAACCCGGACCCCAAAATCAACCACAAACCCTCGCCAGCATAGCCGATGATTTGAATCTCACCCCTGCTCAGAAACGTCAGCTGTTTGGCCGTCAAGGCCTCTCCATATCCTCATCAAGTGCCACTGGTGAAAAACAATCGAACCCTAACATCATAACCTTCAACACAGATCAAGAGTACTCCTCCAACAACGCATTCCTGTTGTCAGCATCTGACGCAGAACTGGCTGCCCAGCAACACAACCCCGTTCGTTCAATTGCGCCGGGTAAGCACAGCTTGCAGCAGCTGGTTAATGCGGTAAGTAATCAGCGCGGTGCACTGGAGGAAAGCTTTGCAGCTGGCAAGAGGAATAAGCGAGAGGCTGGGAGTAAGTATGGATGGTAATCGAGGAAAATTTTGTGTGCGTGTGTGTGCGTGTGTGTGGAGGTTGGAATAGGGTTGGTAGGTCGTGTGTGGAAGATGGAAGGCATCTACACTCCTATACCCTTCGATTACTGCTCGTATTACATTTATCTTGCATGTCTCTATACCCAGTGCTTTGCGAGCGCCGAATTATACTGCTCTTAATGGGAAGTAAGATATGATGAAATTGTTATATAAATGGCTTCGCTTCAGTGCGCGAATTGTTTGGTTATGGTTTTACATGTTGAGTTAGGCATGGTCTAAGGAGTTTGATAAAAATGCGCATTTGCTTGTCGGCTTCTAGCACTTTTCGTGAAAACATTGCACTGGGGTGAGTTCCGGTGAAATGAGGCTTGTTTTACCTATATTTATATATATGCACTGGTACGATTCTGAGGCTCAATCATTGATATGATCAGTTATTGAATTCATTAGATGAAGAAGTAATCTAAAAGCCCACGGGCCGATTGGAAACTCATTCTAGAAACTCGAAGAATATCGAAATAAATACATCCTAACTGTGCACAACATATATAAAAATCCATGAAAAGCTCTATCATACAAAAAAAAAAAAAAATAAATAAATAAAACCAAGCTGTAGTACAAGTGAAATGCTAGAGTTGGAAATTCTAAGCTGCTACATCGACAACTTCCGCAAACCATTGTTTTAACGCCAGACTCAAAATAGCCGGTAACTCCTGCACATCCCTAACCACCAGATAATATGAAAATGGAAATCCTTCCAGGTACCTCTTCATTTTCAACTTCATTTCTCCCGCCCCCGACCCATCAGGCTCGAAACTCGCTTGTGTTAGATCGAGGATGGAGCTCCCCTTCACTGCATCGACGATGATGAATACTATCATGATTCGTTCCTCTTGCGCTTGTCGAACTAGTCGGCGAATGGTCTCATGGTCTTCACAGATTCCATCTGATATGATGAGCTCCAGTTGCCAAAGGTCTTCACTCCCACTTGAGCGGGAGCGCTTCATTTTCGCCTCCCGGAACAAAGCAATTGAGTCTGAGATAAGTTTTCGAACATTTGTGCCAGTTTGCTTGTAGCTAAACTGCTGGAAGATTTGGACGCCTGCTTCAGAAGAGAAAGTTTTGCCAAATTCATGAGCCACACGGACGTGGTCCTCGTCCCCGAAACTGACAACGCAGAGATCCCCTGCTTCCAGCATACTTAGACTCTTTGTAATAAGAGCGAGCGTCTCGAAGGCAAGTTGTCCGCTACCGCTTTCGAGCATTGATTTACTGTCGTCAACCGCAAGCATGATCTGGTAACTTCGCTTCGAAGGGACGGATCGTCGCATCCAGATCTTATCACGCTTGTACTGGGATGCGATGTAGGGAATGATGCGCTTAATGTTAAGTCGTTTCCCGGTCCTAAAGTCGCCTCGCAGCTTGGTTGCCAGGGTGGGTGCGAGAATCAAGCGTAGCTGTTCAGTCAGCGCAAGTGACAGGTCGTGGGTAATTGATTCGTAGTGAGACCATAGGCGTCGGGCTTCCTCTGGAGAAGTCAACGGAGCCGATTCTGAGCCGACATGAAAGGAAGAAAGATGAGCATCCACGTCTTCCATCTCTTGAGAGTCCGATGTTTGGCTATCTTGATGGGTGGGATCATTTTCCGTAATCCTATCACCAGCAACATATGATCTCGATGTATTGTTCTCCGACAGACCTGGTTGCTGGTCCAAATCCATTCGATCTTCTAAAGACTGTTCTGCTGGAGGATTTTCAGGCTCTGTGGCATGTGAAGGGAATTCGCCTTCTTCCGGCCGTACATCAGATTCGACGGCGTTGCTTTGATCGAGGCTTTTCGCTTGTTCCTCGGTTGCCTGGCCAAGCGCTTGAGTGTCTGCGGCATCCTGATCATCCGCAAGATGCTCAAAGTCTGCATCTTCCATGTTGGCATCCTGATTTTCATTTTGGGAAGTGTCTTGATGGTCAGAAGCCTCCTGGATTTGACGTTGACGGCGGTGCCATTGCTCAAGAATGTCGCCGAGCTTTTTGAATGCTTGTGTTTGGGAGTCATCTAGCTTGCCATCATCTCTACCGCCAGATACATTTGTTGCTTCTTTGCCGTCTTCGCCCTGGTCAGCACTACCTTGTAGATTTTGCTCGTCTGCCTGGTCCTTGGAGCCATGTTCTTGAGTTGCTTTGCCAGAGTCTCCATGCTCTTGATTTTGATCTTGGTCGACACCTTGACCGACAGAAACCTCCTCACTCGGAGCGATATCCTCTGCATCTGCTTGGTTATCTGTCCTTTTCGATTCCAAGAGCTCGTCTCTTTCCTTTTCTTCTGTCCCGGTTTCGCTTTCCTCTTGGTGACATTCAACGCCTTCTTGTCCGTTGAGGTTTTCTTCTTTAACTTCGTTTGCGGGCTCTGTTTCACTTTCAGCTTGCTCTTGAGAGTCTAAATCTGGGTGATCATTAGATTCTTCAGGAGCATTTGGTTCACCTTCCCAGTTGCTCCTATTATCATCTGACAAATCACCAAGATCATCCTCAAAATCGGTGTCCTGTTTATCTTTGTCATCTTGACCATCGAGTTCCATGTCTTCGGGTAGATCAAGAATTGGTTCTTCCTTTGCATGTGGGTCGGTTGTATCCATGTCCTCCCTCCCAACAGCTTCCCCTTCATCGTCAGGAGGTTCTGATCCCTCGTTTTCGCTTTCGTCCCCATTTTTACTTTCATTTATTTTTTCATTCTTGTTAGCCGACGCCGCAGTTTTGTCTTCTGATTCTGCGTCCCCTTTTCCTTGTTCGTTTTCAGTATCTTTCTGATCTTGATCATTCGTTCCATCCCACATTTTTTCATCAACTGCGGATGCGTCTAGTCTATCAACACTACCGGTTTCTTCATCAAGGTCCATGTCATCCTCATCTTCTTTGTCTGAAAAACTTCCGTCATCTTTTTCTATTTCATCATCAAAATCACTCCTGTCCGCCTCAAGATCCTCTTGGTCCATATTGACAGCATCAACTCCTGTGTCCTTATCCTCTTTGTCTCCATCCATTTGTTGTTTTTCTTGAGCCAGGTCAGCCAAGTCCTCGTCATCTTGAACGTCTTTGCTAATATCCTCAGCACCTTCTCCATCGCCAAGTCCAGTCCCAGTCTCCAACTTGTCAGACTTACCGTGCTCTCCAGCGTTCTCAGGAGGAGCACAGAAACCTTCCGACGCAATCTGGTTAAACGACTTCGCTAAGAGATATGACATTTTGCACGTTTCTCGGTGTAGTGCAGAATACCGGTGGAGGATATCAGTACATATTGACTGGTATTGTTCGGCAATTGGCATGATTGCTGATATCGCTGCGCCAACAACAGCAAGAGAATTCGAATCCTTCTCCGATACATGCCGAATCCGGGCTAGAACACATCGTATGTCGTCAACAATATCAGCCATGTGGAGCTCTGCACATGCTTTCGATATAACTTGTTCGGTTTTCACTAGCCAGGCGGGAATATCCTTTGAAGGAGGGGCGGTGGACAAGGACGAACTAATTTTTTGCATCACAACAAAAATTTTGTCCATCACTGTGAAGAGGGAAGAGTCAAACTCTTCAAGTGAAATATTAATTTGGCCATTGGCTTCCCGTGTGCTTGCTGTGACTCCCAATTCAGTCCATGGAAGTATCTGTTCCAGAGCAAAGTTCAACTCAGGATGCACGTCAATCCATTTTAGTATATCGGCTCTCACGTTTGAAACTAACATCCGAACACTTGAAAATAGTTTTTCGTGGGTGCCGGTAGACAATCCCGGGGGTAGAATTTTTAGATCTTCGATTGAGACAAGTAGGTTGTTCAAGCGGATTTTCCAATCATTCAATGCCTCCAGGACTTCCGACGAACCAATTCCCGCAAAATATCCATGGATTTGAAGCGTTGAATTGCAAACACCAAGGATGGTAGAAAGCCACCGGAGCGTTCCTCGGAGATCACGACGATCGGAGAGGAGGTAGTCGCTATTTGGCAAGAGGGAGCTGCGAAGATCGGATACGTTCCTCATTTGCTGCAGCGTGAGTTCAACCGCAGTTAAGTTCTCTAATCTTAATGATAGAGTTTCCCTTTGCTTCAAAGCCCAATGTAGAAGACCTTCTATGAACCCCGCACTTCTAGTAGCCTCAACGTTGCTAAGATCTTCAGAGTACTCGACAGATGAAATGCGAACACGAGGCACTAGATCCAAAAATTTATGAAAGTAGGAGTCTGCGCTTTTAACATGAGACAAGCCAGCAGAAATTGTGAGAGGGAGTGTAGAGGAAAGGACGGACGCAACCGATCTTTGGCTTTCGAGAATGTCAGTCCCAACATTAGAACGAATGCCCATGAATCGGAGATCTTTCAGTTTTTCTGCGTAGAACCGCCGCTTTTGACCTTTGAGGTGCTGAACATCATGCTTATTGTCTTCCGTGAGTGTCTTCGGTGTCTGAGATTTAAATTCGGCAATGGTATCAATTATGTCACGAGTGAATGCATCGAGCTCCTGATGGGCTTGTAAACCATTTAGAGAGTTCTCATATACACGCTGCATGCTCCTGACTGCAGCATCAGGATCTGTGAATCGCATGGGCTTCTGACTCCATGATTGAATATTTTCATGACACACACGAAGGGCAACGGGTGAAACTGGATTGGGTAGTGTCACACGATTATCTGAGAATGATTCTGCTTTATCCGGAAGGCTAGAGAGTCCCTTCGACAATAAGCTCTCTGAGGATTGGCTGAGAAGACTGCGATACTTTCTCACAACCTTGAACAACTTGTTGTGGGAGCGACGTGCGCTTTCTCTAAGAGCATTGATATTAGTGTCCTTCCAGATTGCCAGCTGAATCGTTTGTTGTATGTCACGTTCTAGTGTTTTTCTACCGTCACCGAGCGATTTTTCAAAAACAGATACAAATGGGAAGTAGTGATGAAGGAGGTTGTCAATAGCAGCGCTCAATTGGTCCAGAGCCGGGAAGTCCAAAGCATAGAGTGTCAGAAGCATTTTGAACTTTTCAATGAGTTGCAGCCTAGACTTGTATTGGCCCATTGGAGTGGAGCAAATAAATTTCTCGAGGGTAGTGATGAGTTCGACGGAGTGTTCGATCAAAGGCTGTCCGTCTTGAACTAGCTGTAACGGGGCCGCAATTATCACATCATACGCAACAAACCACCAAGCACTCGCATCTTCGCTGCACTTTTCATCTTCGATGTCCAAAAGCCGAGACCAGGTGGATAATTCAATGCGCCGCCAACTTATGAGTAGAGCCGTTATATTATCATAGCATTGAGTGACAGAGAAATTTTTACTCGCGACAGCCTGCCACTCATAAATGAATGAATGAAGTTTCTCTGCTTTAGTGATAAATTTGGCTAGAGGCTCTCGGTGGTTGAATTGGAAAATCTCGGAGCAACAGCGAATAACATCCGCAATTGTAGCGTGTTCAGGCCACGAATTTTGGAGTTCTTTAAAACGCACGCTAATAGTTTCAACTAGATCGGCGAGCTTCTTGACCTCTACCAAGTTCGGGCTTGAATAAAAGTTGTAAGATGTTGGTTGTTTAATAGACTTTACATCGTCTAGGAATAAAATCGCCCCTAGCAGATGTGATTTGGGGTCCATGATTGGGATATCTGTTGAGCTTTTCGCCATGTTAATACCAAGTAGTTTCGTGGAGTCTAACAACAATCGCTTTACTGTGGACTCTTTGTCGAGGTCTGAGAATAAATTGTTGAGTATATGAGAAAGCCTTAGGGAAATAGTTTTGACATCGAATTGTGCCAGTGTTCCAATTTCAAGGTCATCCTCAATCGTGCCGTCGAACTTTGGGAAAAGTTGAGAAACCTCGGCAGCTTCTATTTCCTGATCATCCTCAAACGATCCTCGATAACGGTATAAGTTCGACATTTCATAGTGTTTATTTTGGTCATCTTCTAGCTGCTGTTTCCAGATACTGGAAAAGTCCTCAAAAGTGTCGCGGAGAAGTTGGCGATTTGCAGCAGTTGAAAGAGTTTCAGGGTCCGTATTTTGAAAGACCCATAGAATAGAAAGTCGTTGTAGTCCGATGTCGACCTTCTCCGAGTTAGACAGTCGAGAGGGGCGATGTTGCAGATCGGGGAGTGATACTCTTCTGCAGCTCATTAAGGGTGTAATCTGGCTCATAGCATGTATGAAACCTTGCTCCAAATGGGAATGAAGGTCAGAACACTGAACCAAGTCCACTCCGAGATGCAGGATCTCCAGGAATCGGATGACAGGAATGACAACATCTTCGTACGCTTTATAATTTGTGGTGAGGCGAAGACATATTTGCTGGATATTTTTCTGGAGAAGTTCGCCTTGTTGCTTGGTTGTATTGGCAAGGTCTGGGTTGGCTGAATCCTGAAGGGAACGAAGTATACCATCTGGATTCAAGTTCACAACTGAATTTAGAAGGTTGGAAAATTCTCCCTGTAATTCACCAATCTGGGAAGGCTGTGGTCGAATAACTGGGGGCGAAGGTGGTATGTCACCCAACAACCGGAGCTCCTCTTGGGCGATCCGAATACGTATGCTCGACTCTTGCCCAGAAAATGATAACTCATATGCTTTCAATGCATTAAGCTTCTTATTCTTCTCCTGGACGCGTTGTGTGTATCGGTGTCTCTGAACAGCCAAGCCAAGGGACGGGTCGAAAGGTCTGTTTGGGACAAAGAACCGAAGGCATGCCATAGCAAGGTGGATACAGGCGGCTCCCAGTTGAAGGTGATTAGTAGTGCCCGTTTTACCACATATGCCAACTAAAGAAGATACAATTTTATTGAATGATCTCGACGCAAATTCATTGAAATAGTGAAGTTTGTCAGAATTATCTCGCAATTTAAGTGGTGGTATTTGGGTATTGACAAGACCGCTGAGGTCTGAATCACGAACAAGCGTGTCTAGGTATGATGCAGCGCTTCCGAGTGACACGGGGTCGATCAAATCCCCATGACAACGCAAAAGCTCTTGAAGGAGCCTAGCTAATTGCTTCTGGAGGATATCAAGTTGATCGCGCGCGATTTGGTCAGTGCTTGAACATAAGCCGTTCGCGATGAAGTCAAGTTCAGAATTCAGTATGTTCATTCCTTTCACCGGCACAATTCCAAGAGAGGCTAGTTTCGCGATTAATGATAGCGAGAAAATTCCACGAAGTGCCAGCGGTTTGCTTGAGTCGTTTTGGAAGCCTGAAAAACGCGATACTCTTGAGAGGAGATCTGGGACAGGATTTCCTAGAGTTGACATATCATGAGGGTAAGACGGACGTCCCGCGAGTAGCTGCAATACATCCGAGAGGCCATAATTTATGGTCTCCGTAGCTGACTTGCTGATGTCAATGAAATCACGATACTGTGAAAGTGCTTCAAACTCTAAGGAAAAATAGGGGGGTGATACTGGGCCGGAATCCAGCACTCGAGCTTCAAGGTCATCGATTACATGCTGAAGATCCTGGAATTAGGTCAGCTTAATACTCGAAAAAAAGTAGGAACCTTGGCTGCATACATGGATCAGACCAACTCCGTCCGCGCCTTGTAGCATTGAAATCTGTGCTTGGACTAGTGAGTGACGCATCTCGCCAAGTTGCGAAAAGGGCAAATTCGTTTTCAAAGTAATAAGATCAAATCTGGCAGCAATGTGTTGCAAATCCACCATTGACTTCAAATGAGCAGGGTCGGTTGGTGTCGCTGGCCTCCACTGATCCCATATCCTTTGCATGCTTTGCCCTGTTGTCAAGCCCCAGTTGATACGAAACATATCAAGTGATTCAGACAGGACCCTGACAAGATCAAGCTTAATATCCCTAAAGCGAGAACAGAGAGATTGTCCAATTTGCAAATACGTTTGAAATAATCCTTCATCAAAATTATTGGTTTGCACGACACCAAAAATATCCCAGCACAACTCCAATATAGAACTGGCCATAGCACACACATCAACGGAACGCAAAACCTCATAATTGACCTTCTGAATGGTCTCACTCAAAGCCTGGATACAGCTAGAAAGATAAAAAGCCACCGGTTGGGTAGATTCCTTCATTAGGGTGGGGATCCTATTTGAAGCAACTGATCTTTCTAGTCTGCTCATTTCCGAAGGGTTTTTGTTGGAAAGGGAGTCACGAACTTGACAGAAGACTTGGTGGAAATGCCAAACGTCAAATTGAATCTCTTGGAGTTTGGCTAGTTTTGCTAAGAGAACTTGCGATTCTGGAATAATACAAGCCACAGCTCGGGGCTCGTTGATCAATGGATGCAGCGGCTGTTTGGTCTGTTAGCCAACAAAAACAGCATCAGCGGAGAAATCAATTACCAACCTCAATCCCATAGCGAAAGCTTGAAAATTTATGTTCATTCCAACTTCCATCGCATAGAAAATCCTTCAAAGAAGAAAGGGTATCACGACTTAAAAAAGTACTGTAGCGATCAAACGTCTGGTACATAACTGTAGAAGGATGCCTATTCGCAACCCAAATATCAATAGAAGTGGATGATTGCTGGAGCCTGCGAAAATCGTGCGGAGCCAAGTGATCAAGAAAAACTTCGTGTTCATTTTGTCCTAATTCCGAATCCAATCGTTGGTGTGAGAGACCTTGACCGCAGCGAATGCGGTAAATTGACGATTCTGAGGTATAAAAGATTCCTTGAGTCGTAGGCGTACCGCCGGTGACTCCGGGCTGCAGACATATTTCGATAGCCCGATTCCTCATTGCTCTTGACAACTCTCCATGACGAGGATCCATAGTGAGAAACAGTCGAAAATTTGGGTGTGGCTTCACCACTTTTGCAGTGCCATCTCCAGTCCTTTGCTCATTGATAACTAAATACCCGTTCGGTTCCATGAGTGAATTTAGTCGATCTAAAACGGAGGGATTACAGAGGTTGGCATTGTCAAGGACCACCCAATCACCTTTCTGGACTGATTGGACAAATATGCCTTCCGTCCATTCGAAGCCGATCGTCTGGTTAACAAAGGATGATTTTAGCAGTGTTTTAGAACGATTGTAAAACTCTGTGAAGCTCGGATGTAATCCCTTGAGTGAAATTCTATGAAGTGCCTCCGAAATGGTTTCAAGATTAGATGACCCGCTCTTGACGTCTTGGTAAAGTTGCACAAGCTCACTTTCCATACCGGTCTGTTCGGTTGCGGTGTATGTAGAAACAACTTGATTTTGCAAAAGCTGGTTCAATTCATCCATGAAACTTAGCAGATGGCGGTCATTGTCTACCTGCTCAAAGCCCCCGACAAGATCCATAGTATCAGTGTCCGCGTTTAGGGACAATTCCACAAGCTTGCAGCCACTCAAAGTGGCAAGCTTCCGCAAAATGGTCGTCTTCCCACATCCTGATGTGCCCACGAGAATACTGGGCCATCCTTGCTCTATGCACAATGCCAATGATTCCATAATTGCTAGATCGCCGGTGAGTATCTTCATCTGAGGATCATTGAAATTTTGCACCAGCGGGTCGCGTTGAAGTACACTAAGGCCAACTTGGTATTGCGACACGCTCAGGTTATGGAAATAGCTTTTAACAACAGGTGTCGATCGGAAGACATCCTCGTACAATGACAAAACGAGGGATCTGTCACCATGTGTGCGAAATCTCTGGCTAATCACAACATCGAGGAACTGAGAAGGAGAAACTCGGATTGGAGTGGATTCAAGAAGTCTGAGCCATCTTGAAATATCTCGCAAATTTATTTCCCAAGGTCCTCCAGTAGTTCCCAGGAGTCGTTCGTTCGTTATTTTAATATTTAACGAAGAGACAAATTCAACTAGCTGTTGTATCTCCCTTTCAGGAGCAAGAGGAGACAACCGTTTACAGATCATCTTTAAGTCGTCATCACTAAACGAGTCTGCATATACAACTGTAAATCGATTCACGAACGATGCAGGAAGACCTTTTCTCCCACCTCCTTGGTGGTGAGGGTTTTGCGCTGCAAATAAAACAAAGTCGGGGTGCCGTTTAAACGTTTGGTCCAACTCCGCCACGTAAACTTGTTGACGGTGGTCTAAACAGGAATTCAAACCTTCCAGAACAGACTGTGATGCAAGGTTCATCTCGTCCAGGAGAACCCAACCACCAGTCTGCATAGCTCGTAGAAACGGAGCATCACTCCAAGCGAAATTTCCCATGTCGCCACCTTCAACAGGCACATCTGATCCAAATAAATCCGTTAGATCAGTCTGGTCAGAAAGATTGATTCGAGTAAGCGGTTTCCCAAGACATTGTGCCAAAGCAGCAACAAGGGTGGTTTTTCCAACGCCAGGACTACCCTCAAGCAGAATAGGCTTTGTTAACTGAAGACCTCGGGCAATCCTCAGCGAGTTGGCAACTGTAGTCGGTGCTTCTAAGGAAAATGTGGGATCATGCTCGGAATGAGTGCTCATCTCCAGAACGAATGGGCCAATTCTCATATTGTTGTCTTCCATAGATATAGTAGTTGCTTGGTAATAGATAGAGACAGCGTCAAAACCAAAAATTTCACCCAATCTCTCAAGACATTTAAGTCGATCGTGTTTGAGATTTGCCGGGCCTGAAACAAACATGGCAGAAGGGTTGGCACCCAGTGTATCTATATACACCAGAGCCGCCCCATGGACCACCGCAGCAGCTTGATCGAGATCTTTGCATTGGTTTACAAAACCAACCCATGCTAACAAATCACGAATGGATATTGATGTTGATGAAGTGCTCTGGGAAGTTTCTTTGAACCATCTTGCAAACGCTAACATTGCGCTTGGGGCATTTGAGATTGGTGATACGAGTTTTGAAGACAAGATGGGAAGGATATCTTCAGCTTCTGAGAGCTGAGGCACCCAAATTTCGGTAAGACGGTTCCTGAGCGCTGCAGACAGTTCCCTTTTTCCGTAGTCGCCTCCTGGGTTCATTGTTGCTAAAAACTGGAAACCATCCTTCGCAACTACCAAATTTATAGGCCCCTTTTCTGCAAGGAGCAAAGACCGGTGAGGCTCGAGAACACTATTTAGACGCTCTAAAACGGAGTCGTCTGCGAGTGAAATTTCGTCAAGGAGGAAATGCTGACCGCATTCCATTGCCGTTATAAGACTACCATTAGACCACTCGAATAACGCTTTCGCTCTTGTCATATTTTCTCGTATACGATTGATCAAATTTGGTTCACACATATCTAGTGCCTGGGAATTTAGCTCAGAAAATACTGTTGTTAGCTTGTCAATCGAGTTATCGCTGCTTTCATCATATGCATCGATGGATTTCAAGACTGCGGACAGGTCTGCTAAAAGCTGTGCTTCGATTGTGGATCTATTTCTCAACGGCCTCTGTGCACCAACGATGTCTCCTGTCTCGAGGTTAACATGAGCGTTAATGGTAAAAAGCTGCTTTCCATATATTTCTGCAATAGCTTGACAAATTTGCGTTTTGCCACATCCAGTTTCCCCAACGAGCAGCACAGGTTCGTTGTGTTCAATTGCCTGCGAAACAAGAATAAATACCCGTCTCATCGCTTGAGTCCATATTATACTTGTTGGGGCAGTTGCTGAAAGCTGTTGAAGACGCGCATCCAAGCACCGGGAACTATAAATGGCGGTCTGATCGAGTTTTACTCGCATAACTTCCTCTATTACCTCCTTTACAGCTGCCCTCTCTTGAGGATTTCTTACCCTCTCTGCCAATAGCATAAAACCATTCACAGCCAATTGTTCGCGATCATCAGCGCGCCGTTGGGCCCATCGAAAAAGATCACGGAGGGTAGCAAAGCTGTTTCGTTGCTCGAATAAGCGGCTGGATTGTCGTAGCAGTGAAAGCTTTCGGTAAACAGACACTATTCTAGCACAGAATGATGGAGGAATTTGAGATCGTTCCTTGAGAATATATTCCAGTTCGTCCTCAGGAATATCATCGAAATGGAGTTCAAGGAATCGATTTCGAAAAGCACGTGAAAGGACCTTTCGGCCGCCATAGAGACCAGCAGGATTTTGAGTAGCAAACAGCATAAAGTTCGGGTTTGGGCGGATGACTTCTTGGGATTCAGGTAAAAATAATTCTCTATTGTCATCAAGAAGGCGGTTGAGAGCTTCCAGGACATCAGTGGGCGCTAGGTTAAGTTCATCTAACACAATCCAGTAGCCGTTCCTTAGGGCCTCAACCAGTATTCCTTCTTGATACTTCAAGCTGCCATCTTCACCGGATACGTATGAACCCAAATATTCCTGGAGGTCAGTATGTTCATGGTTGTTGATTCGGACAAATCTGTTGCCAGAAATTTTGGCAAGGTATTCCACCATGCTGGTTTTCCCAGAGGAGGTTGGGCCTTGTAATAAAATCGGAAACAGTCTCGTAGAGCTCGCTCTCACTAAATTCATTAAATTCCTTTCAATGAAAGGAGTGATAATGTAGTGTGGTTGGGATTCTAGCGGAAATTCTCCCTGTCTCATCCAGTAATGTTTGAATTGAACATAGGTTGCACCGTCATTCGGTGGTTTGGGAGTCTGCGATAGTATAGATCGGGAATTTTTAAGGCTCCCAAATATATGTTGATCCAAAAGGGGGATAATTTGGAGCTTGGATGCCTTGCTGAGCAGCGTCAAAAAACTCATAGAAAACCCTTCGTACATCGCTCGTCGAAGCCCGTAGATATGCGCTTGATTTCTCACGTATATCAAGCAACGAACAAGAGTCCTGATGGTAAAATGTGGTTTCTGACCTGCTCCATCTGTCAACTTGTTGTCTACATTGAGCTTCTTCGTGTCAAGGTAAAGGCGAGCAAGGGAGATAGTAGCTTTCTCGTCCGCAATAGCCAACGACCCTAGGTAGGCACCTATCAATGTTATAAGGTCATCAATTTCGGTATCTGGTGAATTGACATATATCTCCGTAAATCTTGATCGTAAACCAGGAACCAAATCTCGTTTCCCAGCATCAGTTGCAGGGTTCATTGCCCCAAAAATTCGGAAATTTGAGTCGCCATAAATGCGTTCAACTTCCCCAGCTTCAGAAAGCAGGACAGATGGAGTGCCATCGCCTCCATAGTGAAGGAGGCTAGCAATGCTCTCTAAGGTGTCAGGAGAAGCTAAATTTATCTCGTCGAGTAAAACCCATTCACCATTCCTCAGCGCTTTGACTATCTTGCCTTGGACGAATGCGAATGCAAACTTGCTGTCGCCTTCAGAAACCCGGACCTCGAATTCCTTTAATTCTCTCGAAAAAGTGGCCCATTTTCCACGGAGGATGGTATATTTTGTGTCGTCAAGCTTTCTTTTCTTCGACGGTTGTTCCGAGACCACGTCCGTCAGTTCACTTTTACTTTTGTTCAAGGATTCAAAGATACCTGATGCCATCTTGATGGCCTCCTTAAGGATATTAACTAGACGTCGCCAATTGCCAGTTGTGACGCACTTTGCAACCGAGGCTAGAAATTTCAGGTTCTTTTTAGCAGAGAAGGTTGATTCGAACAATGAATTAAACTCGTCAACTAAGGGAACAGCAATCGATCGAACATTGACCGGCTTGAAACCACCTAGCAAGTCAGTGCTTTCACTCTGTTGCGACAAATTTACCACCGTCAAACGCTGGTGCAAGAGAGATGCAAGCTGTTGGATCACTGCTGTTTTGCCAATTCCAGTTTCTCCAACCAGTAAAACGGGCTCGGAGAGCTGCAACGCTGACGCAATTTGCTCCATTATCCTCAACGAAGCTCTTGTTGGTGCAAAAGTACTATGAGCTGCTGTTGAAGAGGACGACTTGCGCAGGCCAAGAGGTTTTCTTTTCTGGCAGCATTCTCTGCCAATCGTGACTGAGTGGGGAGAATCCAAATACTTAGGAGTCTGTTCGGACAGGCAAAAGTTCATACGCTGGGGAGATATCTGCATCCCTTCCGCAATAACTCCCGCCACGGTTGACTGGAGTAATCCTTTGGGGAAACAGGCTGCGAAAATGTCAACAGTATCCATAAAAAGTTCGTCATGAGTACCCTCTGGTACTGCCTCATAGCCAGTTTCACATCCAAGATTCCGCAACCGCCGTTCTATTCTATAACATAACTTCACCAAGTCACGGAGGTTCGGTAATCTGCCTGTCATGAACTTGCGAGACAGTGTGCCGTTAAATAGCGATGTGATGCGATCGAACGTAGTCATGATTATATCTACTCGAGGGGAAAGTAGCGGAAACCTCTGAATAATAACCTCTTTGACTTCTGACAAGGGCATTGATGCCACCTGAATGTGATTCCAGAGTCTACTTCCCAACATATTAGTTCCTGGGGTTATTTCTTTCCCGGCCGCATTGATAGTAGACCGCATGGTGGCAATAACCCTGAAGTTGTCAGCGCAACGGATGCGTTCTTTTCTGCTTGGTATTATAAGTTCCCTTTTCTCAATAAGCGGGAGGATAAGGCCAATAACTTCAGAGGGCGCACGATCCAGATCTTCAATCAAAACCCACCTACCCTCCCTGGCTGCTTTGGTTAAAACGCCAGGCTGCCAAGAAAATGAGCCAGCTTGAGGTGATGTCGAGTACAACCCCAATAGACTTTTAGAATCAGTTTGCTCATTTAGGTGAAGTGTAATCATGGAAGAAGAATGGCCCATTCGGTTGGCTGCCGCGTGTACGAGTGACGTTTTCCCAGAACCGGCCAGGCCGACGAGCAGCAACGGATCCATCGAGAGAAGCGAATTACCGAAACTGCGAAGGTTGCGTCGAACCGTTGGTGTTTCCACCAGGCAGGATGCTCCCATATTGTTTTTCGGATGGATGGTGGGAAGAAGAACCCCGCCGATTTCTGCAGTGTGACTCGTGAAAGAATTTCGAAATTCTTTGGTCCAAGTCTCCGTAACAGAATCATCGCGAGATATTCGCGCATTTTCTAGTTCTTCCTTTAATCCAGCCCATCGCTTCTCTTCCCAAATACTAAGGAGGCGGTAATCGATGGTTCGGTCTTCCCATGAGCCATTGATCGCTGTCCCATCATGATACTTGCTTATCATTTGTTCCAAGGAAGCATCTGCCGCACGCATATACAAGCAAAAACATCGGATTGCAAGGTATCTAATGACAGGGTTGTGATGACTGAGCAGTGACTGCAGTTGGGACACGGGCGTCATAGGTGAGAAGGTGTCCAAGTCGAAACTAAGAAGACGAAACAGAGCAACGAGAAACGCATGCAGAGTTCGACCTTCCATTTGTAACAGTTCAAACTGGTTTGACTCTGACAAGGATGGTAGGGCACTGCTCTTAAGGCGTTGGAAGACGGCATTGACAAATGGTCGAAGATATGGCGCAAAGGGTAAAATGCGTGCAAATGCAGTGGTAACTTGAACATAGTATTCATGGGAGTCCAAGCAAATCCACCTGGCAGCTAAATCCACAAATATTGGCTCATATAATGTGAATAGTTTGTTGGTATAATTTGGCTGTAATGCTGCAATTGACAGGGTATCAAGAAATGTTTCTGGAATTGAACTTCCTGTGCGCAGAATTTCTACCAGTTCGGGCGGTAGCTGCTTTAAAATCTGGGGATGCGGTAAAAGTACCCCATCGCTAGAAAGTTGTGCCATCTTGCAAGCCGCCCTACAAAGCCCTTTTCCTCCACCAGGGGCGGTATATCAAAATCACAAATTTCTCAGCCGAGAAATTTTCTTTTTCTTTTTTCTTCTTTTTTTTTTTTGAATTTCATTAACCTTGTTTCTGCCGCAGGATCGTCATGTCACGTGGAATTCTTTCGCCTCGCCGCCTTCCGGAGGCGCAGATTCACCAGCCACATATTGATCTCGGGACAAAGTGTTTGAAATTCATGTTGTAGACAATTATTATCTCGTCTCCCAAACAGTACGATTCTCGGCTTCGTCCTATGCACTGCGCCGGCGCCTCCATGACGGACAATGACGGGAATTGCTTCAGGCCTGAATGCCGCACACATTCCTGTGAATCATGATAGTTCTCAGGCCTCCCGCAGCTGCGGCGATCCGACCAGTGAACAAGACGACTTGGCTTCGACTCATTCTGGGGACGAAACGGTTCTCGCAACAGACCCTTTAGGGGACGCATTTGACGAGCCGTAAGTTCGTGTGCTGTCCGCTGTTGAGCCCTTCGTTACTGACTATTTGACAGGATTTCATTCAAGCGCAAGCAAAAAGGTCCCGCCCGATTCGCTCTCTCGAACTTCTTCTCCTCCACCGAAGGAACCTCTCATCCCCCTTTACACAATCCTTTTGGAAACAATAGCGGCGCATCCACAAATCGCACCCCATCACCCGCGGCGGCGACGACTGGCAATGGAGGACTAGAGGGGAATAAAGCTGGCGGACCACTTGACTGGTACGTCGAGGGACCCGGCCGACGAGTGGGCTACGACAACTTAACGGCTATCGATTGGATCTTCGAGTATACAAAGGAGCGCCAGCGGATCAGACATCTTTATGCCAGCAACAAAGGTCTCTTTGGCTACGTTCGCAAAATTCTAGATGCCAGCCATATCTGGATTATCTTGATATTAACGGGGATAGCTGTTGGTGTAATAGCAGCGTGCATAGACATCGCAAGCAGTTGGCTTGGAGATATCAAAACTGGCTACTGTCGCACTGGTGTCGAAGGAGGGAAGTTTTATTTGAATAAGAGCTTTTGCTGCTGGGGCTATGATGGTTCGTTCTCGATCTTACCACCTGACCCGTATTATATGGCTAACCTACCTTCAAGATTTATCTGAGTGTCAGCATTGGACACCGTGGCGTAATGCTCTACATGTTGGATCTAAAACTGTCGGATATGCGGTGGAATATGTATTCTTCATCATGTATTCCGTAAGCACTTTCATGACCCTTGATTTTTGGTTTTCCTAACTAGGATGCTAGATTCTTTTCGCAACAACCGCAAGTGTGCTCGTTAGAAAGTTTGCGGTACACGCCAAACATAGTGGTATCCCGGAGATAAAAACTGTCCTCGGCGGTTTCGTAATCAAGCGGTTTATGGGCGCTTGGACGCTACTGATCAAATCTCTCGGTCTTGTAGGTATCTCTGGTTTCATTCATAAGGTTATTGTCATTTCTTACAAATATCTAGTGTCTTTCTGCCGCGTCGGGACTATGGCTCGGAAAAGAAGGCCCGTTAGTCCATGTGGCTTGCTGCTGCGCAAGTTTAATTATGAGACCCTTCCCCAGTCTAAATCGTAATGAGGGTAAGTCATATATATATCCCATGCGAGGGACCCGGGAAAACTAATATACAACAACAGCAAGAAAGCGTGAGGTTCTCTCGGCAGCCTCTGCGGCTGGCATTTCCGTTGCCTTCGGATCTCCGATTGGGGGTGTATTGTTCAGTTTAGAGGTGCTCCACCACTCAAAATCGTTAGTGTTTTACTATGCTAATTTCGTTGGCCGTTTCCCAGCAATTATCATACTATTTCCCAGATAAAACCATGTGGCAAAGCTTCGTATGCGCCATGGTTGCAGCAGTGACATTGCACGCGCTCAACCCCTTTCGAACTGGCAAAATTGTGCTCTACCAAGTTACGTACAGCCGTGGGTGGCATCAATTTGAACTGCTTCCGTTTGCTTTGCTCGGCATAGTTGGTGGATTGTATGGCGGTCTGTTCATTAAACTCAACATGAGAGTCGCCAGATGGCGAGAAGCGAGGAGCTACTCACACCCGATCTTACAAGTGGCCCTTGTTGCACTCATCAGCGCCCTAATTAACTTCCCAAATACATTCATGCGGGCTCAATTATCTGACCTTGTATATTACCTCTTTGCGGAGTGCGCGGAAGTTACAGATGATCAGTTCGGGCTTTGCAAAACGGGATCTGCATCTTTGGGCGTTATTGGTCTTCTGCTCCTTGCTGCAATTCTCGGCTTTTTTCTTGCCTCAATCACATTCGGCCTAGATCTCCCAGCGGGCATCATCCTCCCGTCGTTGGCGATGGGGGCACTCTCTGGTAGAGCTCTCGGCATTGCATTTGAAATGTGGCAGAAGGCTCAACCAGATTTACTGCTCTTCCGTAAATGCGAGGCCGACATTCCATGCATTACTCCCGGCACGTATGCTATAGTCGGTGCTGCTTCTGCACTCGGAGGGGCAACTAGAATGACGGTGTCGATAGTGGTTATCATGTTTGAACTTACCGGTGCTCTCACTTACGTCATCCCCATTATGATTTCTGTGATGCTCTCTAAGTGGTGTGGAGATACTTTTGGGAAACGTGGTATTTACGAATCATGGATCCACCTTCGTGGGTATCCCTTCATTGAGCAAAAGGATGAGGTTGTCCTACCCGATATCCCAGTGAGCCAAGTCATGACCAGTATTCATGACCTTTCAGTTATCACAGCTGTCGGCCACACAATCGATTCCCTCCTGCATCTCCTCGACAAAACCAGCTATCGAGGTTTCCCCGTCGTCTCCGATACATCTAACCCTATCTTACTGGGCTACATATCCCGTAACGAACTTAGCTTCGCACTTAAATCGGCTACCTCTCGAAGCTCCCGAGGCGTATCTCCGGAAACCCCTGCATATTTCGCTCATCAGCCCTTTGCCGATCCACTAGAGATCCTGGATCTTCGCCCTTGGATGGATCAGACGCCCATCACACTCAACAGCCGCGCCAGCTTCCTAGTCGTCTTGACTATGTTCCAACGATTAGGCCTTCGATACGTACTATTTGTGAACAAGGGTGCTCTCCAAGGGTTCCTGACAAAAAAAGACGTCTGGTATATTATTGAAGATGCGCAAAAACGGAGGGCGGAGGGCTTAAGAGACAATGAAATTGGAGAAGGAAACACCGAGGATGAGGGAAGGTTTCGACGAAATGATGATAACGACCACCACAATATAAGCACGTTCAGTCCGCTTGACGCTAGACATTCGTTATAATGGTTTGTTTTGAGACGGAAGTTTTGGACTTTTGAAAGGTCTCTTCAGGACTCTTGACTTTTTCTTTGGTTTTCTTTGGTTTTCTTGTATAATACCGTCCACATTTGGTTTTTTTTTTTTTTTTTTTTTTTTGGTGTAAGGAGTAATCGTGTTTCTTGTGAAGATGTGTAATGATTTAGACCGTCCCATAGATAGCTTGAAACAGGAATGTAATCTGTTCAATCAAACCCTTAACACCAATTAAAGCAAAACTGCCCTGTCCTTGTCTAAGAGCCCGTCAATGACATACATTATCGATTAATATGATCATTAAGCGAAGAAATGCAACTCAACAACCCTTGATTCTTTTATTTATCCCCTATAACCTATTGTTTTTCCACCGTCTAATGCAATAAAAAACAAAAAATCCTACAGAAATAACCGCAACCCATCAAGTATATACAATACCATAGCCCAATCGGTTAAAAGCGAGTCCCATTAACGCCCTGGATACCCTGTCCCAACTGACCCGCGACAACCGTCGCTTCTCTAACTGACCGTGCAAGCGTACCCCTAACTCTTCCCTCTTCAAGGACCAGCAAGCCACCAATCGTGCAGCCGCCAGGAGTGCTGACTTTCTCCCTAATCAACGCTGGATGCTCGCCATTCTGAACCATACCAGCCGTCCCACGCATGACCTGGGCAGCCATCATTTGCGCCTCTGCCCTCGGCAGCCCCATCGCAACCGCTCCATCGGCCATCGCCTCCATGACCAAGGCTACAAACGCAGGGCCCGAACCAGCGAGCGAGGTGCACACATCCATCATCGATGGGGGAAGAGTGACTACCCGTCCTACGCGAGAAAATATCCAAGATATCAACATATTCCACTCCTCGGGGAGGGGTGGAGTGGAAGTACCGATAACTGTCATGGATTCACGGACGATGGCGGCGGTATTGGGCATGACGCGAACGACGCGGCAGCGCTTTGATTCTGGAACTGTCGAGGTCGGCGGATATAATGTGTCCTGGATCTGGTCTACGGTCACACCGGCAAGGATGCTGATGAGAAGTTTCCCCTGCAGCGCCTCTGTCATGCCAGGCACGTCGAGAACATCACGCAGCATGTATGGCTTGCAGCCGAGGATGACCACCTCGGCTTCGTTAACGGCCTTGATATTTTCGTTTTGCAACACAGTCAATGGCACCGCGAAGCCGTCAAGGGCCTTGTGGACACGCCTTACGGACTCCGGCCGACGTACGCAGGCAATGAACTTATTTGGGATCTTCTGCTGTGAGACAAATTCTGAGGGCGTGTTGGTTCCGGACTCCGACGGGTATGCGGAGTGGCTTTTTGTTTCTGAGAGGGAGGCAAATATGCCCGATAAGATGGCTATACCCAGAGTACCTGGAGCAATCAACGGGACTTTGTTAGAAATATTGGGGCTTTTTGAATAATTGTGCAGGACTGGCCTTACCGCATCCAAGGACCGTAAGTGTCACGTCTGGCTTCTTCTGAGCCATGTTGATGGCTTCCATGGCGATATTCCTCTGAGCAATAGACATGACCGGAATGCGATAATTTAATTATACCGCAGAAAATATTTTAATAGCGACACAAATAACCCCTGGGAGGTGATGTTGCAACATTGTGCGGAGAATCGAAGGCGGGACCCTCCAGCGAGTTAAATATTTAGAGTTTGGTGGAGCTGAAGCTTTTAAGCGATCTTCGATATTGACTTACACCGCCTTGGCGATGAACATTCCAATCATCTCCCAAGAACAACGTCTGTATTCGACCGGACCATGGCCGTTTAATCTGGGAATACATTATGAGACGCCTATTGCTCCTCGAAAATCGTTATCATCGCCCGTATCCAAGATGGCTGATCCCTTCGAGGTGCGCATGCGCTTCACGACACAGCTCCAGCATCTGAGCGCCTCTGTCACCTCCTCGCAGAAAGCCGCTCATTATGCACTCAAATACCGGGATATGGATGAGGACCTTCACTCCTGCATTCTCGAACAGCTAGAAATGGTAATTACACTTTACACCCTATTACGGCAAAATAAAACGAAAATTGAAATCTTAAAATAAGTCTTCTGACATCACTTGCTTGAATGTTGTTATAGAACAGTATGAACAACCGTGCCAATATCATGTACTTCATCGAACACCTCTGCGATATGGCCACCAAGGAAAACCACCTCGAATTCGTCCGCATGATGCAGCGCGATATCCTCCGCGTTGTCGACGCGGTTGCCCCGCCAGATGGTTCCGGTGCCGCAAATGTCAAACATGTTCGCCGCGTGCTAAACGGATTGCAGTCAAAATCGTTCCTCTCCGCAGATACTGTCCGTGAAATCGATGCATGTCTCAAAGAGAGAGAAAGTCACCCGGCGCATCTTCTTGACCTTGAGTTTGTGGAGCCCGGCCAGACGACCATTGAAGGCGGAGATTCGGTCAAGGCCCCAGGCCCCACGACTAGGCCAAGCGGCATTAAGGTGGATAAACGGCAGATCGAACAGCGGATCGAGGAGGATAGGGAGCGGAATAAGCGGCTACGGGAGTCAATGTGGGCTGTGCCGGGGAATGATGCTGATGAGTTTGACAAGATGTGGGATGAAGTTAGTGATCTTGGAGAAGATGATTATTTAGCAGCTGAGGAGGAGGCGATGGAGAGGAAACGAATTGCGGAGGAGTATTACGATGCTTGATTATACTTTTTTTAAAAAAAGGTTTATTTACTAGGTTTTAAATGTGGTATGGCGTTCCGGTCAGCACTGTGCGGGTTTACTTCTTTAATATCATTATCGAATTGTATGATTGGAAGGCGCCAATAGAGGTCACCTCATTTGTTATTCACATGTCCCACCAAAACTCGCCTAGCTATTAACCAGGTGCCTTCTGCCTATTATATGGAGATCGGCCCCGAATACAATAATACAATTTTCCTTCCACAGGTTTTAAAAATCCCCGTCACTTCATCAGAGGTCGGCTTGATAAAGATTAGGGTTAAATAATCTACTACAAATTTCTCGGAACAACATAACTCCGGACTACAAATTTCTGATCCATCTCAAAGCTTGACCCTCGAATCAGCAATAAAAGTACGGATTATCTGGAAGCTTGGTTTTTCAACCTTGTTCATTTGTTACCTTATGTTCTCTCATATCGTCACAGCTGCCCGAGGCATATTTGTGAGACCGGACCCTGGGGTCGAACAAGACATTCCCACCCCAGACCAAATAGCCAATCCCACTACCACAAACCTGTCACCTACGATGGTGTCCGCTACTAGACGGACTGTGTACCCAACCGCGGAGGAAGAGCCGGTGAACTCGTCACCCGCTACAAATGGGAAGCGAAAGGCTGCTGCCTCGGAAGATGAGACGGAAAGCCAATCGCCCAAACGAAGAAAGCAGAAAAATTCCAGTTCCAGTATCACCAGCTCCCCGGCTCCTCAACCCGTTGACGAAGAAAAGGTTATTGTAAAAAGACTACCCTTCCGTACCGCCGATTCAAGCGACATTGCCGAGCACGAAATACAACCCGAGGAGGAAAATTTACATGTTTCAACCAGTACATCCACGGAGCCTGATCGGGTTCAGGTAAATTCCACCGCCAAGGCGACACATGTTCGTTTTGGAAGCGAGGAACAGGCTCCGGTCATCATTCGGAAGAATGAGCAAGCTTCGGACGAAGAGGATCCCAAAGAATCTAATGATGTGGAAGACAGTGAGGATGATGAGGCCCCCGAAACAATAGACAACGCTACGCAACTACGGGAATTAAAGGAGAATGCCCGAAAAGAAACGAAGGCTAAGCAAAGGTTCGTGTTGAATGTTCCATTCCGGTATACCCAAAGTGTAAGGTTTCACCTCTAACATCAACCCAAGGACCGAAGAGCTGAATAAAGCAAAACGAAGAGAGCGGGATCAACGACTGAAAGCCCAAGCAGTCTCAAAGCAAGCCCCGGTAATAATGGAACACGCTTTTTCCATTCCACAAGATCACCGAGCAGGGGAAAATGAACTTCTCTCCGAAAGCTCCGCGACATTCCAGGAATCTCTTTCCAAACCTATCAGATCGCTTCCCAAGCTGCTCCCGGATGAGATCTTGAACGCAGAACCTACATCGAACGATAGTAGAATCACCCGCGTATCTGAAATAGTGTTGTCGTCCATGCCAAAGTCAAAAAAGCATAAGTTTCTAGATAATATTGAGAAGAAGCCGAAGGATGTTAGGATTGGTGAAACATCGATTCGTGTCCTGGAGAGCACGGAAATCAGTGATTCGAGTGGGATCAGCCTACCGCCCAAGTCATCCAAGAGGAGTCGTCAGATGCGTGAGAATTTGCTGGCCGGAACCCGTCACTTGCCAGGCGGTGGTAGTTTAAGGAGAACGATTGGTGGAGCTTCGGGTTTCTTTCGAAAGTGATATTGTTTTGTTTCGTGAAGTCAAGTGTGCATCATGTAGCGTAAAGAGAACAACAGCCATTTGTACTACGGATACTCGTATGATTTTCTAGCGTGATGGTTTCAATTGACCAAACCAAAATGCATTGATGCTCAGATGGGCAATTATCTGTTTGGTATTAAGTCATTAGCACCTTTGCACTTGTGCCTCTGCAACCGTGGACTCGATAGTCCGTATCCTGTATTCTCTCTCTAGTATCCTATTCCACGGTGAGTAGTCAATTTAAGGTTATATCACATGATGAGCCAAAGCCTTCAAGAATCCGTGGCAAAGCTTTGACGTAGCTTATTGGTTCAAGTGGAGGAGCCGTGGTTTTTGGCTACGTCAGACGAACAACACCACATTGGTATACCAGCTATCGTATGATCGCAATTGACACCGATATACAGCCCTCGTTTAGTCATGGCGTCGGTAAATATGGAAACCTCACCTCTGCTTGATCGCCAGGGTTCGCCATCGATGCCTCAGGAAGAGCCGCGCCCATTTAGAACGGTTACCTTCGATCCTATCGCCGAAAACAAGCGGAGGATATCAAATGATATGGCAACCTCGAGGGATATTTCAAAAGCTCCCCGCAGCCCATCAATGCAAACTGTTTCTGGTAGTGGTGGCTCTCCCAACTTAGCAGCTTTGAACAGCAAGTTCCTTCGTCGACATAGCCCCAGAGCACCCTACAACCAGGTAACCTCGGCTTCCTCTCCAAGCCATCCTAAAATTGGCCCTCAGCGAACATCCAAAAACACCCAGAAGCTTAAGTTGCTTCCCAATCCCGTTACGGGTGAAGAGGCCCAATTTTCGGAAGAAGAAATCCCGAGAGAAGTGTATTCGCAGATCGCCCGGATTAAAGAGCCAACTGCTAGAAAGCACGCTGCAAGGCTGGGTAAAGCAGATCGGGACCACGTTCCGCGTGTGACAGCATACTGCACTGCGAGTTCATATTCAATCGACGGTGTTGTGAGGTTTCTTAAATCCCGTGCTGATACTAGAGGCTCTAATCCGAAGCTGTTCGATGAATGCGTATATTCGCCTTATAACTATGACTATGTACAGAAGATCCGGCAGTCCAATTCGCTTAAGGAAGATGACAGGGAAATATCAGCAGCTTCAGAAATTACTAGTCAAGGACCTGAGGGGCAGCGTGTTTCATCTGAGATCGATGACGAAGACCAAAGGATTCGACGGCAGGAGGGCCTTATCGACCTGGAAGAGAATCACCATGGTCCGCAAGCAGACTCCTCCACTGCAATACCTGCCACCAACACGCTAGACACTATATCCACCACGGACGATGCGAACGGGCCTGATTTCGACACCACAATCTACACACCAGAAATATTTCTTTTCGACTACGGCACCGTAGTAATATGGGGCATGACACCTGCCCAAGAAACCCGCTTCCTCCGCGAAGTATCCAGGTTCGCCACTGCCGTCCTCAGCACCGAAGACACGCAGATCGAAAACTTCAATTTCTACTACACCCGTGACTACCAAGCGCGTATCTACAACGACTTCATCTCCCTACAAGACCCGCACAATTACATGACCAAACTCGCCATCTCCCACGCACTCTCTCAGTCTGTCAAGACGTCATTGTTTGAAGACCTCGTTTCAGAAACCATCGCGAAGACCTCACCCCTTCCAGCGCAGATTGCGGAGACAGGTAGTGTGAACCTGCCGCGGAGACAGATTAATATGCAGATTGGAGAATTGTTTATCCTTCGCATTAATATACATTTGCAGGGATCTGTGTTGGATAGTCCTGAGCTCATGTGGGCGGAACCGCAGTTAGAGCCTGTGTATCAAGCTGTGCGTAGCTACCTGGAGATGGACCAGCGTGTGGGATTGTTGACGGAGAGGTTGGACGTGATTGCGGATTTGCTTGCCGTCTTGAAAGACCAGCTGAGTCATCGGCATGGAGAGTACCTGGAATGGATTGGTATGTGCAAAGTCGTCTTTCCCCGTCTCCATTAGTTTTACCTGAGAAATATATTTCATCCCCTCCTTTTTTTCCGCTTCTACCATCCAAGACTGGAAATCTCCTGACAATATACATAATCTAGTAATCATCCTCATCGCCGCTGAAATCGTCGTTGCGGGCATAAACATCGTTGTCGACCTATACGCTGGAGTCGACTAGAAAAGCTACTCAGCGAAGAGCAGGAATTAAATCATACCGTACCTGTTAAGGACTAACGATCTTCATACATGCTTCATCTGTCTCAGCCCTCCCACGTTCTATACATTTACTTTCCCGCGAATACAGATAAATGTCCTGTATCATAAAATACTTTCTCCACCCCACAGATCTGTATTACATACACTGTACATATGTTCTTCATATCGTTATTACATATTTACCCAGCTGTTACAGAGTGTTCTGTAGGGTGATTCTGGCTTCGATTCCCATTCGGATTTCAATTCCTATTTCTTTACTTCTCTCTCCCTTTTATTGTCTCCAGTAGACGCTCTATTTTCCACTATATTAACCCCAATTCATATTTTTCGATACCCAGCTCGACCCAAAGGGGGAGTATCGGGAAAATAAAAGGGGGAGATTGTTGCATATTATTATTCTTATTATTTATTTTATTAATTTCCTTCGTCGTACCTTGCATTTTACCTTTCCAGTGACTTTCTTCTCTTGTCTCTTCGGTCCTTACGTATCGTATCGTCCATAACTTCCCTCCGCACATACTTTGAACGAACAAAAAAAGAGAGCTATGAATACATTCTAGGGTATAGAAAGGAGCTTTTTTTTTTTTTTTTTTTTTTTTTTTTTTTTTTTAAAGGCAAAGCTACAAGAGCTTTGTCCGTTTCATTCTATATCATTTCATCCCATCCCGCTTCATTTTATATATCCCATTATTTAAAAAAAAAAAAAAAAAAAAAAAAAAAAAAAAAAAAAAAAGACAAGACAAACGAAACAAGCACGCATAAAAGCGAGAAGCCAGAAATAAAAACAGAAAACAGCAGCAGCAGCAGCAGTAACAGCAACAGCAACCCCGCGAGTTGAAGAAAATCCCCACTGATATCGCATAATATACCAGAAGCATGTCGCGTACATATAACTAAATAAAGAAGGAAATGAACTACCGAAATCAGGAAAGTCGGTGGCTGTGAGGGGGGTTGAAAACTGTAGGTATAATACCAGACGGACATAACGTTGGTTTGGAAGGGAAAAAAGCAAGACGGCGGAGTTGGCGGTGAAAAACAAAGGTACGCAAATACGCAAGGTTAGGAAGAACTGAATATTCCATCAGAGAGCTGGGAATAACGGAAATAAAAAAAAAAAAAAAAAAAAAAAAAAACCAAGGAGGGTTTTTAAGGCAGAGAAGAGAAGCGAAGAAGGAACAAATATCAAAAATGTGTCCGAGAGAGAGAAGGGACAAAAGACAAAGAAAGGATATGAAATGGAGGTGGTAAGGTACAGAGGTCGAGTCCTCAGCCAAAAGCTTCTTCCTGGTAAGAGTACAGTAGTTTGGGGCTAATGATTAAGATGTCAGGCAGGGAGGCAATTGAGTGCTTATATAGATCGGGAGCAAAATTGCTGATAATATGGTATTGGTGGGGGGGGGGTTTAAGAAAACAGGGAAAATCACCAGCAACGAATGTGGCATGGGGAAAATAAGTATAACCCAGCTACCGACGAAAACTGCTGGAAGTTTTGACAACGAAACAGAGAAAGGGAAGCGAGAGAAGGGGGGTGCTCGACCGTCGGGCGATATATTTATTACAAGATACTTTATGCGAGTGGAAGAGGAAAAGAACAAAGGTCCATCAGAACACATCGACGAGAATGAAACCTTGGCTGGGTTCCTCCCCATTTTTCTTCCCCCTTCCTCGTTAGTTATGAATAATATTACAAGCCATCTCTGCTCTCGCGCCGGTCCCCGTACTGCCTCTTAGTTGCTGGGTCTAACGACTCCCAATGCTCCGCAAGTGCACGATCGACATCGTCTGGCGTGATATTCGTCTCAGGACCGTACGCGTCAACGAGGTCATGAATAACCTTGTCCCGCGTGCGATTGGTGAAGTCCTCAAAGGCAGATATATACCGCTGATTGGAGTGTTGAGGTTCGGATGTTCCTGTTGGCGTGGAACCTTGGCCTTGACCAAAATTGGTCCCGCTACCGCTAGGGCGTCGGTGGTGGCTGTTGTTGTGATTGGAGGGGGATGAGGCGAGAGGCGGTTGGCGGGGATAATGATGATCTAATGCTGAAGAGGAGGCCATAGGAGCGGGTGGTGGGTTGTAGTGTTTTATGCGGCTGTCGAGTTCGTGGGTGGGAGGTGGGGAACGGCGTCGAGTGGCTGGAAGGAGAGGTGGGAGAGTGGACGACGTGCTCAGGTTCATGAGGTCAACATCTTTATCAGGGTTGTCAAGGTGGGTGGTGGAGTCGTCGGTGCGGCGACTACGTTTCACTCGAAGAGGGCGTTCCTGGGGCTGAATAGAGAGATACTACTGTCAGCAACATGATAGCCCGGGATTAAACACAAAACACTCAATGCAACGAACGAGCCAGAGCGGGAGCTTCGGAGGTAGCATACAGTTGGCGGATGCCCCTCGGAGCTCCCTTCAGTGCCGTCATCCATGTAATCAATTCCGTAAAACGCACGCTTGACACCAGCAGAGGAGGGACCTTCCCCCGCCCTTCCCGCTCCTCCATGTGCCGCGGGCGTGTAATGAGGATCCATCTCCTTCAACAGCGCCACGGTGCGTGCGCGTAGCTCTGTACTAATCCCCTGTTCCTCAGCCATGCCCGTCAAGACAGCCAGGCGCTCGAGCAGCATACAGGACTCGAGGCGCATTTTCTGAATGTAACGGTGACCCTGTGCGTTGCGGATGCGCATTGCATCGTTGGCCGCTTCGACTTCGTTTAGACGTTTTTTCAGCTCAATGCATTTGTGCTTGTAGGCTGCTTCTATGCTAGGGGGGTTTGGCGGGGCGGGAGCATTATTATGGGTGTGGTTGTTGTGGTGGTGGGCAGAGCCCTTCGAAGGGCCTTCCTGGCTATCCATCATTTGTCTTCCTGTTTACGGGTGTCTGGATGAGATGTTAGTTTGACAATACTACGACTACGTAATTCGGATGGCGCAATTGGAAAGTAGATAAAAAGCATACTTGGGCTTCTCGGCGCTTTTCTCTTGCCGTCTCAAGTGCGCCTGGGGTGCTCTGTTTGCTGTGCTCTATGCCAGGAATTGGCACGGGTTGGTGGTTCTGCGGCAGCACAAGCCCGATCTGTGAGTAAGTTGGAATAGTGAAGGATATGTGCGGCGCTGGGTGAGGTATGCGCAAGAATTGGCAAAACATGACAACTTGGATGCGTAGGAGGGTTGTGATATCAAGGTAATTGGAGTCGGGAGCTTGGAAGGTTCCTCGATGCCTTTTTCTGCCGCCTCAGGGGTACTAACATGGTTAGCGGGCGGATCGTATCAACATTGTTCCCAGAGCGGTGAGAGCGATGTGGCTGGTGAGCGATTACGTTATCAGGGGCTGGCCAGGGATAACATGCATCTCTTCTTTTCACCTTCTACTCCGTAGAGTCATCATTAGATCCCGAAAAGAGACACAATTGAAAGGAAAAGAACGCAGCCGTTCAGTCAGCAGTATGAAATACGATAGGAGTTACTTTTTCGAGTTCCCGTACTGTTCTCGTGCTCTCTAATTTCCAAGCCAGGCAGCTTCTTGGGCCAGCAGGTTACATCATCGTAGCACAGGCCTTCTCCGTCAATGTTCCACGGCCCTGGGATGTATCCAAGGCATTTTCCCCTATAACAGGACCGGATCGCCACCATGGTAGCCGAAACAGCGTTAAGGTTGGAAGCGTTGCGAGTTATCGGCCTCACTTTGAACAAGTTTTGAATCGAGCCATTTAGCCAGCCTACCAGCATAAGTGTCACCTTAATTACATAGGAATAATCTTCTCAACGCCCAGATGACAGGCCGGGGGGGGGGAATATCAGCCCCCAGCCCAGCGGCACGGGGCGGACGCCCCTAACAGCATTACCTGAATGGCTAGCAAGATGCTGCCGAGAAACATCTCTCATCTTACTTTATATTCATCCCATACTTCCATTCTTAACTTCGCTTTTATTTATATCTAGAACTATCAATGAGTGAATTCATTCCTTTCATTCCTTGCTTTCTCCTCTCCTCTCTTCTCCTATTTATTTATTTATTTATTTGGTATTTGTATTTTTGTGTTCATATTTTTGGCGTTTTTGTCAGTCTGCCTCTAGGTGGTAGGCATTCAACTACTTAAAACACACCAGAAATAGCTCGACCGTTAGATATGATATATTGGCCTCATCAAATAAAGAGAAATTTGCCGCCGTCCTGTGTTTTCCTTTCTTCCATTTCCCTTTCGCCCTCCTGTTCCGTCCCCATCTATATATTCTTCCACCTAAGACAAAAAAAGTCACGGAGCATATCTATATCTAAAAAAGAAACAACAACACCAATGACCGCAACCGCCCGCCCGTCCCCTGTTTTTCTGTCAACGCGTTCCTTGTGTCTCCATTACTCCTAGAGAAAGAACAATATACATATAAATAAATATATAGATATATATATATATATATATATATGAAGTTATCGCATGAGATTCCCGACCAAACTAGTGTCAAATGCCATCGCCGATTCGCCAATTCGCTATTACACCATTGTTAAAATTAGAGGTTATGAGAACCACGGGCCAGTCAGTGGTCATTCGCATCCCTGCCGCCGCTGCTGTTGCTATTGCTGATATCGATGAAAACATCTTGCATATCCAAGTCCTGGGTAGTGTTCTGCAATGCGGTAGATGCGGAGGTCAACGGGACTGGGTCTGCGGCTGCGGCAGGAGGCGGGGAGAGTACAGCAACGGACGACGATGATGATAGCGAGGATGATGATGATTCCACTTCGGTGACGGCGGAAGACGAGGTGGGGTTATTAATATTATCATCCGTGTGATGATGGTGATGGTAGGGATTACCGAATTCATGGTGACTGGTGCTATTGTTATTGCCGAAGCCTAGTTCTACGGTGCTGGACTGGCTATCGGAGTCTGAACCAGGATCGTCGAAGGCATCATCGGGCGGTGCGAAAGACCAGACCTAATGTTGGAATTAGTATTTTGGAAAACTTGGGGGGAAAAGACAAGAGAAATTTGAGGGGGAGTATGTCTTTGGAATTATGTAGCTCACCTCCATAACAGTCCGGCCCGCCCTTGTCGCCATAACCACCGCCTTTTCATCCTCAAACGCAACCCTCCACACAGCCTCCGCCGGCTGACTCAGCTCCCTCACCAACTGGCCCGTCCTCAAATTCCAAATCTTAACCCGCCCATCACTACCACCGCTCACAATCCGATTATCATCAAACTGCAGACTCGTAATACTATTATCGTGTGCCGCCAGCCGGTGAATCGCCGCCATCCGCAGCAGTGACCAGACACGGACAGATCCGTCCGAACCACCAGTGACAAGCGTGTCGCCGCGCATCTGCAGCTGGCCGACGAGAGAGGTGTGTCCTTGTAATATGGCATGGCACTGGCCAGTCTGCAGGTCCCAGATGCGCACACTCGTGTCCAAGCTACCCGTCGCGATCCGCTTACCGTCAAAAGCGATCGCGTAGATTTGGCTGAAGTGGCCAGCTAACGTTCTCAGGCACCGCCCTTCGGAGATGTTCCAAATCTTCGCAGTTGTGTCGTAGCTACCCGAGACGACGAGGTCACCGTGGATCCCTAGGCAGCGGACACTGGCTTGATGGCCGACGAGTACGTGTTTGCACACACCCTTCGCGAGGTCCCATATCCGCAAGGTCGTATCGCGAGATCCTGAGATGGCGGTAGTTGCGTTTGACATTTTTAGACAACGCACTGTGGAGGTATGGCCTCGCAGCTTGTGGATACTCTCACTGAATACCTCGGCGGTTAGCGGCAGAATCGTATTGTATTGAATGAGAGACGCGACAAAACATACCCAGTAGCCATATTCCACACACGCACGTCACGATCACATCCACCACTGACAAGGATATCATCCCACGGTACCATGGCCCAAACGCCCATGACATGGCCTTGTAATGTCCTCTGATGCTCGCCCTCTGTATTAAAAATGTGAATCTTGGCATTATCCAGCGCGACGGCGATGAACTTGGATGTTAAATGCAGGCTTGTAACAACCCCATGATCTGGCGTGATGTGTTTGGTGATTAAATGTCCCCCCTTCCGCCAGGCCGCTTCAACCATGTATCTCTGCTTGAAATGTGATCTGTAGGTTTTGGTCTTCACTCGTCGTTTCCGTGAGTGGTTTCCTAACGACGAGGGTGCTCTGGATGTCGTGGGCGTAGTAACTGCGCTATTATTACTTGCCAAAGGGTCGTCGCTGTTGTTCAACTGCTGCTGCGCGAAACGGGGATCGTAAGGGTTTGGAGGAAGGGCAAAAGAGAAGGGCTCAGAATCCTCTTGGGTGTTTTCGGACATGGTTCTATAAGCATGATTATCACACAGGAGCTTCCAGGTCATATCATCATTTAGAAGCTCGTGCCATCGTGTTGAGACTTGCGATGCTCGAGCAAGTGTTTTGGGATCATCGATGAATGAAAGGATCTTACAATTCTCATTAGCACAAAATTTCCGCAGGGCAGCTAAAAAGGAAGGAAAAAAAAAGGGGCACAATAAAAATCAATATTTACCCGTAAACATAGCTCATTCGGAAGCACTTTAAACGGATCCTTCTTCAGCCGCGGGCTGACAAAATGATAGACAAAACTGAGTTGCTGATTATCACATAGATTCAGAATCTCCGCCAGAAATCTTTGTCCCTCCGCACGCCCTAGCAAGCTGAAATGCTGTCTCGCATCCCGCAGAAAGGTGTCCTCGTCTTCGCCAGCGCTCTGCCAGCTAGGGGCTCGTTGGTGTGGTGTCGGACTCGGGGCGGGAGTTGGAGGGGAAGTGGGAGCAGAGGGGTGGAGGTTGTGAAATGGGGGAATGGATTTGTTTGGCGTGCGCAACAGTTTGGAACGGGAGTGTGCAGAGGCGGACAAGCTGTTTGTCGACCTTCTGCGAGAGCGTCCAGCTGGCAGCGAAGCAGCAGAGTTATCATCGCTCTCCTCGTCCGGGTCTGCCATTGTTACTCGGCGCGAGGATGAGGCATATGGGAAATATCTCTGCTCCATGGACCCCAGAAAGAAATGGTATTTTGGGAGTGAATAATGTGCAGCTTCTTGGGGTTCTCTAATGTGCTTTAGCGAGAAATTGTCGTCAGGCACGTAGGCTCTCCGCTCCGAGACCTGGGATTTTCGAGATCCCTCATGTATTGACAATAACGGTGGTCGGCTGGGGGAGGAAGGTTGTCTCGTCTCGTGCCAAACCAGCGCCAGGAGAAACTTGGAGAGCGCTTAACTGGAATGACGACTAGCTAGGGTCAAGCCACACGGAAGGCTGGTCGTTTGCTGTGTTGCCTTTTGGCTTTGCGGAGAGGTTTCACGCAAAAGGCTAGTGAGGTAGTGGCGGCCAGAGAGTCTTTTGGTCTGGAGATGGTTGAAGTAGGGGAGCCGGAGTTGGTGGGAATGGAAGAAGTAAAACTGTGAGGCTGGCCGCAGGCAAGGCGATAGGTCACAGATACTTGAATACACAGCTAAAATAGGTGTATAATCAAGTATTAGTGACTTTTACTCCAACAAATTCTCACTTTAGTTCCTCGCCTATAGTTCAACAGATATAGCTCAGTCTATTTTAAACGGCGTCTAAATTATCCCCCTTTCTCGGTAATTTTTTTCCTACTGGGACTGTTGGGCTGTTATCTGGGATAGCGGATTGGGTGCATCTCGCACCTCTCCCAGTCAGCAATCAAAGAGCAGAAGTGGTCCAAGTCATGCAAGAATAGCGTCTATATCTGGATGAGTAAAATGATTACATGTATAGAAAAGTTTAATGTCCTTAGGACGGCCCGACTAGATTTGCAAGGCGTTGAGAAGGAATCGGCGGCCACAGCTCAATCAATCCTGTGTGCCATTGTGTTGGCTACATTCATTGGTGCTTTGCACGTATAGTACATATATGCCTGTAGTTAATAAATCCAGATATATTACTTAAGGAAAACGAGATTATTAGGGTAGAAAGCTGTAATGGGGATTATCACTTGGGCGATATGATAGTATATATATATTATTCTGAAAAGTCTTCCCAAGAAGATGGTGGAAGAGGTGGACTAGTACGCATGCTAATAAAAACATCAGGGGCGAGAGTAAAGATAAATAAGAAAAAAGACGAAAAACAAACGGGGGGTATCGGGAGAGGTGAGAGAGGAGAGTTACCATTAAAAAAATACAAACAAATCTATAGCTATCAATGGCCGTTGACTTTTAATATAACAATAAAGAGAGAAAAAGGAGGTATAGAAAAAGTAGATCTCTCTGTTCCAAGTTCACAGAAGGAATGAAAGGATCTAAACTGAAGTATTTTCCATATATAAAGCCAAACACCAAAGATCAGATATATAGATCGAAGCCAGTCTAACAGGACATGCAAGGAGTTATGTTCTTTCTTCCTTTCTTATCCTCGTTACAGAAATCAAAATACAACATTCCGCTGTTCAGATTCACCATCTTCCCGAGGCGGTTTGGAAATAATGGAGTCTGACAACGACAGAAAGGAACGCCACAAAAGAAGCGGATGTTTTATTTTAGCCAAATACAGCTATAGAAATGTGTTGATGGCATAGCTATAGCGATTGGCGATACGAACGTAACTCTGCAATTACGGAGTTGAGTCGAAGGCTTTTCTGAAAGGGAGGGATACATAGGCGGATCGCGTCCCAATTCATGTGTGGATTATACCACTATAACCAGTCCTCCAACGCCTAGAGTCAGAGCGGAGTAAGGGGAGTAAATCTATCCGCATATTTGCATTTTCCCAAACTCAACCAGCGTGTCCAATCTGCAAGAATAGGGGAAGGATCATTCCCACGACAGTTGCGATCAGATCCTTCATGGACTTTTGTTGGGTTCTTTGTGCATTATCCCGATCATGGACAGCATATCCGTTGGCATATGATGAATCACGCCGGGACATTTCCGTCGACATGCCCATTTCTTGCATCGTATGCATTGCAACATACCTAAGTGCGATGAAACGGTTAGAATGCATTTTTCTTATTTCCTCTGTGTGTGTGTGTGAGAGAGAGACAGAGCGCTCACAAAAATGATCCCCCCGAAAACAACAACAACATTCCCGTCCGCCACTGCGTTGCCCGCTCATCACTTGCATTGCCTGCCAAAACCGTATGGGCAACAATCCACGTAAGAAGCGCACCCACTGGCGCTCCTAGGCTAAACATCAACAAATGACCCTTTATTGCACGGGTTGACAACCCTTGCTTTAACAATATCGTGGTTAGCCCAAATGCAGCGGGCGCTTTATGCACCATGATCGCCAGGAAGACGACGAAGCTGAGGTTTGTGTCGGATATCGATGCGCCGAGTGCCACTCCGTCCGCCGCAGCGTGGATTACCAGGCCGATTGTGGTTGCGAAGCCATTGCGGGCAGTGCTGCTGCTGCTGCTGGTAGTGGTAGTGGTAAGAAGGCCACTGCCGACGCCGCCGCCTCCGTTGCGGGAGGGGGAGGAAGCGAGACTAAGGCCGAAATCTAGGTTATCCAGTGATATATGGTAAGGGCGTTGCTGGTGGTTCGTGGGCGACGAGGCGACGGAAGGGAGGGTATCGATTAGGTACATTAGAATGAAGCCACTGATAAGAGAGACGCCGACCCAAGGGTGCGGCGGGGTTGGTTGTGGTTCCGCTCCATCCTTTTCATTTTCTTGAGTCTTGTCCTTGTCATTCCCTTCGTGGTCTCCTAGGATGTGCAGCCTTCCACCATCGCCTGATTGTCCGGAGTCCACCTCGTGCGGTGAATCCACTTTGGCTGAGTCTTCCGACTGGAATGTATCTCTTCGGACAAGAAAGGAGGTGCGGGCAGCTGAGTGCTGCCAGCGCGTATTCAGCGCATGGTTTGTTCCCCCATCAACGGTGTCAACATATCTCTTGTTGGAATGCGTATGCGATATCGCGGTGGAGCTGTAGAGGGTGTCCACTCCCTCGGGGATAATTATGATCAGGGATGTGCCGACCAGAACACCCATCCCAAGGGCGGATATAGAGCGTAATTGCGACGAAGATAACGAGAAGGAGAGTGGGAGTGAACCAATGACGAAGGAGCTGCAGCCACAATATAGAGTAGATATAAGGCTTGGTGTTCGAGAAACAATAGCAGCAGCAAAATACTTCGGGTAGTGGTATGGGGGAGGTGGGGAGAGGGGATCAATTGGAGGTAGTCTTACGCTATTGCCATCAGCAAACTCAAGATGAGCAAGGTTAAAAGCCCGTACATCATGGCCTGAGGTGCTCGACTATTCCCGACCAACTGCAGATATATCAGGCGTCTCTATCTATCCATCGCGAAAAGAGCGCCCGTTCGGTCGGGACCCAGTTACAGGTGGGGACGATGGCGAGCAGCGGAGAGGAGGGAGGCGGAGGCCATGCAACGGCGAAAAGGGGAATCGGCCGGAATCTTTGTTTCTGGACTCCGCTGCGTGCCCAATATTATTATTTTTATAGAGTTGACGACACGGGGAGATCGAGCGCGCGACTTTGGTTCAAGTTTGGCAATAGGGTTTCAACTTAGTCCGTAGTTTATCTAAAAGTTAAGTTAAATAGATTGGCTAACCCCGAAAAAGGTCCCCTCGAAGACTTCTTTGAGGTGGAGGAAATATACGATTTTTAGTTTGTATTTTATTTTATTGTTTTATTTCTTTATTTCTTTATGTTGCAACCGCGTCGGCAAGAGGTACAACATCCTTGATCGCTGAACTAATCTGACCAGCATTGATCGGACAACAACATCTGTCAAATAAACAAGAACCCGCAGCCCATTTGAAGCTTTTCAGGCCATGCGTATCAAAGACACTCACAGAATTTCTGAGACTGTGCCTGCGCACGAGAACCCTTCTCACACAAGATCCTTTCCCGCAATGGAAGTATAAACGACTTCCATTGGGAGATTGTCGAGTACGCACATACTTTGCTGCATATCTGTATGATATATGGTGAAGAGGAGTGAGGGGAAAGCGTTCTAATGGGGAGATCTTGGCCCCTTGACTTCAAGTTTATCATACAAGTGGGGTTATTGAAGGTCGAGAGGTGAGTGTATTCTCCCCGTTATCGACAGGAATCATTCCTTGCCGCTTATATACACTTGCCAGGCCATATATATTGGCAACCCCCAACACAATCATGGTGCCTTTTTGTGGCAGAAAAGTAGATGGCCTAGTACAGTAGTTAAATAGTCTCCTGTCTAATCCTCTAGGACAGCAAATGCACATGCCTCAAATTCGCCAAAACTTCAGCATGTCCTCCAGACCGTGAGCATCCTTTCGAACCATCGAAAGCTCTCTTCAAGCCTTCGGTTTGTAACATGGCGCACACACTGGATAATGGGGCACATTTGACTCTGTTCCTGCCCAAGAGACCAGCAAATCTACATGACAGGATAGAGGAGATGATCTCATTCTTGACTTTATTGCCTATTGAGGAACACCAGCTCGTACCCAGTACTAGTCCCCGTAGATAAGCCCTTCGGCTGGCGGAGCTGTCGAAATAAAACAGTTTTAGGGTTAAGCCCCACGGGCTAAGCTATTCACTTGCTGTTCGTTCTCATTGTTCCAGAGCGTAGCAAGTGCTCAACTAGATACATGGTAATTGCCTATTTAGGAAAATAAATGGGGCATCTAAGTCACATGACATATACCTACCTATTTGGGTTAGTAATTGGTCACTTCAACCTCATTAATCCGACGCGACTTCAAGAACGCGCTGACATCGAGGACTTGTTTGACAATTGATATTGATATATTTACCGTCAACACTGCCAGCCCCCATTGCGAGACTTATACTATATGGTTGTCAGCGCGCCAGCTGACATATTTGGCCGAAATGGAGAACCAATCATCTTGTGAGCAACATATCCTGCCCTTCGGATTTGCCGTTTTTGGACGTTCGAACAGCTCCATTCTTGGTGGAGATCATAATAACAACTAATTCGCTGACCATTTACTGTTTTCTTTCGCGATATTAGGGACCTGTGATGCCAACCATGCCATTCACATATCCATGGTCCAACCAGTCGAAACCAAACTAAATACGCTCTCCACGTTTCGGCCGGAGTTTACATACCCAATATTTGGTGAGGAGGAGACAATATTCGGCTACAAGGGATTGAACATCCGACTGCGCTTCTCCGCGCATGATCTCCGGCTAAACGTCCATATTTCATACAATGAGAAGTTCAAGACTGTTGCAGATGTCGCTCCGGTGGATTTATTCACGACCTTGGATCCCTGGCTCCCGAAATGTAAGGAGGTATCCACTCTTGCGTTCGCGGGTTTCATATATGTGGCTAACTTTGTCTGTGTATGTAGCTTCGTTCGTGCCGTTAGAGGAGTTTGAACAATCGGTTCTCAACGATGAAGCTGCGAAGGACTTTAAGCCTCCGGGCAAGCTTGTTCACAGCTATTCAAGCAAGCAGAGGAATTATGAGATCTGGGCGGGTTCTTTAGTCAACCCCGAAGTTCGCACACTGCTCGACCGGATACAAATATTTGTTTCCTTTTTTATCGAGGGAGGCAGGCCCATCGCAACGGACGATTTAGAGTGGACCCTTCAGAGATGGACGGTCTATTTTGTGTAAGCACCTTTTGCCGACATGAAACAATTCAATTAACCTTCTAACTTAATCTGCTGTCCGGAGTAGTTACGAGAAGATAGACCCTCCAACCCCTACCGCGCCATCATACTCGTTCGTAGGATACGCAACAACTTATCGATGGTACTTCTACCTCCACGAACCCAGCAACTCCAACAACCATAAAATCACCGACATTCCCTTCCCATACGCTGAGGAAATCTCCTTCTCCAATCTCCCCGCACGCCTCCGCATCGCCCAATTCCTCATCCTCCGTCCCCACCAGCAATCCGGCCACGGCTCCCAACTCTACCACACAATCCACTCGGCTTGCCTCGCTGACCCCACTTTACACGAACTCACGGTCGAAGACCCCAACGAAGCCTTCGACTACCTCCGCGACACAAACGACTACAAAACTCTCCTCCCAGAATTCCTCAAACATAACATCACCATAAACGCCAACCCATACCCACCAGAAGACAGCAATGCCAATAACGGCCAAAACAATGATTCAAAGAAAGCCCGCCGCTCTCGCCGTCCCCGCTTTATGCCAACTTCCACACTCCTCCCAACCGCCACCCTCCACGCCCTTCGCATCCAGTACAAGCTCGCCCCAGTCCAATTCGCGCACATCGTCGAAATGTACCTCCTCAGTCAAATCCCTACATCCCACCGCGGAAGTGGCGTAGGTATGGGCGCTGGTGAGGCAGCCCCGACTACCACACCCATGGCACGCCTTCTCGTACAGAAGTGGCGCGCACCTAACGAGGATGATCGGCGGTATTACTGGTGGCGCATGCTTGTTAAGCAGCGGTTGTATAAGAGACATCGGGATTTGTTGATCCAGCTGGACAGGGCGGAGCGGTTGGAGAAGTTGGAGGAGACGGTGGGAAATGTGGAGGAGGGATATGATGGGTTGCTCAAGGCGTTTGAAAATAGGGAAACACAGGAGGGGGGGAATGGAGACGTTGGACGGGAAGAGGATAGCCCCGCAAGGAAGAGGGGCAAGCGGAAGTTTACTGTGTTTGAAGATGAGGATGAGGAGAATGAGGATCAGGAAGGTGAGGATAAGGATAGTGGTGAAGTGGGGATGGAAGGTGGAGAGGGGAATGGGGATGCGAAGAAAATGAAAATTTGAGGAACTACCTATGTATGGTGCTTTTTCTTCCTTTCTTGACTTTATATTATTTTCTTTTCACAAATTTACCTTTTTCTTCTTATCCCATGTGTTTCTTTCTAATGTTTTGATGAGTGAACAGTTCATTGGAGAGTGGAAGGTGTTCATTTCTTTTTCGATTTTACTCTGTTTCAATTTCCCTTTTTATTTTGCACTTGTCATGCTGGCACACGCCATGTACCGTCGATGTGCTTCCTTACTTGTTCCATCAACTGCAGAAATCAAAACCAAGCCGCAGCACCTTGTGCTGATAGTCGGAAGAGGGTTTTCTTAAACTCTGGAAATGACTCCCAACTGGCAATCCCTGTTTCATTCTTGGTACCTCTCCTCCCCTCAATTGCGTTGACGAGGAGTGTCGAACGACAGGAACCGGGCATATTTTGTCCTTTTCAGCATGCCAGTGACATACGCCGAGAAAGACGGATTGGCGGGGAAGAGAGAGTTCCAAGGTTAAGCCGGCGAGGGTGGTGACGGTGTGGCGCTCGGGTGTAAATAATCTCGGCAAAATTTGAAGAGCATTTTGAATCTTGGAGATCTGCAATTGACCTCCCCTCACATTGTAAATTAGTAGAAGCCAGCACCACATTATCTAATCTTCTGCTCCTCTTCTCCTGCTCTTCATGAGTGATGTTTTACAAGAACTTGCTCCAGGGGTTAGAATAGGAACACCGCTAACCATCCCTCCAGCAGAATGCCTTCAACCTCCGGCGACAACCTCCTGAGCTATGAAGATGCCGATCTGGTTTGCTACCTCAGAAATCCACCTTGTCTGTCGCAGCATTCTTCAGCATCTGTGTTATCTGCCGGCCTTAGCCATTTGGCCCGACAAGAGCGGTTCTGGAGTCCATAGTCCATATCTACCGAAGTCGAGGTTCTCGTAGAGGTTGTCTTATCGCTTTCCGCTAGAAGAGAACATGGCCATGACCACGGCCCGATTGATATCATATTTATTTTTGGCCGGTCGCATAACCATTCTCCCCCTCCTGAAATCTGCCGCGGAATTATTATTTCCCCTGAGGCTGTCTTTCACTTCCTCGTTTTCAGGGTGCCTTGCAGCTGAGATTTGCTCAAGATTGTTTCAAGCTCAGCTGGAATAGTTCAGCTAAGGTTAATTAATACCTTACTCTCTATCAACAGCATGCACAGATCAAAAGAGAAACATATATTGCATCTTGATACTGAAAGTATCTCAGAGGGTAACCGCAAAAGAGAAAGAAAGAAAAGAAAAGAAAATGGAAGAAAAAGCAATAAGACTGAGACAGGAGCGAAAAATGGAAGAAAACCGGACACAAGATCGAGAGGGAAAATGAAATACAGCCAAGGAGAAAAGGTGTATACTCGATTAATTGGTTAATAGATAGTGCCCGCCAGTAGCAGAACCGGACCCAGCGTTAGGAATCCATATCAATAGGAAATAAGATATACGACTAAAGAAGCGGGGGAGAAAAGGAAGGAAGGGACAGTGAAATTGCGAATAGGCCGGCCTGCTGCTCCATCAAAACCCTCCGAAACAAGGCGGATATCATATCTGAAGGGAGGGGGTAATGCAACAAAAGTAAACAATCGGTATTAAATAAATAAAATACACATATCGTATTATCCAGAAAACCCCTTATCTTTTTCATTCAAATCCATACAATACAGCTACCCACTAAACATCGTCGCTGTCTCGGGATCTAAACTATCCAACGTATCTGACGAATCCGTTTCGATGCTCAACACCGTGCTCGTCCGCGGAGAGTAGATGGTGGTGGTCAGTGGTGCCACGGACGATGGAGCAGTGGCGGGGAAGGGCAACTGAGAAATATCCCTCTGATAGTCCCCAGCACTATCATCCCCAGCTCCTTGGAGGTGCGAATAGTTGCTGCTGCTGCTGCTGTTGTTATTATGCGTGTCGTCACTGCTGTAATCCGGCCTGATAAGCTCGCCTACGAATTCCAGAACCCTGCGGAATCCGAGAATTTCTGCTTGAATGGTTTCCCCCCCCCCTCCTTCGTCACCCACTCCTGTCCTATTATTTGAAGTAATGCTTCCACTTTCATACCCCTCATCAACCCTTATAAGCATATTATGACGCTGGTGCTGTTGCTGCCCATGTTGCGTATGTCTCAAATCCACCGAATTCCGGCGCCCTCCCCATCTAAAGCGACTATTCCACCACTGACGCCATCTGTATCTGCGTGCGGCATTCAGGTAGGCATTTCGTGTACGACGTTCCTCGCGGCGTGCTGCGAGATCGACACGACGCCGCAGCCAGGATGGGGAGTTGCGGCAGTGCTTTATAAGAACGATGAAAAGGGAGGTGATTAAAAGGATTATTGCAAGGCTCTTCAGTAGGATGGAAGGGCTGCGGGTAGGAATATCGTGACGGATAAGGATATCATGTCCATATAGGACATGGCGACAGTTTGGAGCATTATACCCTTCGGGTAGATCGTGACAGTTGGTGAGACTTGTGGGGATGAGTGTAGTGTGAGAGGGGAGAGTTGATACTTGAGAACTTAGAGATAGAGTGGATTGGGGCTTTGTGAGAACATTCGGATTGCGAATATTTGATGGTGGTGTGGCTTGGGAAGAATGGGTTTTGTATGGGTTGCTTGGGAGTGGGCGGCAGGCGCTGTCTGAGAGAGAAGAGGGTAGTGGACCGAATTGATGCTTCACGAGGCGGAAGACGTTCGGAACAATTTCGAATGAGGTCCTGATAAAACACGATAAATTTGCGCACTCTTTAAGCCGTGTCGCCATAGATTTACAGTCCTGGAGGAGATGTTTTCGGATCTCTTGTTCCTTGAATTTAATTTCCTCTTGCAGTTTGTGGGCCTCAGCTTTGAGAGCATGAAGGCGTTTAAGGTCTTCGGAGAGAGTATACTCGCTGTTCACGGCTTTATCTATGGAGAGGGGTAGATTGGAAGGATCGAGGGGATCCCTCCATGATTCAAATGTACTGTCGTCTAAGAGATCAATGGGAGATGCCTCTAGGCGGTATATCCTGGGAGTTCCAACAGAATTAAATGAAACCGCGAACCCGGACGTGCGTTCATTTTCCGTAATTTGATTTGTTGGTTTGAACGTCACGCTGAGTATTTGGGCAGTGTATTGCGCCCCGTCACTTTGAGGGCTAGATATGCAAAACGCAAGATAGTTGAGAGATAGTTCATGGGTTTGCTCTCCGTTGGTCATGTTAGCAGGGAATATTCCGGAACCGATTCCATTGTTGCCATGCCATACAAGGTCCAATTTGCGCTGGTTGAGGGTGACATTTGCCTCCTCACACGCGAATTGCGTGCTGGAAATGTGAATATCAAAGATCTAGATTCCAAAAAAAAAAAAAAAAAAAAAAATCAGAACTTTCTTATGGTAAAAAATAAACTGCAGAAATCCATTGACATACATAGCTTATATCAATGGAGCCAAAACAACCATCACATAAAGAATCAAACCTCGTGGTAGTGCTGTTTTCATCATCTACATATAAATACATTTAATATAAATGTCAGTTTCCAATATAACTAACAACGTAAAATTAAAATAGAACTCAGCCTGACCTGACCATACTTCCACAGGATAGCCAGTGCCTGGATATTCGTCATCGTAGGAGGCACTCCTCGTGTGCGGAATAACATGGGAGAATGCAATGGCAAAGCCACAAGACCACAGGAGCGCGGAGGCGGCGCGCACACGCATATTGGATCACAGCGCGCTGCCACGCTCAGTCATTGACCATTGCTATGCAGAGGTACGACTCCAAGGATTCTTTATTTGGGTATCTCTGTTCCAACATAATATGCAAACTCGTTGATTGGCACAGAAATCGAACGTTGCGTTTGGAGTGAGGCTCAGCTCTCGGAGAATCCCAGGGGATGACTAATATTCCGCCGGTGTTTCAAGCTCGCAGCATCGGATTAACCATGTTCCAGAATAACAGTTCTTTTGCCAATCATGACTTGAATTGAATATCAAATAAAAATAAGAAAGAGAGTGCGCTGGCTGTGTTGAGAGAATATACAATCGAGATATTTTGTGTTGGATGGTCGCCAATGCCCCGATAGTACCAGACTAACGCCCGGGCATTGCTTTGATCATGGTACGTTTGTGGTCGGAGTTCCCAGTCCTACCCCTCGCTTCTTGCAGTCAACGATAACCAAATAGCTACATATACTCCAATACTAATACTTGCTTCTACTCCATCCAGCTTCCCTTAGGCCTGCTAACAGCCGCCCAAGGCCATCCCATGCTCGTCGAGCTTAAAAATGGCGAAACCCTCAATGGCCATCTCGTTAATTGCGACAATTGGATGAACCTGATCCTCAAAGAAGTCGTCCAGACAAGTCCCGAAGGTGACCGCTTTTTCAGATTGCCCGAGGTTTATGTGAGAGGCAATAATGTACGTCTGTCACTATATGTTCATTTCGCCTTTGTAATATATAATTATATATATATATATACATGTGTTTGTGTGTGTGTGTGTGTGTGTGTGGAGATGGCTAACTCAAATATACTAGATCAAATACTTACGAGTCCCCGAAGAAGTCGTCGATCTGGCAAAGGACCAGCAACAGAATCAATCCTCGAATCGGACCCGTGGTAGCCAGCAGCATCGTGGGGATGGTGGGAGGATAGATCGCGCGAGGGGTGGGGGTCGAGGTGGAAGGGGGCGTGGAAGAGGACGGGGTGGCAGCTAAAATCAGGGACATTCTACTGTAACTCCGTTTCCTACCCGCCTTCTTTTGATATCCAGCGTAGAGAGAGGTTGTGTGTCTCTGTGTGTCTCTGTGCGTGCGTGAGTGTTGTTAATGATGAATGGAGGCTCCCCTTATTTTGGCGCCTTACGAGGATGTGTAAGCTAAGCACAGCGTTTACTCTTATGGGAAAAATCAAACGGTGTTTGTCGGAAGGGGCTAAATAGCCATATATGCGTTTACTTATCGATAGCGAGCTTATTTTCTTGCTGGGCGTGTTTAGCTGATACGTTACAGCTCCTGAACCCCCAATGTATGCGAAACTGGCCTTCCCTACGCTAGAATATCTCCGTTCTTGAGAAGGGTCCCATAATCTACTAGGTAGCGTTGAATTTCAGATGTGATTACAATTTCATGATTTTTTCTTCTCTGTCTTGATCTAATTATGAAAGTTCTCTCATTCCTTATATCTTCGTTTTATACTATGGAACGCTACCCGAATGATAATGGGACATGTTGCCCTTTTCGCTATGTCATTTATCAATTCCCCACCGACTCCTCGAACGCCTAACGTAATACCATACAGTCAATGGTTAGAACTGTTCTTGTCTATAACTCTTTCTGGTAACACTGGCTGGAGAGAAGAACCGCCAGCCTTCAAAGCTCGAACATCTGTCACCTGAGATTTGTATCTAATTTCATGTAAGTCACCATAGCCATGATCTAGCCCAGGGAGCTTCACTCTCAAAACACTTGCTGGCTTGGCTCGAATGAGGTCATAAAGATCTCCTCAACAGATCTTCACTAGAAGCATTGGGGTCAATACCCCCATGCTCCAGTTGTTCCTGACCTCGCCAATCTGCCGCATGGCTCTCCAAAACCGGTTTTCCTGGCGCTGGTTCGGAGATAACTCTTCCTCCAGTAACTTGTATCCCAGCCCCTGCTTCGGGTTCCTTTTCCGCCTCCGCATACCTCCACACAACCTTCAACCGATCCAATGCCTTGATCCCCCTATTATTCGTCCCACGAATCCCATCCAGTGCTTCCCAGTCCACTTCAAAGACGCCAGAATCATACGCCTGTCCACCCTCAAAGTATGCATTGAACCAGACGTGGGCAACAGACGTAACCATCGTCCAGCCGGTGTACGCAGACATGGCGCGCCGGTCGATGCTGATGTTCACATCTGAGGTCGGAATTATGACTTTGTTTCGGGGGCGGAGGATTATGGCTGGAATGGCGGCTTCTACGTCTGCAGAGGAAAAGAAGATGCTTTGGAACATTTTGGGCCAGGGCTTCGGGGAGATGACGGGTTGGAATGGCGTGTCTGAAGATACGGAGGGCGGCGACGTGTCGTTGGCAGCGGCTGGGTGAGTTGAGCTGTCGGTCTTGCCCAATGTACTCTCGTTATCAATCTCCATTGTGTTTGGCCAAGTTTTCACTCGCTTTTTGCCATCCTCACACCCATTCTCTTCTCTCTCATTCGCCTCCTCGCTATCACCACCTATTATAACCCCCTCACTCCGACTAAACCGATGAAAACATTTGATTCGCCTCCCTTCCTCAACAAACCCCTCCACATCAACCTCCACGCCATCTCTCAATCCCCAAATATGCACCTCCATCACCTCCACAGGCCTCTCCACATAGACCTTCCCCAGATCCTTCGTCCACCGATCCACATAGCTCACCCACCTCAACTGGCTGGGTATGCTCACACCTTCCCCACACCTCGCTCTCATTCTCCTTTCCGTAAACCGCCTGAGCGCCTTATCAGCTTCCCATCCCCTCTCACTAATCAGAAAGCTACATGCAATCGTTCCACTCCGCCCCTTGCCTGCTTTGCAATGCACGACAACTACCCGTTTTCCCTTCGCATCACTACTTTCAATATTTCCCATCTCCCTTTCCATTGTGCCCCAATTATCCCCATTTCTCAGCAACCAATTCCGCATACTTGCCATGATATGTGGAATAAGTGCGAAGGGCGGTGGGTGGTGGTCTGGAAAGGGGAAGTGGTGGATACGACCGTAGACCTCTTCGTCCGGGTATCCAGTGCCCTCCGCCCGGAACTCCCATATTGCCCAATCTTCGCCGTGTTTGAGGTCTAGGAAACGGACAAGGGAGTCTGTGGGGTTGCGATAGGCACGTCGGGGGTAAGTGGAAGAAGGGCCCGAGGTTGCAATTACTAGGATAAGCGGGTCAATAGCTTTAGGGGGAGAAACCGAAATATAATGGGACACTTTAAATCACGTACTTTCATCTGTTACATAACAGAGATCAAGGCCAGTTTCGGGATGGCGGAGCCGGGGACTGGCAACTATCTGGCGGAGTATGGAGGCCTATTAATCCAGCCAATTAATTAATCAGCAAAATGAGTGCTCTATTCGCGTTCAAAGACCCTATGGTTGTGAATCAATTGACGGGTAGCATATGTTGTTGAAACAGAGGACACACACCATGACCAACTCCAGGAGACACTTGATGAGCCAGTAACCGACGTTCCCTTTTATTCCCAGGTTATAGCATACAATAACCGTTCACAAGTTGAGGCATCCTTCTTAAGTAGCACTCCTGGCAGTTAAAGATGCTGCCGAATATCTGGTGAGTTGAGAATGGGGCCAGAGTGTTTCCATGGTTGTTGGTTGGTGGTTGTGATGTCTGGTGTTGTTCGAAGTTGCCTGCCCCAGCAATGATGTCATGCTTTGTTGGAGTACATCGACAAGTTCGGAGCAAGTTAACGATGCATCCACATAATTATATAGCTATGCATGCAGACAACTACCAGCTTGAAGGACCGATTTCCAAAGGTTAAACAGGAATAACTCTGGGGATTAAAACCCGTTTGTATAACTACAAGCTGAGTAAGGGAAATACATCTACAATCATTTCACTAGCTACTGTCTTTAAAAAATCTACTCCTCGGCTACGTGACACATTATCAACGCTCCATAAGCTGTCTAGCAATCGGCTTTCGTATCTCGGAATCATATCGCAAAAGCTTCGCATACTGGTCATCAGAATCGAAACATCGCGTGCGAACATGTACCTTCGACCCAGGCGTCAACGAAAACCCACTATCCATCATTTCGACAAAGTACCTATGCGCCTCGCGGAACCGTCCCGCATCAACACAGAGCAGTACCAGGAGTTCGTACGTCATCCGGTCCGGGAAGATGTCGAGAAGAACCATCTCCTGAACGAAAAAATTTGCCATCTCATGCGCGCCTGTGACGCGGCAGCCGCGGATGAGATGGTTGAAAGTTGTGGCTGAAGGCCGGTGTTCGAAAACATCGACTAGTGCATGGTAAAATTCCAGCGCTACCGTCATGCTCTTGTGGTGGACGGCCATTTCAATCACGGCATTTATAGCTACCAAAGGCACGTTGTAACGTTCTTTTGTTTTCATGTCCGCCAGCCTTTGCCAGACAGTTCGCGGCCGAATATTCTTTTCGATACAGTAGGTGAGGATCGACCGTGTGGCAGTTTCGTCAAGCTTGAATGTTGCCTTTTGAGCAGTGCAAAGGACGCTCAAGGCAAGTTCGAGGTCGTCTGCGGCGAGACAGGTGTCTACGAAACAATTATAATCTTCCAGCAGGAAATTGCCCTGGCGTTCTTGAAGAACTCGGAAAACTTCACGGGCAAGCCATATATTACCTGTTCGCGATGTCATTACGAGAATGTTGCTGCAGACGCCGTAGGGTGGATTGATAAGACCGAGCTGCACGCGCTTCTTCCATACAAAAGTGACGCATTTCTCGTGGAATGACTCGCTGGCTGCAACGAGTATGTGAAACCACAGGTTGGGCGAGAGCTCATTTCCGGCGCTTATCCACTTAGCCATCAGCTCTAAAATCATGTCGAAGTCGCTGACTTCGCAAAGATTATATATTAAAAGGCTATAGAGCCATGGTTCAACTTGGATGTTCTGGGCTTGCATGCGGGATATATGGTCCAGCGCCATTTCAAACTGCCCCTCCCGGATGAATCCAGTTACGATATTATGCCATCCTTCAGGTGAAATTGTCAGCCATCGATCGCGTAGAGTGTGAATGATCGTCTGGCGCAAAATATAATCGGGGTGCACTGCTAGGACCTACTAATGGCTTTCCACATTAGTATAAAGCAAATAAATGATCTGCAAGCGAGTAACGGGAGGGCGTGTCTGGGGCAGGAGCAAGCTATACCTGCAATGCCGCATGGAGAGTGGCTGAATCAATTGGTATATGATTTTCGTCCATCTCCTCTAAGAGACTTCGGACGTGCTTCGGGCACCCCAGCAACGCATCCGAATTGGCCGTTATCAGTACGGTGTAATGCCATGTTTGCGGCCGAAAGCCTCGTCTCCGGATAAGTTCCCTCATCAATTTCATGGTATATTTGTAATCCGGTGCTCCCTCGACTGTCTTCCGTAGCATTCTTTCAATGTGGCCATCCTCTCGGTTTCGAGTAGACCAATCCAGATTCTTGTATTCCCAGAGCGTTCTCTTAGAGAAATGCTTCCCCGGCGGGGATTCTATAAAATACTGATCCATATCACCTGGCATATCTGAATCATGCTTCCCAGGAAGCGCGTCATCTTCCGTTGCGACGTTTGGTTTTAATCCTGGGGTGAGCAATGCGACTTCTCTGGTTCGCGAGAAGAATCGGGCAGCATTGACAGTGGGATTGACATGTCGCTTGAGCCGTCCTGGGAAGTTTCGCCACTTCAATGACGCCTGCTTGTAAGACGGGCAGAGGCAATGCCATAAACCGTCAGCAACAATGGTTTTTGCAGGCATGTTTCGGTTAGAAGTCGAGGAATGCTTCAAGACTTTTTTTTGGCTCTGAGCAAAAGCAGCTTTTTGGTGATCTTGCTTAGTCATGATTCAGTTTAGTTAACTTGCCCCTTGATGAGATTGGAGGTTGCTTCATTGTACAGTTCGCAATAGGTTGCATTGTTTATTGCAGAACTAGCTCTAATTAACTAAATTACATCTGGAAATCAAAGACGAAAACTCAATAAAGAAAATGTGTGAGGAAGAAGATAGAAAAAATGAATGAGAGAATAGAGAATGGTGTAGATGGGTGGAAAAATAGGGGTAAATGCATGCATTTGAATATCATATTGACACTATAACTACAACTAATTACTACAAATTAAACTTCTTTTGGACTATATTGCGAGGCACTGTAACTACCTAGCGGGCTCTGCACCGCTTCCAAGCTTACATAGGTGTGGTCGCGTGGCATGCTAGCGAGCGATAGATGTATGTATATTTATATGGCAAAAAAAGTACTATTCAACAAAATTTACCCAAGAAATTTTAATACATCTCTCCAATCCGCATTTTCCAATCTGGATTGTTTCTCTCCATGTTGGCCCCGATGGATATCCCATGCCAATAACTTGCCCTAATATCTGGTTGCATTAACTACGTGGAGAGAATAGTCCGAGTAAAATCGAGTGTCAAGACGACAGACGCTAGCCGTCAAGCTCCCCTGACTGCATCCTTTGCAACCTCGCCTTTTTCTTCCTTTCGTAAATGCCCCGCACGACGCGTTTCACTCGGTCTTCGCCTTCCGCAAAATTGGCTTTGGCAAGCGCAACAACGCCATCCACCTGTTCTGGACTGTAAACAAAATTCCACGTGCTCATGAAATCGCTGACTGCAGGATCAATAGGCTCCACGGCTTCCGGTATCTCTGGAGATATTTTCGCTTTTTTTGAGTTGATGCCTGGAGCGGACGAGGATGTTGGTGATGGTGACGGTGGTTGTGGGGGAGGAGACTGTTTTATGGCAGGAGCGGCAGGGTTTTTCACAAGTGGGAAGTACACAACCGCTATGCCGGCATCTGGTTGCATTAATCTGAAGTCTGAGTCCGAATCATCTTGCGGAGGCAAATGGAACAGCCTTTTGGACGGGGGAGGTTCTTCTGTGGATGTTTGCTCCTGAGTAGTCCCAAGCCAAACATTGCAATAATCAAGATCGGCCTTCTCTAGATCTGGGCTGGATTTTCTAGAATCTTGAAGAACGCTTGGAATGGTTCCTATGCTCCCCGAATTTGACCCTTTGCTCTGATTGCTTTGCTCCCGGTTTTGTTCCTTCGCAGCGGAGATGTTCTGATCTGTTTTCTTCATTGAACTAATCGCAGCATCCTCGATGGATTTCGCGGTTTCTGCAGGATTTGCTGCAAGTTTGGGCCAACCTGACCCAACTGGCCACCCTTTGACACCCCTTTGCCGTGCGTATCCTTCCACAACCGATAGCCAGTTTTCTTCCTTGATGTCGGCTGACGCATCAAAAACGACAATCAGATCAACATCGCGGCCGGGGCGGAGAAGGGGATATATAGGTAGATTGTTGCTCATTCCAGCATCCATAAGGTGGAGTTCTTTGTCCGTAAAAATTGACTCTGGACACGTCTTTGGAAGTCGTCCCTTCAGTCCGAGGGTGAAATTTGGTATTGTTGCCGGATCGAAAGGATGGACACGGATTAGTTCATCGCGGTTACCATCCAGCACAGCATCGATGCCACCACATCCCGCGAGGCCACGCAAAACTGGTCTTACTTCCTTGTAGTAATGAGCAAGAGTGGCACAGAATGCGCTCCCCCAAATTCCCATAAACACGGATATCCGTAGTTCGGGTACGGCGAAGTCTTTCGAAGTGGGAACGTCCCGGCCTTCCCAAAATTGCCTCCCTGTCGCCCACATAGGTATTCCTGCGGTAAACTCCTCGCAGAATAATTCATATGGGGTAAATTCGAACCATTCGAACCACGTTTCTTGTTTTGGCCCCTGCTTTGATTCATCCGATATGGGCTTCGTAGGGGTATCGGGTACGTTTGTATCTCCTGGAGGGATTTCATGGCGCACAGCGGTGTATATGGGAAGAGGATTGGCACCATTTTCAGTGAAAACTCTCTGGTTCGAAAGCTTTAGGTCGCTATCGCGTAAATCCAACGGTTGTCTCGTTGGAATTAAAAGCCTAGAAGTCAAGAGCAAGCCGTAGATATCCACCAATCCAAACTCCGACTCTGGACTAGCTTTCAACTTCTCTACCAAACCCCTCAACAAGTATTTATTGGTTGGGGCTGTTGTAAGCTGTTTAAGTACTTCAGGTGGGAATGCAATGTGAATTCCCAGCCTATTTTTTAAGTGCTGAACAACCTTCCCAAAATCCTGTTCCCCGAGTGAGGAATTGTAGATAGCTTGCAACCAACAACTCCCACTAACACCTGCGGTATACATGGTGCAATCCCAAAGCCCTGCCTCTTTTGCAGCAAGATAAGAGCCTGCGCCTGCGACGAGAGCGCGTAGGCCACCCCCTGAACTGCAAATTGCGATTACGGGTATATCATCGGGATGTATATCGTTTTCCTGTAAGCCAATATAAGCTGCTAGAGATTTGATCATGGCTTGTCTTCGCCTCCATCGGAAATACCGCTCTTCGCGACATAGACCTTCACCAATCCTAACCCGGGCTTCCTGAGTTATCTCGGGATTCAACTCAGCATCATGGGACTCTGACCAGATCTCGTCGGCCAAAGACCCCTTGGCCATCGTTAATTCTCGTTGGAGTGTTTGGATCGTCGCAGGAAGTAAAGCCGCCCATCCTGGCACGACATATTGCTTGATTAGCTCTGGCCAACTAGGAGAACCAAGAAAATCTTTAACAACTCCAATCTTCGAGATGAATGCATCCCACGCTGATTGGGACGTTGGCGGTTCAATTGGCAGCTTCCCGGGCACCCTGGAAGGGGGATTACTTCCAACTGGCGGCAATTGTGATTGGGTAAGCGCACCAGGCGGGGTCCGTAATGTCCTTGAGCTGTTCCCCGGCTGATTTAAAGAAGGAGGAATGCCCTTAACGCCATCTTCCCCCTTCTCCCATGCGCCACAATTCCCAGCCGAGTCGTTTCTAACTGGGTGTGTCTTCGTTGAGCGATAATATGAAGCACCGGTGACCAAAAGTACAGTCCAGGTTAAAGGCGATCTCCATCTTGAGTATAGAGCTCTAGAAGTGCCCATTGAAGCAAGAACATCACTGGCTTCCAATATTCTTGTGTATTTCATCAACTTTGACTCTAGCTACTACTAGGTAGCGGAATATCGGAATATCCAAAATATTGGGATGTATTCGACAATTTCATGACGTACCATCCTGGGCTCGGAACATATTTCCTCCGAATAACTACTCCATTTACGGACTAGCTTCACTGACCGAAGTTCTAACCATCCAGCAAACACGGATTATAATGGATATAGATAGTAACCAGATCTGCTGTGGACGATTGTCTATGGCTTCGCTCTGCTCTGCATAGACCATTCCGCATTGCCACTATGCGCGCGATCGCTTCATGAAACTTTTCATTGAAACGACGTCAGCTGGCTGAAAACACTGATATCCCCAAGCAAGGCACCTTCAACCTAGATTGGAAGAGAGCAGATTATGCATCGGAGTCATGGTCGGGATGCGGAACACAGCCCATGCGGAAGAGAGTGCAGAGGTGGAGGTGCTTTACGCAAATCTTGAAAAGCTTAACAACCTAACCAAGAAGATCCAAGGTTCCATGGCTCGTCTAGAAACAAGTGGAAAGGTAGTGAAAGATGCCATTGGGCCAATTTATAGCAACACACAATCGCTGCAAGTCACAAATGCCAACGTAGATAAAGTCAACGAGGCGATTGATCGGCTTCGACAGCCTTTAGATGTCAAGGGAAAGGAGGAGGCTATAATCCGGGCTGGGTAAGCATTCAACTTAAATTCAATCCTCATTCTCAACCTTTCGCAATTCCTGGCCGCGGTAATTAACATATTCTCTAGGCCCAGAAGTGCCGGATTGGTCCAGTATTTGAGTGCTCTGAAACGACTGGATCGCGCACTGTCAGATCTAAATGCTACAAACCTTCGTTCGAATCAGAAAGCTGTGTCTGAATTTACCATTTTGCTTAGCACAGGAAGCAGCAAACTTCAGGAGATGTTCAAAGGAACTCTACGAGATAATATCAAAACCATAGAACCACTGCACTATATCACAAAACGTAAGCACCCCCAATGACCCCGGCTTACTCCGAATGGCACTCAAAATATCTATAGAGCTGCCGTTCCCAACGATCCCGGGTGAGACAGTTTTGGAGCTCTCACCTGTCTGCGCTGCGATCAGCTCAGCCACAAGTCATGGTCCACAAATTGGGCAAGCAGAAAATCCGGCTATCAGAATATACGCCGATATTCGCTCCCCTTATATCACCAACAGCTTGCAAAACCTCGCCACCGCATCTATCAATACAGCCAAGCGAAAGCCAAGCGACGGTCCATATAAACAAGGGACCAATGGTATAGGAATGTATGCTAGTGGTATCGAGGGCATGCTCCTGGCAGAACATGAAAATATTTCCCAGATATTTCCTGCGGAGGAGCAAGCGAAGGCGCTCCAAGCGACCTGTCGACCAGCGATAGCGGAATTCTCAAAAACTCAACGGGAGCTTAATATGTATATCAAGGCTAACTTGATGACGGACTGCTTTCTTGCCTTTGAGATAATCGAGATAGTCACCGGATTATCATATCGACTTGATGCAGCTACGAGGCAGTTGAAAACCCTATTCTTCGAAGCCTTGAGGCCGATCCGCGAGACCGCCAAGTTAGCGTTGTCTGAACTACTGGAGGAAACACGACGCAAAGCTGCAGCTGTCACAGTTTTGCCCCCCGATGGTGCCGCCGTCCCTCTCGTATCTGATGTCATGAATTCGTTATCAGCCCTAACGGCATACTCAAAGCCACTTGCCTCCATCCTAACATCGCTTGGGGATGGAAATTGGAAAGCGTCGAGCAAATCCAACACCGCCCCGCTAGACGTCAGCCCCGATAGCTCCGCAATCCTCTCCCATTTTATCCTAGACGTGATCGAAGCCTTACTATCCGCCCTAGAAGCTCGTGCAAGGATATCCCACCGCGCCAAACCAGTCCTCGGCGCTTTTCTTGCAAACGTGATGTGCATAGTCGACCGCTCAATCCGCAACAGCAGCGAACTATCCCGCTACCTGTCCACCCCGGAAAACACCAGCCGCCTAGATATATGGCGCAAAAAGGGCGTCTCTACTTACCTTGATGCCTGGCGTGATCCGTCCTCCCACCTCCTCGACGTCCAGTATACCAGCAGGGCTGGTGCGCGTCCCACCTCCGGCGGCCAGGTAGACTCCGGTGCCATTGTCAGAACCCTCTCATCCAAGGACAAAGATAACATCAAGGATAAATTCAAAGCTTTCAATTCGTCGTTCGACGAGTTGATTATTCGTCATAGATCATTGACAATGGAGAAAGAAGTGCGTAACATGTTGGCAAGGGAGGTACAGGCTGTTATTGAGCCTTTGTACGCGCGTTTTTGGGATCGGTATCATGAAATCGATAAGGGTAAGGGCAAGTATGTCAAGTACGATAAAGCAACCTTGTCAGCACAGCTTGCGGCATTGGCATAAATTTCGCTTCCCTTCTCTTCATAAAGCGGGTGTTAACAGCCCATTTCTCCCCGCCACTGCCGCATTCTCTTTCCTTTTCATAGGACCCAAGATTCAATTCCTTTCTATTACTCCCACCCCCACTCCCTGGTGGAATCCATATTTGAATATTTCTGTCAGTCAGCCCTGGCGTTCTTTTGCAGTATTTAAGATGTCATTAACTTTCTCTTCTATCCTCCTCACTCCCTATCTTCTCATCCTTTTACTTTTCATCCTTCTGGTTCCATATTTTGCTCATTACAGCCACTTAATTTCACTATCTATGTAGCAATGTTGCCTTTTTTTGTTGTGTCGTCTTTTCTATTTCACAGAATCATGACACAATTCTTTTCAATCTCTATCTGTTGTTTTTAAATTTTGATTATTTACTGTATCCTTCTTTCTATTTCATCCTTCCGTGGCCATCCGCTAGATATGTGGCAATTTCTGAACAATAAAAGCAATAGAAAGTACAAAGGCAGCGAAGGTAAACAGAAGCTAGTTTATCATGATTGCATCCATGGATGTGTGTGGGATGGTTAACTATTATTTGGGATAAGCTAATGCCATATTCGCAATAGCTTGGGCAGCGTGCCGTAACATTTTGGTGTATTATTAGGTTTATTATATTATTATATACAAGATTTTTACAGGCGGCACGCACCCTTCGATATTACCATCGAAATAGCATCCAAATCATTCATCCCATGCCTTGTCACCATGATGCTGGTGATGGATGGCTGGCGTTTGCAGCAAGATACTTAGAATATACCAGGTCAATTTTTCTTCTGTACTTCAACTTGGGACAGCTTTCGTCAAATTACTCATTTCTTCCATATGAATAACGATGTTGAACCCGCCTCTCGCGAGAAACCAGGCAACTTAGAGGAAAAGATAAATATATACATATATACATATATATATATATATATATATTGTGTGTGTGCGCGTGTGTGTGTCGGAATCTAAGTGTAATGTATATGCATTATAAACGGTGAGAAATGATACATAATTACTATGGATAGTGAAGGCAAGTCGGCGAGCAGGCGTCCGATTGCCTGAATCAATAATATCGAAGTATCGTGATCATTCGCAAAAACCTCCCTGAAAGAGCAGCTCCCACACGGTCAACTGGTTGTTTCATATGGGTGCAACGGGAGCGCAAGGCGGACGGCATGTAGGTCCCAACTTCAGAATCTAGAGAATAGTGGCTCATATATTCATATATTATTTGTTAATCAGTTATATTTTCGGTATGGAACAACGGGTTGAATCTTCTTAGCTAATTTGTAAAGCCGGGTGATCTTGACTTTCAGTGCGTTTCCAAGGCATTCGTAAACAGTGATGCATCGCGATGATTTAGAGCAAACAGGTTTTTCGGAAGGATTATATGTTGGATTCTGTAATATGATATATATACTGTGGCTGAGCAGGAGAAGCGGAAAACAAGAGAGGACGTATGGATTACTCTCCGCAATGGTGCATTGTAAAAATAAATAATAATAAAGAGGAAAAGATAAAAGTTATACGACAAGGGGTATGGTTAAAGGAGTAATAGAAGAAAGAGAAATATGCATCAAAGAGTAACAAACAGATGGAACGCTGCACCAGCCATATAAATAATAGATCGACAAATAAGATATATCGGAGATCTTGAATCTGCAGGGAATTCTTCGGAGTGAGGTATATGGAGGAGGAAATAGAGGAAATAGGCTCTGGAGTTGTGGAAGTTTGTTCGTTAATAATAATTTCCCAGAATTGAAAGGTGGATTCCAAAACAAGAACAAAAAGATATCGACATGAGAGTTGAAAATATTATCGTGCACCAGCAGCACCAGGCATTTCGTATATATTCTCGGGCACGGGTCCAGTGTGCGTCGCACTCAGCTGGTGCGGGCTTACTGCCTGTGGTGGAGGAGAAGTGCCAGGTGGAGGAGGGCTATTGATAGAGCCCGCATGCGGGCTTACAGGCTGAATATAACTTCCGCGATTTTGATTGTAATATTCGGCTGATTGACCTAGGAGTGGCTGCGATTGCGCCTGGAGAGGGTTATGAACCGGTGAGCCTCCTATCTCCGCAGGAACTGGCGGGGGAACAGGATGGTGCATATGAGGAGGGTAGCCTGGGCTGTAAGGTGGTGCTTCTCCAACGCCTGCGGGTTTTTGCTCTGGTTGATAGTATCCTGCTCCGACCACTGGCGGTGGTCCGACGTAGTGAGGAACCTGCTGTTCATGCATCAATGGAGCGGTCGGTGGGGGCCCCTGAGCAGCAGCATTGCCTTTCTTCTTACGAACACAGAATAGAACAATTAACCCGGCAATAGCACCAGCACCAACAATCGATCCCACAATAATACCGCCAATAGCACCGCCTGATAGTTTTTTCTTTTTGTGGTGTTTGTCATCATCATCTTTGCCATTCTCACTATCTCCTCCCGAGTCGAGGCTTTGCGTGGGATTCACATTCGAGCTGGAGGATGTCCCTGATAGCGATTCGGTTGCACTGCCAATAGAGATAGACAGTGAGGCATCAGATGTTAATCCAGATAACATGGTCTGATAGTTTGGTCCATAGCGTGACGAAAAGTATTCTGACATTGGGATAACCTGCGAGGTGACACCTAACGATGCTCTGCAGCCAAAGAGGCGCTTACCACCGCCAAAGAAATATGTTCCGCAATAAGGTCGAGTTGTCTCCGCACACCGAGTGACCCTAGGGTTGTTAGAACAAGAGGAATCGCATTCATCTTCCCAATTCAGACACTCTGTCGCGATATCGGTACATTGTTGGAGATCCGAACTAGCGCAACAGCCAACAGCCGTGCCATACTGTACGCAATCTGCCCCAGCATATGCGCAAGTCAAGAGGTTATCTGGTTATATTCGCATCGCATCGGTTAGCAGGGCATATCAAAAATTGAAAAACTTGTGTTCCGATGAGGAAGTAACTGGACTCACTAATATCACCGTTGACCAAACCACAATAGAACCCAGGAGCAGGAAAATCAATCGCTGTCCGCGACGCCCTTTTTGCTAACTCCTTTGGAAGCCCACGGGGGACTAGAGGTGGCGTGGTTGGCAGAGGAGACATGCCAAAAGCATCAACCATCAGTTTAACGGTTTCGCGAGGAAGAAGCCTGTCCGATAAGGCGTCTGCTCCCCCGAGGGAGAGCAGAGCCGACACAAGGCTCAAGCGAACCATTGCAGCAGACCTGATCCAGTCTGCGTTGTAGAGCACGATTTGTGACACACAATGCAGTGTCGGGTTGATATACGGCGTTGATAGACCGAAATTGCTAGAGGGAGAAGTTTTAAGTTGACCCAAGATGCGCCGTTAAAAGTCAACGAAAGAAGACAGCTAAAGCAGAAAGCAAGACGCGCTTGTCATTGACTAATTGGTAAAATTAATCAATAAACATTCAATTGCGAGAAATAAATGTAGCAGTATATCCTCACTCTGAGCTTTGGTGGCACAGGAAGAAAAAGCGAGAGAAGAAAAACAAATGAGAGAGGGATGAAGAGGTAAGAGCGAGAGGAGTTCAGAAGACAGCAAAACTCCGCCTTTCAAGCGAAAACGGATTTTGAAAAGCCATCTTCCCCCAAAGAGGAGAGAAAACAGAGGGGGAAAAATAACGCCAACGTCCCGTATTCCTGAGCCTCAGTTCATGTCGTGGGAAGCCTGCCAACGCAGTGGAGAGAAGTGGAAACAAACACGAGGTTGGTACCAATAGCAACAGCTTCCGATTGTTAGTCCAGCAGAGGCTGCTACCCTTGACAGCGCTAGGCCCTTAGGGGCGCTGCTAAAGTGGAGGTTGGAGTCTGAGCCAGCCTTGGGCATTTCAAGTTCCATCGAAGCATTTTCTGCGACTTTTGAGACAACTGGATATGGAAGCCATTTCACTCTCAAAAGACAAGAGAGAGTTCCCTCGAGTAACATAATCATTTTCATGTTGCTTCAAGCGCGATGTTGTTGCTTGCGTCTGTGCTTCGAGACAGAGACAATGGCTGCAGGTTTTCAATAAATAAACCACATGAGAGTTTCGGAATCACCCTGTCCACAATCAACAGTGACCCACAGGCAGGCCGTGCATCCTTCTTCAAAGATAGTCCTCATGCCTCCTGCGACTTTGTTCACTTCTTCCTGTTACTGGCGGCTATAATCCTGATTCTTCTCCCCCCTCCCCTGGTCCCGGCAGTCACCAACAGACTCGGGATTTTATCAGCATTGCACTGCGCCACAAGGAGCGCAGTGAGATATGAGTTGTGGAAGAGCAGAGGACCTGGCGCTTGGTGGCTGCATGCGACTGAACAAACAAAGATAGAGGTCCTGTTGTGATGGAGGAAGATTTCAAGCTGGCGGTTGCTTGGCCTCGAAGTCACCTTTCCTTTTTGGGACTGGAGGAGATCTCAGCCGCATACCAAGACCCAACCGTCTACGCCGTGTAAGAGTCCAAGAAACAGCCCATGCCCATGGAACTTGGCTTGAAATCGGACCAGTCAATGGGCAGACTCACTCGCTCGCTTCGCCTTCCCTTGCAAAGATGATCAACTGAGCAGAGGGTGCCCAATCGTCAGGCTCACCAGCTGCGAGCCTCAATCATTTGGCATGGGACCTAGAAAACGTGGCTTGAGAATCGCAATCTCCAAACGTCAGAGCTCACTAGGCGCCCTGATAGTCTTTGGGAGAGGTCAGAGAAAAACTATCGTGTCCGTTCGAGTCAGTTGAAGTTGATCGTCAGAGCGAAGAAACATTCAGTCAGGGATGTGGATATGCTCGTAAACTTCTACGGAGTTACGGGAACACTCCATTGTGCCCTCTCTATAGCGGACGAGGGAATCCCCTGTTGGCAGCCCCGATGCCTGAAGGCCACATGACCTACCCCTATATCGAGAGATGTTGTGGGTTTGGATTGCAGGGCGCTTGTGGTGATCGAGCTCTTTTGTCCCAGGGGCCTTACAAGAGATGCGCCCGCTAGATACTTACGGAGTACAATCAACCGACCTTCCACCTCAACCATAAACGGTTTTGTATTTGTTTTTCTTCGGGCTGAGCTATTCTTCGAAACTCCTTTGTCAACTACGGAGTAGCCTATCTTATATTTAATGTCATTCAGAGTTTATCTCTGCAAATTTAACGGGGGAGTCCGCAAGGACTAGTCTTTTTAAGACATAAACCAGTTCAGCCACCCATGGACGTTAGCAACTATATGAAGGAATGGGCATAGAATGGTGGGGTGGATATAAAGTCGTGCAGCAATCTACAATGAGAGATCCGACTCTTGACTCTGATATGGGGATGAATACAGCGGGAGCTGAACTGATGCCCTGGGCTTGAACCAGTGTGAACAGGGTCGAGGAAGAAAAGGGCACTGGTAATTATCTATAACCCTTCATTCTTATCGATGATCTTGGTTCATATACCCGTGCTTACCATGCAACCTATTTTCTCTGCATACTAGTATACAGAAATGACTGGAACAACTCATGTTTTACTGATCAAGTGACACAATGGAGCCTGTGTGCTACCAACGACCAGGCAGTGGGTGAGGCCAGTTGTTGGTGAGACAGTGAACTTGGTTAGTTACGAATGCATATCTAATCGTTTTAGACTGAGCTCGGCTTTCATCTCAAAGTGGAGGGTATTGCTGCTACCTACCTGCACACAAGCTTTTGATACCCGTCTGGCGCCATGCTATGATTTACTGCTCTTGACCATTGACTTTTGTCATCATGAAGGGTGGGAAGGCAATGAAAGATTTGTGAAACAAGTCTGCTGTCTCTCTCACCACGCAAAATGATGAACATGGACCTTCAAGAAGAAAAACTGGCAGCCGATCTAAACAAGCATAGTTCATCATCTTGATGAATCAAAGAGATTACATTGCCGTCAACATCACCACCATCAAACAGCTATGATAACATATAAAATCCATAACAATTTTCCGAGGCCAGCAACTAACCAACTACCCAACCAACAGTCCCAACAGTTTCACAATCAACGCTACATCACATATGCTACATAACCACCACCACCGCAACATCCATCACATACGGTTCTTCCCATCACGCCTCATTCTCCTCTGCCACCTGGCTCGTCTCAGCCATGCATCCACCAAAACAAAACCCGCTCATAACGCGTCCGCATATATATAGTTCCACATCATTGCTTTGCTCATAATTCAGTCTCGCCAGCAAGAGCGGCAACAACAACAGCAACAGCGACAGCGACAGCACTACGGTGATGCGAGTTTATATAATTCCGCGTCCGAATACGCACACACATGCACACACCTCCCTTAATGCTATCGAGCCGATCCAGACAAAGGATGGGTAGAAGAAGTGCTACTGGTACTTGTCATGGAAAGCCATTCTGTCACAAGTGGGCGGCCCATCAACCCTATGGAATAGAGCCGATGTTGGGTACGATGCGCCAATGTCCGGCCTCTACTTTCTTTACGTGCCTTGTCTGTGAATGTGACTGTGTGTGCGCTGTGGCTCAGGCTCAGGCTCTGCTGTGTATATTATCTCTAGAAGCATTGGCATATCCCTTCGCAACCCTTGAAACGGGAGACAACAACAGCCTTACGTGGAAATCGTGCGATGGTTATGCCGGAGGCAAACATCATGATTATATACTACGGGAAAGCTTCAAAACATACGCAGTATAATCTGGCAACAGCGCAACATTTTCAGCCGCATACTTTCTATGCAGGGGAAATGGCTCACGAAAAATGTATGCTGAAACGCGGGTTAAACGAAGCAAGCAAGCAAAATCAAGTGTCTCAGATAGCTATAGCGTTTACTCCTTGATAAGGATTTTGTTGTCCTTTTCCTGTTGTTTCCTTTCTTAACAACTGTGAAGAATAGCAGATAGATATCCTGATATCATATCGATAAAGTGGATACAGGGCGGACGCAGATGAAAAAGGAATATGCTTGACGACCGTGCAGAATGGCAGGACCATATATCGATCAGACAACGAGCAGTAAATTGTAATACATAGGAGGTTCTAACCGTTCATCAACTCGTCGTCTTGCATGCATACTCGACTTCAAGATGCTTTTAATGAGGCGATTTTGTTGTCGTGAATTCTCTCAAGGCAATGGCGAATGGACCCGGCCCACCAGCATTCAAACTTTTGCGAAACCACGGGGAGAGAAGATCGTGCCTGGGAGCTGTAGAGCCGAGGAGGCCAAACCAACAAAATTTTGCGTAAGTCGGGTGTCGAATACTACCTGGGCGTACTCAGAGATCGATCAATCAATCAATCATAGCCAGAGCAATTTAATGCACTGGTCCCTCTTCCATCGTCTTGATTACTTGTTGTTTTTTTTTTTTTTTTTTTTTTTTTTATACTCCTTTTTCGCTTTGATTTTTGTGCTTTTGTCAGATTGTGCCGCCTCATTCCCAAAGCGGAATAGCGTACCGGACAGATATAATACTGCTGCGTACCATCTGAGACAACATCTTATTACTCGCCGGAAGTAACTCTAAGTCCCCGGTACCGGGACTATGCCTGTATTCTGCTGGCATGAGTAGGGTATCAAATACATGCAAAGTTACAGGCACATGAACCTGAACCGGTAATGAGGGCAGATGTTCGTATGTGGCGGGGCAAACCACAGCAGGTACAAAGGCCGCCACCCACGCAATGTGAGGCCGCAGGTACCGGCGATGGATCCTGGTTCTTCACTCTGCGAACCTAGATGATATACAAGAGTTTTGTTGATAGATAGCTACAAAGTATTCCTTCGTTACTGTCCTGATACATCCCGGCAAGCCTTCGGAATAATCCGCCCATCCATCCTGGTCTCTGCACACAACGTCCATCCGCTTGGCTGTGACTTGTGAGTCGCTCTCCTCCGTCCGCGACCTCGGCATCGCCGTTATCTCCAGCTTGTCGTGCTAAGAAAAGGCGTTTGAGTTGAGCTGGCGGGGAGCTCCCGTTTTGCTCCGACGTTCTGTGCTCAATTCTTCGCTGCGTGGATGCTTCGGCCAACTGACAGCTAAAAGTATTTACTTGCGGCCAACGAGTTCATTATCCTGTCCCTTCCTCACACATCTCCCGCTCTCCGCTCTGAGCTCCCTTTCTCTCTCCCCTTTCTCCTCTCCTTCTCCACCACCACCACCACCTCCTCCTCCTCGAGGCAATCTGAGCCCACTCTCCAGGGTGCCTGCAAACGCCAATTGGCATCATGTGGAGAGCGTCCGACAAGCTGATGGAGACTATCCGTCACTATGCCTCGTTCCCCGCAACAGGAGTCTCACTCAGGCAGATGGTCCAGTTCGGCGACAGGCCGTCCACTGGTGTGTCAATTCGTCTCTATTTTTTGAAATTGAAGCGCCATAGGCATAATACCGGCATTTACTAACTTTGTTATTCTCTCTCTCTCTGCTGACCATCGTCGTTGCGGCTCAGGAACCCTCTTCCGCGCATCCCAGTTCTTGTCCGAAGAGCTACCCATCCGCCTCGCACACCGTGTCCAGGAACTCGGTGACCTCCCCGATGGCTTGAATGAAATGCCGTCCATACGGAAAGTCCGTGATTGGTATGCACAGTCGTTCGAGGTATGGAATTATTTTTTTATTTTTCCCTTTCTTTTTCTTTTCTTTTTTTTGGTCCGCTTCTTTTTTATTTATCGGTTTACGATATCTGACTCATTGAGAGGGAAAACGAATTACAGGAAATCATCAATCTCCCCCGCCCAACCCTATCACAGGAAGTCAGAACTCGCCTCCTCCGCCCTACCAAACCCAATGGCCGGGACGTAAAGGTCCTCGAAGAAGCTACCCCTAATCCAAGCATACGAGACGACCGATATCGATCCTCGACAACCTCGATCCTAAGAGCAAACGGCACCATCACCAATACTAACAATGGAGTCGCCACTATCGGCAACGGGAACGGGAGAAGAACAGTGGCCGGGAACAAAAGATACTTCGTGTCTACCGACGATGGCCAAGACTGGCCGCCCGAGCTGAACGAATACAACAACAGGTTCTCCAAGACCCTCCATCACATCAAACGGCGGCACGACGGCGTCGTAACGACCGTCGCGCAGGGGATCCTGGAATACAAACGCAAGCGCCAACGCATGCAGATCGACTCGAACATCCAATCCTTCCTCGACCGCTTCTACATGTCCCGCATCGGCATCCGCATGCTGATCGGCCAGCACGTTGCCCTCACCGACCAAACACACGTCCACCACCCCCACTACGTCGGGATAATATGCACAAAGACCAACGTGCGTGAGCTGGCCGAGGAGGCCATCGAGAACGCCCGCTTCGTTTGTGAGGACCACTACGGCCTCTTCGACGCGCCCAAGGTGCAGTTGGTCTGCCGGCCGGATTTGGATTTCATGTATGTGCCTGGCCACCTGTCGCACATGCTCTTTGAGACGTTGAAGAACTCGCTGCGGGCCGTTGTGGAGACCCATGGGGCGGAGAAGGAGGCTTTCCCTGTGACAAAGGTGATTGTTGCGGAGGGCCGAGAGGATATTACAATTAAGATCTCGGATGAGGGCGGTGGGATTCCGCGGTCGTCTATCCCGCTTGTGTGGACGTACATGTACACCACGGTTGACCAGACGCCGAATTTGGACCCGGACTTTAATAAGAGTGACTTCAAGGCGCCGATGGCTGGGTTTGGATATGGGTTGCCCATCAGCCGGCTTTATGCGAGGTATTTTGGTGGGGATCTGAAGTTGATCAGTATGGAGGGGTGAGTTCATGCATTTAACCCAACTATGATTACCCCCACCCCTACCCGCCAAAAGATAACCACCAACTTTTGTACAATCTTCCGGGCTTATAAACGAATCAACTAACGCTCCAATGAATCGAAAATGCAGCTACGGCACAGACGTCTACCTCCACCTCAACCGCCTCTCTTCCAGTTCCGAACCGCTCCAGTGACAATTACCGGTCATGAGGGATGGCCAGCCTCTCGTGAATTCCTCACGACACTTTTACCCGTTGCTGCACGACACACTGGCACAGACAACAACAACAGCATCAACAACGCGCTCGCGAGTGGTATCCCAAGGATTGACCCCTATGAACATTGAAGCTATCCGACGTGCACGTTCTCACCAGGGTGGTTTGTGCCGCCGGCGCGGCAGTGGCCGGGATGTCTCAGAGCGCAAGCAGGTGGGCGACGCGGCTAGTTTGGTTAGCGGGGAGCCAGGGGGAAATGGTCTTGGGGACATGGGTACGGTATGAGGATTTGGAGTTGGGTGGGTGGCTGCATTCAATTTGGTGGAAGTATGATTATGATTTTTTCTTCTTCGTATCCCACTGCCTTTGGGGATAACACCCGCTCTCGCCCGCATGGCCGCGGATGGAATGAGCATCCCCTCGTCGCACCCGCCTCCGCTCCTCTTTGATCTTCGCCTCTCCTCTCCATTCCTCTCCATTCCTCTCCACCCCAGCTTGCGCCCCCGGAAAATCACACCTTTATGATCCCACTTTTTCAATTCTCAAGTAAGGTGGTTTCAGAGGCAAGAATGGAGGAGGAACAGAACATAGAAAAATCCCGTGGTCAGGTGCTGATTTCCCTTCCCTTTCACCTGTTCCCTACGCCTTCACCTCCCATACCGCTGTACGAAAGGGTCGAGTGGGTATGGCCCATTCTCCACACAAGCCATCCAGATATACCCCCAGGATGAAAAATTGTACAAAGAACATAGCAGGGGTAGATAGATTTGGGTGCGAGTGTAACGTGTGTTCGACCCTGACTCGCCCTCGACACCCCTTCCTCCAAATTTCACCGCCCCTTGTGCCCGCCTCGCCCTCCACATCTCTACGCCTACGCCCAGCCTCTGCCGTTACCCTCTCCATTCGCGCGAAGGCGTTTATATACGATATATATAGGGAGAGGGGGCGGGGAGAGAGATAGTCGTGCAACGAAACAGCAACAAACAATCCCCGGACCAGGCAACGTGCACCTCCACCCTTTCTTGACCCCGTTTATCCTGGTCCCAAGTCGAAGAAGGGACAGAGAAGGGGGGAAGAAGGGGGTTGAAGTTATCGACATGTATGGGTACGCGTGGAGGGGTGGTTGTGCATGCATGTTCATGAGGTCATATTTCCATTGAAAAGAGAAACGAAAAGAATGCGGTTTTTGCATATATAGCTTTCATGCGTGTCGGTGTGTATATCTATAACTATATATCTATTATACAAGTATGTATAAAAGATAGGATGGGAGCGATGGGTAAAGAGCAAAGGATACTTACTATGTAACATACAGACATACACATACACATACATATGAATGAATAAACAAACAAACATGTAAATATGCAAATGAAAAGGGAAACGGACTCATATACGTTATGTATGGAGTCCTCGCTGTGTGACTCTGTGACTGTTTTATTCAAGCCTAACCGGCTCAACTCTGAGCGGCGCCAGTTCCTGATCTTCACACACATAACCAGCCTTGGTTGTACCGCGATGAGATTCATGGAATGAAACCTCACCAGATACGTGATTGGCAGCTGACCATTTCTTGGGCTTTCTTCGTGCACAGTATTGATTCAACCCGCACTACTCCGTACACAAATCATAATCATACTAAAACTAGTATCAATGTCGAGCGCTTAGGCATGGGTGCTCGGCGAGTTTCTGGACGAAGAGAACGAACTTCACCCGTCCCGGGCAGGGAAACCCTTGCTTGCATGGCCGGCTCGGATATGGCGCTGATGGGATTATTCTCTTCCCAGACATGGATGACGGCGATTATTCCTATATACCTATAAGTTACCGGCCAGCGAAGAATCTCTGTTGTCACTTCAAAGCTCAGCCCCAACGTGTCAGCGCCTGATCTACGGAGTACCGCTGTCAGTATTCCATACGGCGATAGGTCCCTCCCTACCCCTTAGAATCCTCTGCGATTCCTGCGAGATCCTCGCTATTTCTATGATCTTGCGGTGTTCATGGAGCAAGTGAAGCTTGCGTCTGCGAAACCGAAACCGAAACCGATACCGATACCAAATCCCAAACCCGCGGATGGCGCTCAACAAGAAGATATAATCGAGAGTTCCTCGCCATCTCTTCCGGCGGAAGACTGGTTCGCCTGGTTGCAAGTTCTAGGGGCTTTCAGCCTGAATCTTAATACATGGTAAACAAAAAAAAGAGAAGATTAAAAGAAGAGAAACATGAAATAAACCCCTCACTCTCTCACTCGCTCGTTCGTTCGTTCTCAGTTTCAATTCCGCACTGGGGGCATGCCGTGAAGCTGGACTTCACGAAAAGCTTCACGAAAGCTGATCTCTTTCTTCCATTAGGGGGCTCATGAACGCCTACGGAGCCTTCCAGGCCTTCTATGAACTTGAATTGCTGTCCTCGAGGTCATCCTCGGACATATCATGGATTGGCTCGACGCAGGCGTTTCTCATGTTCATCATCTCGATGGTCGTGGGACCGATCGTCGACGCAGGCTATCTGCGATCGCTGCTCGGGATGGGATCGCTCCTCGCCGTGCTCGGCCTTTTCATGACGAGCCTGTGCAATGAATACTGGCAGGTTTTCCTCGCTCAGGCCATTACCATGGGCCTGGGCTTTGGCTGCCTTTACGTGCCTGCTCCGACGATTGTCTCGCAATACTTCCATGCCAGCACTGCGCTTGCGATGGGCGTATCTTCGGCCGGTAGTGCCCTCGGTATGTCAGCAGTGAGGGGGGGGGGGGGGAATAAATATCAAAGAAATGAAAAACCCCCTCTAACCTTCTGTATGACATAGGCGGCGTCATATATCCGATTATCTTCACACGTCTTCAGCCGCGGATAGGTTTTCCCTGGGCGACTCGAGTCCTCGGGTTCATCGTGCTGGCAACACAGCTCGTCCCATTAGCCCTCATGAAATCCAAAGCCAGCCCCACAACGAAGTATCGCCTGGTCGATAGGACCGCATTCAGAGACGTGCCTTTCATCTTGCTAATCGCCGGCCTTATCTTCGGTTTCATGGGCTTCTACATCATCTTCTACTACATCGAGCTCTACGCCTATCAAGAAAGCAGCACTCCAGCGCGCCTCCAGTCCTACCTTCTCGTCATCATCAACGCCAGCTCCCTGCCCGGCCGTCTCATCCCCGGCTACTACGCCGACAAGATGGGGTCCATCAACGTGCAGACCATCGTCGCCTTTACCGGCACCCTCTTGACCTTTTGTCTCCTTGCCATCAAAAACGCCCCGGGCCTGGTGGTCTACTGCGTCATCTACGGGTTTTCCGCCGGCGCCTTCATGGGATTACCCGCCGCGGGGGTGGTGAATCTCTCAGCGGACAAGGGAAAGATTGGTGCCCGGCTGGGGATGACATTAGCTGCTGTGGGATGCGGTGTCCTCGTGAGCAACCCTATTGCGGGGGCTGTTCTGGGCGGCAGCGGGGGCTGGGTTGGCCTCATTGTATGGTGCGGCGCTCTGCTTACGGCTTCATGTATTAGCATGGCCGCGAGTAGGATACGCAAGATCGGTTTTGGGTTTAAAAAGGTGATATGAGATGTGTTAGCCTGGAGTTATATTGGTATTAGAAAGTTTTCATTTTTATTTTATTTTATTTTATTTTTAATGAAAATAGTTAAAAATAAACAGGACAAAAAGAATAGAATTGATAATAAAAGTAAAACATGCAAAAGATTCCCCAGGCGCCTGAAGCATTTGATCTCCCTGACACATTCACAGTTCACACAGTTCACCTGAAGAGGAAACGCGGTTACGATCGATAATGGCCATTCAATGCGGCTATCTAACGGATGCCTACCGTACTCTCGCAGATATCAGAATGGTGATAAATCTCCGTACTATAATGGAGTTGGTAGCTTGCGAGACACAGATGGAGAGGCAGATAGATATTCTCTTCCGCCGCCTCTACCATCCGCTTTGAACCGCCCTACATAGTCAAGATACTCTAGCTAGCGTTCAGCTGCCCAAGAGGAAGTCCAGGCACAGCAGCCTGGGCAAACCAATTTATAGTAATCCGAATACAAGAAACATTTCCATACCCGAGGAACGAGAATATATCTTTGTCGCCGAATTTGTTCATATTTAGAAATAAATCACCACCCAGCCTCGCCATTTAAGATCTTTAAGACGAAATAAATAAATAAACAAATACATCTACATTTTCATCGCCTCAACGATGCCGTCACCACCCTCATCGACCGGTTCCCAGAACTTCACCGCCGTTAGCCCAGCCTTCTCCAACAGCTCACGCCACTGTCGTGACGTGCGTTCCACACCGGAGTTGAAAGCCATCATTGTCATATCTAACTGGGCCTGGAACTGCGAAGCTGCCTGTTCCGGAACAATCATCTCATGCACCAGAAGCTTCGAGTAACCTGGCCTCATTGCCGCAGCTGCCCTTGCGAGGATTTTGAGACAGTAAGAATCCGACCAGTCGTGAAGGATATGGTGATAGAAGTAGATCCTTGCACCTATGCAGGTGTCAGTGGATGGATTATGCACATATATATGGCTTCCTTCCCCTCCTCTATATATTGGATATATTGGACGAAGAATGGGATGGATGAAGCGCAGATGAGAGGCGAGAGAGAGAGAGAGAGAGAGAGAACCTTCCTTACCTGTGATGGGCTGTTCGGTGAAAAAATCATACGTAACCTTCTCAACCGCCTCATCCAAGTCTTCCAGCGTCTCTACGACCTCCGGCAAGTCCTGCAACACTAGCCTGCCCGTGTTAGGAAATCTGTTCTTATACGACAACAAGTCATGGCCCTTCCCTGCCCCAACGTCAACAATCAGAGGCTTGTCTGTGGCTGCCCCGTCGAGGATTTGGCTCTGCACTGGGTACCAGTCAACCCAGTATTTCCGCGCTCCCATTGTATTGCCCATGAACATGTTGAAGTCCTTGAGCAGGGAGGGAGAAGACACTATCCGTTCGAATGTGGTTTGTTTCGTGTTGAAAGCGTATTGCATGAGTCCATCCTTGGGATCGCTGGGGCAGGAATGGCCGCGTTGGAGGAAGTAAGCTGGGGCACTTTGCATGGCTGGAACAATCAATTGGGAGCTGTATTATCGCGCGCTTTTGTCAGTAAAGAACAGGAAGATCAAAAGGTGAGATAAAGGGGGGGGAAGGCACTTAGCCTAGAACTATGAAAGAAAATAGCTAACATCATTCGATGGCCAGCGGCAATTTCTTCAGTAGCCATGGCCCTCGTGACGGGTGTCGCAGTCCATGTTCTTGAATCGACTTCCTCAACCAAGTGAACCGCTGATAGAGGCCGCAAAATGCGTACTGGATCGTTCATTCGGCATTGGGCCTCTTTGTTAGACAAGTAATACTATCGCAGAGTAGAGAATAGACAGTAGCACTCACTTATCAACAGCTCCTCAGCTCCAGACAGCTCTGCCAATCTCGCAGATGTAATGGGCCCTTCCTGAACGATGTGCTGGAATAACTTCAAATCCACGGCAACTCGCGCGCTGACGGCAATCATGGGCTTCAGGAGAGTGAGCAAAATTGTTATGAAGCCTTTTGCACATGGCTTAGAATGCCGGGGGGGGGAAGAGAACACGTACAGAAAATGCCATATCCACAGCTACATTTTCTGGCTGTTCCAGCTGTATCCGCAGTATCTTAACTGTCTGGAGCGCTTCTCTTCTCGCTTCAAGGTCTTGTTCATCAACGAGCCGCGGGCTGAGATGGTTCAGCTTGGTTATCAGAGCAACGGACCCTGCTTTGTTACTTGAAATCGAGCCCATGATCGGGAATGGTGATAACACGGTCTCGCTCGATATTGAATGGCGATGCAGACAGTAGACCACACTCAAGAGGGCATCAGTCGGTTCCAATGAAAACCTGAACAACGGCAAATATCACGTAAGGGGGTCTTTCTGCATTTATCGTTACATAGGTAAAAGAACAATCGACCAACCAAGGCGGGGGGTAGACGCACTTGAACGCATTTTGTGCCGCCACTGTATGAGAAGCTCGGAAGCTAGAACGGGTATATACAAAGAAGATGATATTGGAACCGGCAAGTTAATGTCTGTAAGTGCTGACCGCTTCATCGAGCTGAGATCCGGGCAGTGGGGCCCCTGACATGCACACGGTGCACGGTAGTATTGACGGTGGTTTAAGGGCTTTCAGCTCCAGCCGAAGAAGCTCCTTGATGTGCGGCTGTTGACGCAGCCTTGGACGATCGATATAGTTCTGTTCCAGAAGGCCGTAACTTGAAACGATTTATGTCCGTCTTGGTACTAAGCCGGGATCATGAAGATAGACCCCAGAGACCCCACAGATTCCGTCGCGGTCGGACCAGTTTCGGCCACTTTACACACAAAATCGCTCGGGTGGATTCTAATTATGGTCAGCAGTGACTGGTATCTCGATGCGATTCTAGCTGGAGGGTAATGCGTCGCACGGCTTCTCAACAAAGTGGGCCTAGTCATACAGCCGTGGGGAGCGAAGCCGGTCGATATTTAGCTAAATAAAAGAAATAACGGAACAAAAAAAAAAAAAAAAAAATCACCAGCAGTCCGAATGATACATTGCACCGGCTCTTCACCAGATAGAATTTTGGTCCAGTGTCTGTTTTCTCCCTGCTTTTCTTCGCAGTCGCCATGCTTCCCCCTAACTTGCATAACCAAACCATGGCCAAATTCCGCGCCGTTCGAGCTCCGGTCAGCCTTAGGACGGACCGGTAGTATGTCCCATTCTCACTCGCTTCTCGAGGTTGAGTGGAGTTGAAGTATCATCTCTGTTCTCCTCTCCTAGTATATGTTGTGTAGCTTAATTCAAACCCTGTTTGAGGCGTTTGCGGTGACCTCTTAGGGTTAGGGTTAGGGTTAACCATAACCCTAACCCAACGGAATCTCCCTCAAAGTATCAGTCAGGCCTCGTAAAAGCTACGACATTGTCAAATTTGTTTTTATCAGCTTGGAAACATGGAACATACCTATGTATTCCCATGAGAAATTAGGAGCTAAAAGAAAGAGAGAGAGAGAGAGAGAGAGAGAGAGATGGAAAAGAGAAAAAAGGGTTTTCAGGAGAGCACACCAACAAAACTCGCGGCCATATTTCACCCCTACACGTACACATGATTGATTTTAAGTCTTTTGCCCCAAATAATCCATTGCGCCGTTGCGCCGTCGTTCCAAATATAAACCGAAACGAAAGATCAAATGGGGATGTTAACCACACCACACCACACTCATCCGAAACCATGCCCATCGATATCGCATACCTACCCAATCCCAGCCCCAGCCCCAGCCTCAACCCCACCTGCCGCATGCCTCGCACTTCTCCTTCTATCCTGCCCACTACTCTCAGCGGCAGTAGCTCTTCCACCCCTTCTGCTCCCTCTCCTAGCACCATCGCCACCACCCTTAGCTGCAGATGAAGACGAAACGACAGACCCATGCAAGGAGACAGGGCCATACCCCTCATCCCCAGCGCTCCTGTTCCGCCACCCGCCATCGACTTCCAGAATATCAACTATGGGGCGCCCGGATTGAGTTCGTAAAGACGAGGCTGAACCTGTTGTCGTGATTCTCGTGGTTGTGGCTGTGGCAGCGGCAGCGGATGTAGTTGGGAGTGGGATTTCGTTGTAGGCAGTATGATTAGTAGTCGAAGCTGCAGCAGTGGCCCTGCCTTTGCCCTTGCCTTTGCCTCTACCTCTACTTTTATTGGCGTCGGCGGCGGCGTCGCTGGCGGAACCAGATAACGTCCTTTTAGGCCCTAGCATTCTGTCCTGGAGGGCGAAGGCGTGCATGTAGTTCTGCGGCATGTTGAGGCCGATGTAATGGTGTTGGAAGCGGCGGCGGGCCTCGGGGATGGTCTATTGAGCAGATGCGGCATGCGTTAGCTAGTAGTAGTTATACAATCGGATGTTGTCGGTCCCACACAATGAATGCAGCATGGACGGGGACAAGACGAACCTCGTAATTGGCCACGGCATGGTTTATTAACAGCTCCTGATCTGTCAGCACGCTGAGAGACGCATGGCGGCGTTCGCGCAGGTAGGACTTCAGGCGCATGTGTCCGACCAGCGGTGGATGGATGGGCAAGTCTGCGGAACCGAAGAGAGTCTGCGACTGTGCGTTTCCGGTAGAAGAGCTGCCTCCTCGATAGCCTGCGGTTTGGTTCATAAAATAAACCAAGAGAACTCTGTTAGAGTTGGTGACAAGCTGTATTTATTTACCTATCTAATACTGCGATGCAGATTTTCGGGCCGTCGATGAAAAAAAAAAAAAAAAAAAAAAAACCACTCACCAAAATACCCATCAACCTCGATCTCATCCGCCTCCTCCTCCACATTAGCAAAATCAGGGTCATCACTACTGCTGCTTCGGCTCTCGGGGCCGGTCCCGGTCCCCGTCCCCTGAACACTCCCACTCCCGCCAAGAACCTCTGATATGATCTCCTGCTCGCGCTCTTGCGCAAATCTCAGTCGGATATGCGCATCGATATGCTCTGCCACATCCGATGCTGCTAATACCAGGGCACGCGCTTCGAGGACCCGGTCGTACGCATCTTCGAGCATTTGGCGGGCCTGTGGGGTTAAGTTTGCAGGGAGGTGATTGTTGGCGGGGTTGTCGTTCATGTTTTTTTTTTTTTTTTTTTTTTTTTCTGCTTCTTCTTCGTTTCTTTTCTTTTCTTTTATTAATGCGCTCGCAGGAGAGGTTTTGGCGGGTGAGGTATTTATTTCCTTTTTGTTCGTTAAAACAAAAGCTCCTGGGGGGAAATGGCGGACAGAATGAGGTCGGAAGGGAAGCTGTGCGGCTGAGGGGGGATACAGAAGAGGGCGCTTCGAGGACTGTTTGGTGTTGAAAAGCAGCTTCAGGCCGATACGATATGTGTTGTGTACCGCTCTATCAGACCATCGCCTCGCGAAAGTCCAGATCAAATAAATCCCCTAAAGCTTTTTTCCAAACTGCATCCCGTCACCTCCCAGAGACCAGGTTCCCCGCGGTTGAGCAGGGCGTAACGGGGACCACTAGAGGATTCGATTCGCATGGGTTTTATTTTTGGAAGACAGGATGTCAAACAAGAAATGCCAAACTTCCAATTTGTGGTAAGAGGGAAATCGCCCGTGCGAGGAGGCGACCAAGGGTTGAGCTGTATGTATTTGGCTGCTTGAATGTTCTGGTGATGGTGCGAGGTGGGCTCAGCTTAGTTACAGTCCAACCAAGCTCCAGTTGCGGGGAGAACTAGTTAACTAATTTTCAGCATGACAGACAGACTACTCCGCACTTGTTCTATTATCGAATTGCTAGAATTACAATTAAACAGACGAAGAAGCAAGCGAAGAAGCCGCCAAAAGAGTGCTCCTTTCCCCTAGAATCAAGATAAGAAAAACAGTACCACAATCAAAAGCACAAAAAGGTCGGGAAAATGAAAAAGAAAAAAGCCAATTCCAAGTACTGATGAAATGATACACAGCACAGGAGGAGCATATAAAAGCACAGAAGCTGAACAATCCAGCGCCTAGATCCTGATGCATGTTACTAATGTATGTACAGTTCGTATCTATGTCTCGCGTTTTCCCTATATCCCCAATGGGATGCAGGAGACAAGGAAGGAAAAATGTATACAGAGAAACCAAAGGGCTACACAAACAAAAGGGCCCTATCTGCTAATATAGGTAAGTTCCAAAGAGACAATTAGCAACACCAAGGTGTATAATTATCGAAACCTTCATTTCTTCATGAATCAAATTCATTGTACGTCGTATTTGTTTCTTGTCTTGTCGTGTTGTGCCGGCATCACGTATCGCATATAAACAAAAGCTTTCTCTCAAGGATCCATGCATAAACGAGTTCTTCGGCCACGCATACCTCCTATCTGGCCTTCCTATCGAAGCAAAAGTGAACAAG